CATGTACTTTAACTTGTCATAATAATAATTTCTTACCTAAATCAATAAATAGATCATGAATAACACACACTGCATGGAAAGATAAGAATCCTCTTTATATGATTATACATACAATAAATGAAAGGATAAAGAGTCGGCATAAGACAGAAATAAAGAAGTTCACTGTTTAGGCATCACTGATTCAGATCTCTTCAAAATAAAGAATACAAAATGCTATATTATAAATTAAATCTTTTTATAAATTAAATCTTGAGCTGTTCATCAAAACCCAAATACATTGCACCATGATCTGTGAGTTTTTGTTTTCCTCCTTTACTATGCACGCAGGAACCTGAGCTAACCTAACAGCAATGTCTTCACATGGAATGTTTTCATTTTGTAACATCATTACCTTTGAGAACAGAATTTATTTTTAGGGCTTAATTGATCACATATTGTTCCTCAAATTGGCACCTATAATATTTTTCTATTATTGCAACACTGTTGCAATGAAATCAATGTCTCTGACAAGAATATACATGGGCAAGAAAAGAATGCTGTTGAAATGTTGGAGAGAAAGAGAACAAAATTGATCGAAAAACGATTATTTTGAATTTCTCAACATGGTGCCAATTTAAGGATGTTAAATCTTATTTTCCCTTTTTTTACATTCCCGGCGTCAAATGCAATATAGTCATTAAACAAAAATGAAGTGTGTGCCAAAAAAATTGCCCTTTCTACTTATATGCCTCTGGCATATTTTTTCTGGGCTCTGATTCAAAGGTACATATAGAGCCAAACAACAAAGTGTGGAATGATTGTCACAAAAGGTTTTTTTTTTTAAATCGTAAAGTATACACTGCTACAACACAATAATATAGCATTCTAATGCTATTTAATTAAAGCGTTATAATGCCCAAAACAAGAATGTACGACACATCTACCACCTCAGTTGTATTGTAGGGTTTCACAAGTGCATCTTGACATATAGATGACTTACATACGCATAAACACAGGCTTTTGATTAGTGAGCAAAAATAACTCTACATACTCAATAACACATGATCAATATGATTTTACATTGTATAAGTTTAATTCATATGCAAGATATCCATTAAAAATAATGTACTAATTGGCATACAATGTGGTACTAAAAATTATCAATGTTAATATTCAGGCCAAGATTGCTTTTATACTAAACATTTCACAGACTAAATATAATAATAATAACAATATAATAACATGTTGATTTATATAGCACAGCTACTATACAAATTATGAATATACTCTACTGTGCTTAATACAGAGTATCATATTATCATTCCGGCTGTAGCTGAGCCGCCATGATAATTAGGCGCTAAAGCATTCAAGAGATTTCTTCCTATCGGGTAACCATTTACTTCACCTGGGTGGAGAATGGCAATGTAGATTTATGCCTTGCCAAAGGACATTAGTGCTGCAGTGGGACTCGAACCCTGAACCATGTGATCCACAGTCCATTGACATATCCACTAGACCATGTCACAAACATGAATATAATATACATCTGTGTTTAATAGCAGAGATTGTATTCAAATGAACATACACTGTCAGAGGAAATGTATCGATTGTTATTCCCTTATTAACTCTTTATGCGCCACTTAAAAAACCCCCCTGTGCCACATTCTTTTAGGGTCACACATTTCGAGGGAATCTTTATTGACTCTGCTGAATCAAGAGGCTATAACTCTTCACTGGATGATCATGATGAAAAATATTGTGCAGCAAAGTTGTAGACCGGAAAACGTGCTTTTCGATGAACCGTCATTTGTTATATTTTGAATTATCATTTTTATAATAATCATAATTATATAATGTTTAATTTTTCTTATTTACGGCAGTTTTTTATCCCTCTAGAATTTCTTATTTAGCAATGATAAGACATCTTCAAATCGAATCTATTAGAAAGGTGGACTTCTTACCTTTCTTTACATACCTTGCTCAAGTATTCTAACAATTCAGAAGGTTAGTATTTAGGTTGTTGAAGAAAAGAAGTTCAATAGGGAGAGACTTGAAAGTACCCCGCTCAGCCACCCTTGACAATGGGCTAATCTGCCCATTGAAATCCCTATTACCCCAGGTTATTGTCAATGTCCGGTTTAGCGGGGCATGAAAAGGGACGTCGTGGGGATGTTTTTCTTTGTTGTGCCATGATAAGTCAATAAGAAATAAGAGAATGTTATTGATTTTGCCCACTGGTATGAGCATGTAAAAATGGTATAGGCATAATATATTATATGTGATATACATGACATAATCAGCATCTTATTGAAATGTCTCATTATGAATGTTCACCGCATCTGTTCTCTCACCTTCTTTACCCCTCAATAAAATTGATTTCAAGTACATTTATCACAGCCATAGATATACAAAGAAAGAATGAATCAATCTTAAAATATAAACTATATTGCATTGTTTTCCATTTACTTTATTGTGAGAGAGCTTATTATCAGAAATGATTGACGAGTGGAGTATGCAATGAATAAAATATGGAGAACGGACGTGAGAGACATTATGAGAGAGAAATAGTGATATGAAATGAAAGGACTTTACTGTGAATAAAGATTATAAGAGAAAGAGATAAAGATGACGGCAAGACAGGATACATATTGATACGAAAATAACAATAATAATGAGATAGAGATGACGGAAAGAAAGAGAGTAAACACTGATAGCATAAGAATGAATAAAGATAATAAGAGAAAGATATACAGATGACGGCAAGACATAGGGTACATATAGATAGGAAAATGATAATAATAATAAGATAGAGATGACGGAAAGAAAGAGAGTAAACACTGATAGCATAAGAATGAATAAAGATAATAAGAGAAAGATATAGAGATGACGGCAAGACATAGGGTACATATAGATAGGAAAATGATAATAATAAAAAGATAGAGATGACGGAAAGAAAGAGAGTAAACACTGATAGCACAAGAATGAATAAAGATAATAAGAGAAATATATAGAGATGACGGCAAGACATAGGATACATATTGATAGGAAAATAATAATAATAATAAGATAGAGATGACGGCAAGAAAGAGAGTAAACACTGATAGCATAAGAATGAATAAAGATAATAAGAGAAAGATATACAGATGACGGCAAGACATAGGGTACATATAGATAGGAAAATGATAATAATAATAAGATAGAGATGACGGCAAGAAAGAGAGTAAACACTGATAGCATAAGAATGAATAAAGATAATAAGAGAAAGATATAGAGATGACGGCAAGACATAGGGTACATAATTATAGATAGGAAAATGATAATAATAATAAGATAGAGATGACGGAAAGAAAGAGAGTAAACACTGATAGCATAAGAATGAATAAAGATAATAAGAGAAAGATATAGAGATGACGGCAAGACATAGGGTACATATAGATAGGAAAATGATAATAATAATGAGATAGAGATGACGGCAAGAAAGAGAGTATTACACTCATAGCATAATAATGAATAAAGATAATAAGAAAAAGATATACAGATGACGGCAAGACATAGGGTACATATAGATAGGAAAATGATAATAATAATAAGATAGAGATGACGGAAAGAAAGAGAGTAAACACTGATAGCATAAGAATGAATAAAGATAATAAAAGAAAGATATAAAGATGACGGCAAGACAGGATACATCTTTCTTTCATTAGTTTTATTCATTCTTATTCTATCACTGTCTACTCTCTTTCTTGCTGTCATCTCTAGCTCTTTCATTAATTTTTATTCATTCTTATTCTATCAGTCTACTCTCTTTCTTGCTGTCATCTCTATCTCTTTCTTTCATTATTTTTATTCATTCTTATTCTATCACTGTCTACTCTCTTTCTTGCTGTCATCTCTATCTCCTTCTTTCATTTTTTTTATTCATTCTTATTCTATCAGTCTACTCTCTTTCTTGCTGTCATCTCTAGCTCTTTCATTAATTTTTATTCATTCTTATTCTATCAGTCTACTCTCAGGGAACACTTTTATCACTAGAGTCTTCGTCACTGCTCGATTCGTCGGAATCAGAGTCCATGCTCCATGCTTCCATAGTAACAAGATCTCGAGCCTCCTCTACACTAAACACACGTTGACGTTTTCCAGCAGGTGCCATCGTAACATCAGTAAAAAAAATCCAAAGAAAACCGCTAAATACACGGTAATTTCGAATGTAACACTATGAAGAAAAACAGTTTACCGGAAAGTGTGCGATGTATACAATGTAAACAATAGTAAACGCAACGCGTGGCTACACACTGCGAGCGGTATTATGAATGTCTAATTGACTCGTATACATCTGTGCAAAAATGCGAAGTTGGCACGCCTACGTCCGTGCAAATCGGCGAACAAAGCAAACAAAGAGTTAAGAATATATCAAAGCTTTTAAACTGTAGAAAATGGCTTCACTAACTACTCCTCAGCAGACACAGTATATGTACTTTAAAGGGATCCGGTAACTTTGTCTCAGTTTCTGAAACAAAATCCTGGATTTAGCTCATGCTGCAATGATAATTATAAACCTTTAGGTCAGTCAGGAACCCCATTACTTTTACAGGCCGATCGCCTGTCTGATTATCAAGATATTTATGATTGGAAATCGAAACCAAATTTTCATAAGACTGCAGTCTATTGGGGGAAATGAGTATGGTAAAACCGGCCACTCAAAGATTTTTACTTTTTTGAGGTACTTCTTGATCATTTTGAAGCGCAATTTTTTTTAGGGCTTCAATATTCAACCAGATCACAGACACTGATAGCCGTCTCAGATTTAACATTGTTAAACGATACCTTTAAATACCGGTACCATATGCAGGGGAAAGGAATAGAGGAAAGACTGTATCTTGACTTAATAAACTCTAGACTTTGTACTTTTTTTAGAGATGCCACTGTACATTCAATCAAAACTCAGATCTTCTGAAACTATTGATCTAATTTCCCCCTGGATTCTCAGAAGTGTCATCTAAATTGAGCCCTTATCAAGAACATGAGGACCTCGTTGAGTAGCAGGTACCGGTATGTGTTATCTCTGACAGTGTGCCTTCCTCTTGTTCCCGTTACCACATCCTCCAGGAAGTCTATTATTCCACCAAGGTCTACAGGATGTCACTACAGTGCGTCTCAAAAAAACAGTCTTGCCTCTCCTGACAATGGACAGTCAACCTGTTCTAAACGTCGAGCCACTTCTACTACCCATCCTCTCCAACCGGCGCTATAGTTCTCCTTAGAACTATAAGCTAAGAAAGATAACCAACAGTCTTTTTCAAGACTACCAAAAGTCCTTTTCAGGAATACACACACTCAAGAAAGAAAGATTAGAGAGAGTCCTTTCCAGGTTTTCCCCAATCCTCTCTCACATGGTGCAACCGCAAGCCTACAAAAAAAAATATACCCAAACTTGGCAGATTACCATTCAAAGGTTATAACCTGTGTGACCTGGAAATACATTTCATTTTAAAGAGTAGCTAATATTCTGTCGTATGGTACCTTATTCATAACTCTGCCTGCCTTGCTTTAAATGAGCCGCAGCATTTAAATAGTAATTTAAAAATTATGACTATTTAATTATAAGCTTCTAAAGTTGTGTATAATTTTTTTTGATACGCACTGTATATCAAAAACTAACCAGGATTTCACTTTAACTCATATTCCTCCAAAAAAAAAAAAAAAAATCCATGTCCTGCTTTGTGGAGTTAAAATAAATCATTGAATATATTGTACAGTCATATCAAGCTATGCTGTAGGAGTAAATGGAAATATTTTAAAAAGAAATTATAAGTAATTCTTAAAAGAATTTTAGCGCAGAATAACTTATTTGGCAGTGAAGTAGCAAAGAAACATTCATTATGGTCCACATCACTGATTGATGGGGGCTACAAAAATTTGCAAGATGGTTGGAATTAATCTATTCTGGACATATTCAACTCTAATTCAGCTGCTAATTTGTTGATTATCCACACTCATTTCCAGTACATGCAGCAATACCTCTCCAACATACATCTGTGATTTGCTGGTTGGACAAGTTCTATTCAAATACATCCTTTCTTTTCCGAACAGCTGCTGGGGCTGTCTCCCCTTACAGATTCAGGTTAGTGTTGATCGCAGGACACCCTCAGCTATATACCTACGCGTTGATGATAAGAGGTTCTTTATCAGAGAATCTATCGATCCAAGGCCCGTTCTCTGTGCAGTTCCCTACACTAACAATGCAGTCGTCTATATAGCCGTTCATAGGGACAGGGTGGATGTCGGCATTGATGGCTAATACATTCTCTAGGCACACGTTGGGTATGTGGTTGGGTATGTGATTGCCCTGTAACGACTCCGTGTCCGACAGGTTCTGATTCTCGTCTCGCTCTGGCTCTCCAAAGTAGCGCCAGGGTTTCCTCCGTCTGGAAGAGTAGAGAAAAGAGCAGCAAATTAAATCAAAGTTTGTTTTCATGATTATCTTTATCTTTTTTTTTTTCAATACTAAACACCACTGCTCTAGTTGATATTCATCCCTTGCAGCAAGATCTCCTTTCTTTTTTCTTTCCTTTTTTTCCATTTCCTTTTTATTCCTGACTTCTTATCATCCACATACGTCCCCAGACCACAGTGACAATATTGATGCCTTGAGAAGCTTTGTAAGTTTATAATAACATTAATTCATAAAATGCCACAGAAATGTTTAATCCTTTGCACTGATCTAATTAGGGGATAACGTTCTGTTCCATGGCCAGGATGGGGGAATTAATCTAAAATGTTTCTCAGACTGGGAAGATCCAATCAATGAACAACTGGGGAGTGTTTCACAAAAACTAAGATTGACTTAAGTAGGACTTAACTATGGCATGCTGTTCAGGCCACTGGTTGTTCTCACTATTCCTGGCATTGTACTCCCAAGGGATGTACAAATTGTGGTCACAAATGCACAGACTTCACAATTTTGTAAAGTTTATTATTGAAGGAAAATATCATGTAAAGATCATAATTTGTAAGGTTTTTTCCTCTAATTTTACATCTAGTTCAAGACTTATTAAGGGCATAAATCGCCTATCATATAGTATAAGTCCAATATTGAATAAAATTAAGTTTACAATGTAAGTAACTTTTTTTCCCACAATGAATGATCAATCATTCAGTGGCATGAATGGCCTGCCATAGTTCAAGTCCAATTACTTAAGCCAATCTTAGTCTTTGTGAAACACCCCCCTGGTCGATCTACAAGTATGATGATCAGAATACAGATTATGCGTAGATTAGATGAGCACAACGGCTTATCTACACAGTCTGGTGTAAACAGAGTCACAAATAGGGCTCATCGAGCAAACTTACATTGACCTATACGCAAACATTGCCTGCACTCAAGGGCATAAAAAAAAGGACTGTCCTCTAAAAACTTTGGCAAGTCGCCAGCAAGGCTATCATGAAGGGCAAAATAAGGGCAAGACCTTGGCAAAATGAATATAAAAATAGTCTCTATATAATTAATATAATATATTAATATAATATAATTAAACTGTTTGATATACCTCTGTCAACACAAAAATATCTGTGCATATAAAACGAGGTCTGATTTAAAAAAAATAAAAGTCAAACTTGCATATCGTCTCTTTGGATCTAGAAGGGCATTAAACTCACTTTGACAAAGATTTATAATGCCCTTCTGGCTCTCAACAGATGATATTTTCACCTTAGATTTACTCAAATATCATATATTCAATAGAATGTTAACTCTGTGTAGAGGTATACAAGTTTTAGGACCTTTCTGACCCTTCTGACTCTCTCTCTCTCTCTCTCTCTCTCTCTCTCTCTATATATATATATATATAAAACCTGCTTTAGCGACCACCTGTATAGAAAGACCACCTGTCTATAAAGACCACATTTTTTTTGTTTCCCTCGAAAATGCTGCCTCATTGGAACATATATATACTGAAGGAACCTGTACATAAAGACCACCTGCCTTTCAAGACCACTTTTCTTGTCTCCTTGAGTGGTCTTTATATACAGGTTTCACTGTATATAAATACTGGAATTGTCTCACTCACCCTTTACCCCACTGGTACTCCCATATACAGAATGCACCGTAGATGAGGGCGACGGCGAAGCAAGAGGCAGCGATGTAGGTGGAGGCCCAGTTGAAACCTAGGTTATCATTCAGTACTCCTCCAACCACAGGGCCTAAGAAACTCCTAAAACAAAGAAAAAAGGACATCAAATTATCCAGATTTCAGGAAAAATGTTCATATCGTATTATCAAGGAAAAGGAAATCACATTGATAACAGGCTTGTAGCTGTGGATGTGGATTTTCAAATTAATACAGTCAGACCCAATTTAGCTACCACCTGGATAGAAAGACAACATGAATATAAAGACCACATTTTCCATTTCCCTTGGGTGGTACTTTACCATGAAACCTGTATAAAAGGAACCTGTACATAACGACCATCTTGCCTGTAAAGACCATTCTAATGGTCTCCTTAGGTGGTCTTTGTATACATTTTGTCTCACTGCATTACTTGAAGATAAGGATCTTATTACATAACAATATCGAGACAGAAAACCACAAGAATGGATTAAACTCAGTATGTAATGCTCTTCTTACAGATAGTTGTTTGGACTTTATTGTTTGTTGGAAAGATTCCAACATCTCAAGCAGGTACTGTTTCATATCCCATATTACTTGCCAAATGAGAGGAAAATAATTCCAGGGGGGGGGGGGTGTTTCACAAAGATTTTAAGTCAAACTTAACTCTAAGTTGGACTTAAATATTATGGAGAGCCATTTGTAGCCTTATAATGAAATATATTCAAAAGCAAACATTCAAGTATTTTAGATTTTCATAAATTCCACATCAAGAACATGAAATCCCCCATGTTAATAGAAAATATGAATGATTTGAATCAACATGTTATGCCTTTTCAAATAACTTTTACAAAATATTTACAAGGATGCTAACGGCTTTCCATAATTTTAAGTCCAACTTAGAGATAAGTTTAACTTAGGATCTTTGTGAAACACCCCCCTGGATACACTTTCTGATTAAATGGATTAAATGACTCACCCTAATGAGAAACAGCCACTGAACACACCAGAAACTAGACCATTGGTGGCCATGTCATCCGGAAACCCATACCATCTGAAAACAGAATAGAGAGCAACAAAAATACAATAACAATAATGATGTTTCTTTGATGTTTGATGATGATGATCTTTTTTACCTGACTTCTTTAAAGAAAGCAGGTTAATTCTTGTAAGTAAGCAGCCAGGGGACTGACAGCTTTATCAGAGGGACTTGGTCTTAGAAAATTCATTGTATACAAGTATATTATGAGCCAAGATGGATTTCAATATATTACAATGTATTACAACGTATACACCAAAGAAAGAAATGGCTAGAACAATATACACGTAGGAGCGTGTTTCACAAAAAAATGCATCTACCAATAAGTATTTTCTCTCATAGCGGTATTATACTTAAAGAGCAGCACAATAAATATCTTGAAATTGGAATTTTTAAAAACTACAATATGCTGGAAGGTACTACTGAACTGTTTAGGGTTTAAAAAGTGGATGAAGCTTGCATTGAGTATAACTTTGTCTAAAACTGCTTGAAAACAAATGTTGGTAGAATATTTAATACCGTAAGGTTTATCTATATTATCTGTGTGCATCTTGTACATGTTCTTAGTGGGAAATAATGTCAAGATTATCTCAAAATGACATTACTCAAGATAAATTGTAATCATGCGATTAAAACAAATCCAGCTTAGTTCAGGATTAAAAGATTTAATTGACTATTTAAGGACATCTATCAACAACAAAAATATATATATATTATCGACCACAGCAAAAAAATCTTACAATAGTATCCTGACAACGGATGAGCTTACAAGAGCTTTGTATTATCTCCAAATATGATTAGTACACATTGGATTGGGAATAATGAGAAATTACAGGAGAGCTTTGTATTATCTCTCAATGCGATTGTTATACAGAGGTTTGGGAGTAATGACAAATTCTTAGAACTGATGGAAAAGAAGATTTACCTTGCAGATACCATCATATCTAGAAAGATAGGCATACAAGCACAGCCTATGGAGATACCGCATATACTCAATGCTACTATCACAATCCACAGATGGCTGAAATTGAGGGGAAAAAACATTGAATAATACATAAAATTGCATTTTATTACGTGAAAAGGGAAAAAGAGCTGTATATGTAACTGATGTAGTTTATTCAAATCTGTTGCATATGCTTGTTAGCAAGCCTACAAGTATATCTCTCTGCACATTTATAACCTTGGCTTTCCATATGGTATTCAATATATTAATGCAAGATCTGAATAGCTCTGAAACAGGCAGAGGAGAATGAAACATATGAGTGAGTGAGTGAGAGAGAGAGAGAGAGAGAGAGAGAGAGAGAGAGAGAGAGAGAAAGAAAGAAAGGGAGAGAGAGAGAGAGAGAGAGAGAGGAAGAGAGAGAGAGAGAGAGAGAGAGAGAGAGAGAGAGAGAGATATGAAATGAGGTTTATCAAAATACAATCTAACCATACTTAAAATATCACAAAAGCTTATTGTAATATACAATACCTCTTTCTGATATAATTTTTTTTGAGTCAGGTTCCAACTACAAACCAATTGCTTGGGATATTGCAGAATTGGTAAATGTTTGCTCTTCCACAATAATATTGAAACAAATCTATTTGCTATACCAAAGGTTTGTTGCCAGAGATGATGTTGCTCCGTTTCTATTCACTTGTGGATTCAGTAACAGGTTAGCTCTGGGGGGTGGGGGGGGGGGGGGGTGTTTCACAAAGATCTTAAGTCAAACTTGAACTCTAAGTTGGGCTTAAAAGTTATGGAAAGCCATTTATAGTGTTAAAAAATATATATTCAAAGGCCCAAATTCAAGTATTTTAGACTTTTTATCAATTCCATATCAAGAACATGAAATCTCCTTGATAATAGAAAATATGAATGATTTGAATTAACATTTTATGCCTTTTAAAATAATGTGTACAAAATATTTTCATAGATGCTAGAACGGCTTTCCATAATTGTTAAGTCCAACTTAGAGATAAATTCAACTAAGGATCTTTGTGAAACATCCCCCAGGTAAGCTGGTACAAGACGACACAAACTACCAGCAATTAAAGAAATTCAATTCCTATCTTCAAGGGGGCCTGATCATTAAATAGATTGTTGTGTAATGTTCTGTGAACAGTGTATTTCTATTTCTGGTAGTCTGTTTAAATATAACTTTATCTTTCTCCTTCAACACTTCTTTTCTCTTGCCATCTGTCTTTGAGTATTTATGTTTACGTGATGCACATATTAAAATTCTTAATGGTTATCAACTATGTTCATTGTTTTTTGATATGCCAGTGTGAGCCAATTTCCTCTGTTTTTGAAATATGGATAAATAAATATTCTGATTCCAAAGTTTACTGATATTCTTTCTTTTATTCATTACAATGGCTTATATTTATAATATATTTTAATAAACCCCACATCAATCATATTATATAAAATCAAATTAAGTAATCAAGATGATTCACAATTCTTTTCTTGATCTCAAATGCTACGTACACATAATTAAAATAGAATAAACAAACATTGAACTTTTTACCTTCTTACCCTGAGTCTAAAGGACTTTAAACCAATAAAACAAGATATACAACTTGAAGGATCAACAATAGTTGAATTGATAGAATAAGACTATGGACCAAAATTACCCACTCATCAAAGTTTAATCGGCACTACCCACCACCCATGAATTATTACGATCAATAATTAACCTCCACTTCTCACAAACTTTCTTACAAAAAAACAATCGATATAAATGGCGATATGTTTCCCCCTAAAGCCAAATTATTTAAATTTCATTACTGTGTTTTCTTTGTATTTTCTCTTGCTTTTTGTATTCTATGATTCATTGCAGAAACCTGCCTTAAATCTGTATAGGTTCATGGACCTGGTCATGATTTTTAAATAGAGAATGAAAAAATTCAAAAAAGGAGACTTACTTGGGTAAATGCAGCAATGGAGATGGACCAACCAACAAGAAAGAAGCACCCATTATAATGAAGCCTATGATGGCCATTAAGCGTGTCCTTCCCTATATAATCAAGAAGTATTGAAAAAGTATTGTAAATTAAAACTTGCAGATACAGGTGTCTTTGTCCTATATGCAGGTATACACTTGAATAAAAGGGCAACTTGCAAGGGCAAAAACATTACACACAATGCAGGAAAATATTCACAAAATCAGAACTATTAAACTACCAAAATAGGATCAGAAGTATTTAATATGATATTTAAACAGGACTGAATATTACTATAAATATGAATGGACCATTTTTGTAATCATTAATCAAATTTAATGCATAAATCTTTGTTAAGTGCCATGTTACAAAATTATTTCATTCACCTGTGACGAATAACTGTATTTCGATAGTCAGAATACAAATGGCATACATTAATTGTTGCTAGGTAGGACGAGCCATAATGTTTGTCCTAGCTAACAACACGTAATGTATGAAATTCAGACTACTGCAATACAATTATTTGTAACAGGTAAATGAAATAATTTGTAATGAGGCACTTAACAAAGATTTGGGCATTAAATTAATTTGATTACAGTACAAAAATGGCCTATTAATTGTCTTGGCAAATGATGATCATACCTGTTTATCAGACAGGTAGCCCCACAGTGGCATGGTCAATGCATATAGACCTCCAAGTAGTAGGAATAATACACCAGCTACGGGTGTGCTCACTCCAAACTGTGAAAGAGAAAACACCAATGAAAAAAATCACAAATAGTCAAATGTAATAAAACTTAAATATAGGGTAATATATCATTGTACTTCAGTAGAAGTAGAAATAATAGACCAGCTAAGGGGGTACTCCCTCCAAACTGTGAAAGAGAAAACACAAATAAACTTTTTTTAAATCACAAATAGTCAAAAAACTTGAATAGTAATAAAACTTGAATATCTGGTTATATCATGGTACTTCAGTTTATTACTAGTACAGTCAAACCTGTCTATAGCGACCGCCCAAGGGAAACACAAAAAGTGGTCTTTGTAGACAGGTTCCTTTAGTACATGTTTCAATGAGAAACGATTTTCAAGGGAAACAAAAAATGTGGTCTTTGTAGACAGGGGGTCAATCACTAAAGCAGGTTTGACTGTAGTAATAAAGTAACACAAAAAATATAATGGACATCATTCACTCCTTTCAAGTAGGGAATGCCTTTTTTCAAAAACACCAGAAGCTTTCTTTCCAGGTCAATATGTCAAATTGATGAATCACAATTTTGGTTTCTTTGCAAAATATTGCAGACTTTAACAACAAAAATTATTGGTTGGGAGGTCCTTGATCTAAAGACATCAACCGGCATGGTCCACTGAGTCACTTGTCATCCTGCCTGCCACATCAAATCAACCTTACTTCTCTTCTTAGGGGTCACCTAGGGACTAAATCAAATTAACTGACAGTGCTTGACACTAACCAATTCCGGACAAGGTGCCTAGAGGACGATTCAAACTTCCTGGTAGACTTATTAATTTATGTCACCTTGCAATACTCAACTTTGGGGGTGGGGGTTGTTTATAATAAGGTATCAGTAATATGTAATGTTATTGATTTATACATATGTACTAATATCTCTTGAGCATATTGTTTACTGGAAGAAAGACCTTTTTTAATTCAAACTCTTGGCCTTAAAAGCTTACATTCTCATCTCATTAACAAACAAACATTTACAAACAAACATTTACAAACAAACATTTACAAACAAACATACAAACAAACAAACAAGCATGTTAAAGTCAAGAGGCAAATGATTCTTCAAACTATTTCCCATCAATCTCATTACAAATGTCTTAAATTAGATTTACAAAATTACAAAAATGATATGAAAATCAGCTCAGCAATGAAATGTATTCATTTCTAATTTAACTGATGGCAGTGTCTTTAATAATTGGGTTGTTGATCAACAAACATTATGTGGGGATTGTCCTTGGGGTAGTTATCTTTGGAGGGTATAGTATTTATCCAAATACATTTACAACTGGACCTTTCAATATCCAAGTCATTGTGATCTACTTGGAAACTAACAGGGGACATACCCAGCACAGGAAAGACCTTCAATATTTCATTACATCCTGTATTAGCTGGACAAAGTCAAGGATTAACACCAACAGCTAGTGCACTTTCTCTTTATATGAAAATATAATAGAATAACGTCATCAGCAGCCGGCATGTGGATCCAATGCATTACAAGGTGACAATACTTTCCAAAGATAGATTCATGGGAACTGGGTTACTTCAGTGTTCGGTCAAACAATGGTTTCACAATGTCATTCATAAACGTGATGACTGCGTTGCAATAATTACCTATTAATTCTTACATGTACGTACAGTAGTATTATTACAATATCCATCTCACAAACAGGGCTATTACCTATTATTATCTATAAAATGTATCTGAACCCATGTCACACAGCTTTATTACTTAAATGACCAACTTCAACCATCCACTTCTCTTTCTGCGCACAATAAGTGGTCTTGAAAGCTGTAAAGTCCTACAACAAGCTATATAATATGGTGTGTTTAAAAAACTACAAATAAATATCTGCCAAATCCTGATGCTAATAAAAAGTCAAAAAAATGACAAGTCAAAAAATGAAGGGAAGAGGACATGTAGAACAGGCAGAAGATGAAAAAAGGAATGTGATGATAATAAAATTAGACAGTGATTCACAATTTCAGAAGGGTTGCTTCTAGACATGTGTTGTGCATCTGTCTCTAAGGTGATCCCTCATCCCATCAAATATGACATGTGCCTGTTTTGTTTCGGCCGGTTGATTTCTCTTTAGTTTTCTCTACAGAGAAGAGCTTGCTTGCCAGCCATGAGTCAGTGATAGTTAGGAGCTTTCCCTTCAGCCATAAGCCATGATTAAACCTTGACAAACTCAAAATGACATCTCTTGTATAGAAAAGAGAAGTGACAAATACTTGAGTTCTACTTTCCCCATACATGCCTGTATTTCATTTTAATTTAATTGAAAGACACCCACAACTCCTGAATATCAACAGATGTTTGTTTAACTTAAATCTAACAGATGTAAAATGCTGAAGTAAACAAATATTTGAAAAATAATAATAACAACATTAAGCACAGATACAAACAAACAAATGAGAACTACATCAATAACAACTTTGTTTAAACATAGTAACAGAGATTGAAAGCAATAACTACATAAAACAATTATTACATTAACATATAATTATATAAACATACAAAAAAAATCAATAACAACAAACAAACAAATTAGAAAACTATATTTAAACATGACTTCTTATTTTTGTAATAGTTTCAAGTGATATTAATAGACTTGCTTATCATACCAATCATACCAAAGGCCTCAGGAGATGTTATCTTATCTTTGTACACTTCTGCAGAATCATGATCCTTTTTCCAATTACCAGAATATTCCACTTGAGGACCCCTCTACCATTGAACCCCCTTTCGGGAAACCACCCATCCCTCCGAACCCCATTTCTTTGGGAGTAGGGAATTAGAAGGAAGAAGAACAGGTATCAAAGGATTGACTTACCGTTTCCAGATGTAATGAAAGAGTTGGATCAAGGAAAGTCATTGCACACGCACAAACTATGATAGCTGCAGACATGGGCCAAATCACGGGAATCATCATGAAGTTGGACAGTGATCCAGGTTTGGGTTTCTCCTTGCTTGGAGCTATCAAGGCAAACATGTAATTAGTTGATTAATCAATAACCTCCCCACCATCATTATCACCATCAACATCATCATCATCATCATCACTGTCTTGACGCTTGAGGATTGTCATTGTCATTAGCATCCTATCATCAATCTCCCCATCATCATTATCATCATTATCATCATTATCATCATTATCATCATTATCATCATTATCATCATCATCATCATCATCACTGTCATCAGGATTGTCCTTGTCATTGTCATCTTATCATCACCACTGCGTATCAATGTTATGCTTGTTATCACAAGAAATATAATACCATAAAGTTCACAATACTAGCCTCTGTCATCTTCATCTACACCTTCTATGTCTTTACTATCATCAAAATGAACAATGAATCTTTAAATTTTAGCAAACAAATACACCATTGCCATCACCACCACCAGCATCATCATCAACCAACAGCATTATCAGTTTTTAGCTCTATTTTTTCCTTCATAGGTTTAAAGTAGAAACCTTCATATCTCCATATGATTGACAAATTATCACAATTCACAATCTCTATCAGTCTTTGTGAGCTACACTTACTCCATCATTGTTGAAATAAACATTGTAAAGTATTCATTTCTGTTTTACTAAAAATAAATGGCGATTTCACATCAACAATGAAACTTGTAACTCACTTGTAAATATTCACGATACTTGTTTGGTTTTAAATCTTTTAATTTATCATAAATTTACTTTATATCAGGTACTTTTTACTCTGTAAATTCAACAACTTCAGTTCAGTTCAGTTCAGTTTATTAAGATCATCATTTCGCAGCCTCCAGTGAATTGCATCATCGCATGACACTGTACAATTAAAATCATACCATATTTCTTTAACGATTGTTTGAAATAATACCAGTTAAAATAAAATAAAATAAACAATGAATCTTAATCAATACTTAGTTCATATCCTAGTGACAATGCACAATAAGTATTATGAGCAATAAGAATGATGGCAATACTTCAGCTCTTAGCTGCACTTTCAATGATTCTTATTTCAATAAACCAATACAATACAATGTAATAAACTTCACAAAACAAACAAAGTCAATATCTATATGTATTGTGATTAAAAAAAAATTAAAAAATAGAGAAGTTTCTTACTTTCTTTAGGAATGATAAAGGCAGTGATAAAGAGTACCAGAAGATCCAAGACACCAAGCACAATAAATGGAAGTTTATAACCTCCAATCTGAAACAAGATAATAAAAGATCTATTTTTTACACAGATATTAAGGTCAGGGTCCTGTTCCATAAAACGTGTTATCAATAACAAGGTACACAATAAATGGTTATAAGCTACTGAGACGGGTTCCATTTGATTGGCAGAGAGCGAATTTGTCATAGAATTCTAGTACTACTGAATTTGTTCTTGATAACAAGTTTTAAGCAACATGACCCAGATTGCATTGTACCATCTTCCTGGAAGAGTGATGGGGAAAACACATCTATCAGGGTTAAACTCATATCAGGGTTGCATCTCAACTACTTTGTAAACCAGAAGTTTGTTAGAAATCACCTTATAATGGCAATATGCAGAATATCTATAAGAAATAAACACCAATTTAAAAAAACATTCTACACTAATCCAATGAACAAGTTTTGCCAAACCAACACAATACATGTAGGTCGATTGCGATTAACTACCTTTCAGGAGTTTTGTGTAAAGTATTTCTTAAGTATTCAGCCTAGGCCGCATAATACTGATCCAAGCCAACACAATACATGTAGGTCGATTGAGATGAAATACCTTTAATAAGGAGTTTTGTGTAAAATATTTCTTTAGTACCGGTATTCAGACACATAATACTGATCCAAGTTGGCAAGAGCTTTTGAATACCTTGCACAGACACATGACTTCTGTTATTTTGCCATTAAAAAATGAGAAAGTACAAAGATAAAGTAACATGGGTCACAACACTTTTTCATTTAATTATTTCTTTGCTTATAATGTTTGTAAGTCAACAGAGTCACTAAATGCTGAGTAAGCTTTACTAAAACAAGCATGAGCAAGTTGTGAAGCTTATGGGTCAGTCATAAAATCAGTCTTCCAGGGCGATATATCTGATGGACTTTATCATTTTATTTTAGTGAAGCAAATTTAGCTCACAAAATATCTCACAATTTTAAGGAAATGTTTTGGAAAATAAAATATATACATTTTGTAATAGCTATCACAAGAAAACAAATTTTCTTTGAACATTTTAAATATCATGTATAAACAGAAAATGGTACATTATTTTTGCATTTTTTGATGAAATATCTGAGCTGGAGTCCACCATTCAAACAATTCCTTAAAGTCCCTTTAAAGTTTTGGGAGCCCAAACAATTTGATGGCAAATTTCACTTAAATTGTATCATAATGTGAAACAGGATGTCATTTAAGACACATTTCTGTAAGGATTTTCAAAACAAATGTGTTTGAATTTGAATATTGATGAAAGAATTCAAAATTTAGGTTTTCTGTGTACAACAGAAAACCCAAAATATGTTTTCTTTTATCAATATTTGTCTTCAGACAATTTTTATGGACGGAAATCTTTGCAGAAGTGAAATGCCATCCTCTTTCACATTATGATACAATTTAAGTGAAATTTTGCCATCAAATGTTAGGCCATTTTGAGGTCCCAACACTTTAGAGGGGCTTTAAGTTCTAAACAATGAAAAGTTTTGATGAATTACCTTATACAGAGCTCCTCCTAATGCTGGTCCAATCATCAGACCTAATCCGGAAAACGTCTCCAGATATCCCTTTAAAAGAAAAATAAGAAAAGAGAGAATGCTCATTACCATGTTTGTAGATTACAAAAGTAAGTGTTTTTTCTTTGTTTGTTTATTTGTTTGTGTGCGTTTGTGTTTGTTTTTATGTTTTTGCATAATGCATACCTTGCATTCTGTCGTTAAACTACTACAAATCTAGTTATGAAACTTTCACAATATTATACTGATATTGCCCGGTTGGGGCTAAATTAACTTCGGGTTGAAATATAACATTTTTGGGACCGCCGAATGGAGCTATATTTTCCCCAAGGGATTTTATATATGCTGGAAAATATTACTCCGCACTGTCAAAAGAATGTTTATTACACTTCTTCCAGCCAATATCTGTTATATCAGATAACCTTGATTACTATGATAAACATACATGTACACATAATATTAGGAGCAGTTGCGATCTCGTGCCTTGTTTTATTCTTGAGCCATCCAGCCTTCTTGGAATTGAGCACAATCAGAAACAATGGGTCTCATGACATGTATGTTTGAAAAAGTACATTTACATTGCCACCTTGAACCATATAATCTTCCTAGAAATAATCACAAAACAAACATATCTGACTGTGCAAAGTGAAAGAAACACATAGTTTGGCAAATTGTCCAGTAAATCACCTTTAAAAAAAAAAAAAAGTTTTTTAATGCATGCCATGTGTCCATTATCATACATTACATCAACTTCAATGCAAAGGGAATTTTATAGAATTTTATCAAAAAAGACAGCACGATATGTTAGGAAATGACGTGATTGTGCTTGGAATCGATTTGTTTGTTTTCTAAATATTTGGATAAGTTTGGAGAGTAAAAAAAGTATATTATATATCCCCTAAAAAAATATTTAGAATTATAGACAGTGTTATCATAAACTTGTGTCTACCGGTAAATATAAAGAACAATTGAGCAACACTCTGAGCCTAAATCAGTGACTCACATTCACAAAAGGGTGAGAGAGAAAAAAAGAATGCAATATTTGAAGACATATGTTAAACTGTCATAAATTTTCTTTCACTGGAATTAATCTTACATGTACATTACATGTACTTCCAAAAAAGGCTGGCCACTGATAGATGGTTTCTCTGAAAGCATGGTAAAATACAGGATAATGACACTCCTTTTATTATCTTTGTATGTTTACTGACGCCAAACCAGTCAGTATTGAAGGAAATATACAGGGTATTGACACTCCTTTATCAGTGTATTTTTGTGTTAAATTCAATCAAAACCAGTGAGTATTGAAGGTTGTACAAAATAAGGTGAATAACCATCTGTTACTTCCTAAACCCATCACAGGTTGACCAAAATATTTGTAGGAAAAAACAACAAAAAAAGGAAATCAGCCACAAAGTTCCACATTTTCTGACATTTATACATATGGCCTTCAAATGCCATCAAATTTACTTGAATAGAAAAAAGCGTACATCCACCAAACACTTACATGTAAATGGAGTTAAATGTGTGAAAAGTAACAAACAAATTAATTAACATGGGCGCAAGAGTCTTGACCATCTTTTGCTTTTCATCTAATGACAATACATCACTTCCTCCATCCTTTTTCTAAGTGGATGTGAGATAGTATTATATCATCGTGAATTTCTTTTTAGTTTGATATCTACAAGCACTTCTGGCATTATCTGGTTCGAGATGCATTTCAAAGGGATATTATTAAGGTGAAGCATAGTGAGAAGGTATTCTATAACAAAGAGAAGGATCAACATGGGAATGAAAAGCATGAAGGAGGAATGATGATAACAAAAGTAAGAGGGAGCAAGAGTAATCCTGCGTACAGGTGGAACTGAGAGGTGAACACTGACTTGGAGAAAAGTAAACAATTTAAAGATCATTAACCCTGATCGCTGGATGTAAACAGAATCTAATTGTGTACAAAAAAGTCCACCAAATTATCAAGTTACTTACAGTCATCTGAGCGACATTGTCGGGAAACACCGTAGCCGTCATCGCCATGCCAGCAGTGACAGAAGCCGACGCCCCTAGGGATTCCACACTCCTCAGTAGAAAACAGTAGATGATGAAAGTATTCTTATCCTCTACCCCATCTAATAAACTGAATATGAAAGACGAGGCACGGATGAGATTTACCGGTTGACAACTTGAAAATTGGATGTGGAAGTAGGAGAATGTACCCAAGATGTTTCAAGGATAGAAATTTGATTTCTTGGGGGGAATACAGATGTTGGTTTTTCGTTGTTGGTTTTTCATTGTTCATATTAACGGTGATGGACTCGGGAAAGAGATGGCAGAGGGGCTGTTCTAGTGGAACTTTTATTGAGATTACACCGGAATTAACACTCATATATTCATGAATTTATTCATTATACATTATTCAGTCAACAACACACATTCATAACAAAAGAAATCACAAGATGAGTACACTGGTTGATCATAATTGTCCATCATGTCTTCATTACAAGAATATTGGATCACAGGCAGTTTTTGAGTTACAAAATATGATAAATACCTACAATGAAAATATAAACACATTGTTCACATAAAAATGAAATAGAACATACCCTTTCTAATTTCAGCATAGTTTATTCCATTAGTTAATACCAAAGTTATCAGTACTTTCAGTCACGGTCATTATCTATGCATTAAATTACTCTCAATGTCTATTTTTCGATATACTTTAACAGAATACTTTGAAGAAAAAACAAAAACAAAATACCACTTTACAATGTCAACATTTCATTATGATTTCGTCATGATTTAAAATGACTACAGTACCTTACAGCGCTATGATCGTGAAAGATAATACATGTCACTATTAAGTGTCCTTTGGCAAGGCATTAATTTACATTTGCCACTCCATACCCAGGAGAGAAATGGGGACCTGGTAGGATGACAAAAGCATTTGTGTTTACCTGCCATATGCCCTAACGATGACCATATGGTAGGAATACTTCCCAGGGAGAGGAGATGGTGCACATTGTGCATGAATAAATCCGAAGACTAGGGTAACTATCTGCAAAGGGCTTAGAGACGGCATTTCGTATTAAGCGCTATATAAATCCACATTATTATTATTAAAACATAATGACTTACCCGAAGAGAAGATTACATCCTGCTCCCAAAAAAGTTCCACCAAAAAATAAAAATCTTGGACCTATGACAGTAATCTACATTGGTAGAAAGGGAAACAGAGGGAGAGGAAGATAGGTGAAGGTAAAGAAACTCAATATTTAATAAAAAATGAAATTTGAAACCGGTTAATGAAATGAATACAAAATTCAGGCATTTTCACATCATATGGAAGAAACATTGCAAAACAGCCCACGAGCTCCTTTCATTTCCACATGGAAAATTATCTACATGTATTGATGAATACGATTGAAAATATCTTTTTAGCCACTTTATTAGTACTTTGCTTGTGTGCTTCAATGCATTAATAAACATTACTACCGGTAATGTATGTAGCCTAAAGACTATATTGTTTATCAGGACTTGGAATAACAAGACGTAATATTTTGTTCAAAATTTAAAGAAGAAAAATCCCAAACCATTCAACTTTTAGGCAGCTTCTACAAAAATGTAATCATACTACAATATGAGCTTTGATCATCAACAACAATCTATAATGACCTTGATCTCTAATCTGCCTGTTATCTCCAGTGAAATTGAAGGATTCATTTTGTATCGATCATCAAAACACACATCTGACTTCTTTTTTATAGGTCACTTGTCCATCTATCTTTCTCCATGCGCATGCAGGTGATTTCAACCAACCATTATAATATAATAATAATAATAATAATAATGGGTTCTTGTATAGTGCACATGTCAGTCAGATTTGACCCTCCTGGCACTCCCGATTATTAGGCAAAGAAAAGATTGTCTCTCATTTGATATTCAAGGTGGTTCCTTGAGTTGATTTCAACTGGAAACTTGTTGAAGTAATCCGATACCTATTTGGTGGCAATACCAGGGTTAAACCTTCAGGACAGGATTTTTTTTAGAGAGAGTTGAATTAATCACGTATTGTTTTTTAAAGTGGCAACAATAATTTATTTCATTGTTACATTATATAAAGTAATGTCTCTGGAAACAATATGGGGAGTATATTGTCATATTCAATTTGATTTTTAACACTGATTTCGAAATTCTTAATGAATTGCCACTTTATGGATTTAAAGTTATTTTTTTAATCTTTTTAATTCTTAATATCAAATGCAATATATACATTTAGTCATGAAACAGAAATTAATGCAGTGTGTGCAGAATGTTATGCCATTTCTACTATTAAATGGATGTGGCATATTTTTTTAGGGCTCTGACACTATGAATAGGACAGACAAAGAAAGCGGACAAAATATACAGTTCCTCAGGTAGACAAAGGAATATCCCTTCACTGCTATTATGTAAAAAGGTTAATATACATGTGACACCTGTTCTACACATTTTTACATAATAGCAGTGAAGGGATGTTCTTTTGTCTACCTGAGGAACTGTATATTTTGTCCGCTTTCTTTGTCACTCATATTCATAGTGTGAATCAACAGTTATTGTTCGAGCCACACCATAAAATGTGGAACGATTGTCGCAAAAGGGTGAACGAGAATATGACAGCCTATAGGGCACAGAAATTAACCTACATGTGTTCAACTGTGAACTTTTCACCCTGTGTAAAAATATTCTCACATGCTGTTTTTTCTACAGGTACGTGATTGTAGGTTATTTATTCGGTACATCTGGAAAGCATGTAAATGATACAATCCAAGTCAATTGTATCTTTCCCTGCACCCCGCAATTTCCATACCAGCACATTTTGCATTCTAAAAAAGTCAATACAGCCATATACATTGCAAGAGTGAGTCACCCAATTCTGCATGGCAGAGCTCTACAATATCTATTGTCTTTGTTTGGGCAAGATCACTAATGTAAAGTTTTCAAAGAAGTCAAATTTAACCCCCCCCCCCCCCCCACACACACACACACACACACAAAAGGGAGAAGAAAGAAAAAATGTCCCCTTGCCACTCTAGTGCTATTTATTACAAAATTTACTCAGTCGCTTTTAATATTGTAGTGTAAAACAATATGGTTTGGTTTTGACTTAATTTTATTATAAAATGTCACTAAAATCTTCTAAAACATAAGTCAAGAATTCAAACAAAATCATGATGTATTCTGTAAGATTTTGCATCTCACCAGGAACCACAACCTTTGTATAGAAAGCCATGAATTTATCTCTTCATCCTTTTGTACATGTATATATTGAGTATACATTTGAACTTATGTCTTAAATCTAATATCTCATAGAAATACAGACAACCCATCTTTTCTATGGACAAGCAAAAACAAATTGTATTGATAGTTTTGATACATCAATGACTCTTCAACTTGAGACAGTATGAGAAGTAGGGATGTAGCATACAATAAAATTTAGGCCTATCTGTACATATTAATAACCTTGGTCTAAAATTGACTTGATGTATTATAAAAATCTATTCATTTTGGCCATATTTCTATGCTTTTACCATAATTCATATTCATATTGCATATAATTCATTGAGATTTTTTGTTCTTCTGATGTTAATGGGCACAATCTAATGAACATACATTTGTACATAGGCTTTATTCTAGTAAAAACCCTGAACATAATCAATCTACTCACGTATTTGCCAATGATTGGCGAAGCAATGAAGCTGATTAAAGCATAGACACCAAACACAAGGCCACTCACTGTAGTCGAGACGCCTTTATTCAGGGCCTGCAGACAACCATAAAATGAGAAGAGAAGACAGACAGAATGTGGATTGGGTCTTCTTGAATACATGTACATGTAGATGGTAATGTACACGATTAAAAATGAGATTAAATCATGGTGCCAATTGTATCATAATTTGAGCCATACATACAAGCTTGCAAGGATTTTTGGATGGAAAATAAGACATGGGTTGAAAATTTTGGAACAACTTTTAAGGCCCCTCTAAAGTGTTGGGAGACCCAAATTCGCCAAAAAATGTGTTTGAAGACAAAAATCAAAATTGATTTAAAAAAAAAAATCATAATTTGGGTTTCATTCTTTCATCAATAATTGACTTCATACCCATTTGTTTTGAAAATCCTTGCAGAAATGTGTCTTAAATGACATCCTGTTTCACATTATAATACAATTTACAGGTATGCGAAATTTTGCCATAAAATTTTGTGGGCTCCCAACATTTGAGAGGGGCTTTAAACAGAAATAAATGACATCTTATCAGTCTTTGGTAAATTCAGCTAAACATTTTTCTAAAGGCAGATTTTCTCTCTCTCTCTCTCTCTCTCTCTCTCTCTCTCCTAGCTGGTTCTTTCACCCCTCTTAGAAACAGTTATGATATCTTTAAGTCTTGAGTTAAAACATTAACTTGAGTTCTGGTAAATATAGAAAATATATTATCACAGAATCCAACAAAACTTACACTGAATGTTCAAGAATCAAGATTACAAATAAAATATGTCACACAATTTTGGTAGAAAATGTACAGTGGCAGAGTACCGGTAATGAGCATAGAAAGATGAGGAAATCCGGGTAGGTAGGCCCGACCGACACATAGGTCACTATGTACAAATGGGAGTTGTGGTTTTTATCAAAGATGTTGCCCAGCAGGGAGTTGGAATCACTCCCTGTGGCCAGTAAGTTTTTGTGCATGGTTTTTTCATTTCATTGGTTCAAACAACCAATCTACTGCAGGATAACAATCCAGAACAAATCATAACAATTTTCTCTCAAAATATGATTCCTATACCAGAGCTCAAGATTAATTTTTAACACAATATTTGTATCACAATGATAACAACTTGCCTGGATGTAATCGTTCTGTGAACGATTGGTTCAGCAGAAAAACTTTAAAATGTGATAGGATCATAGGGCAAAATTGATTTGGAATACAAATGAGTATAAAATGTGAAATCAAGTCAGAAATGATTCCAAGCTATATGATGTTAGCCTAATTAGCTGTGTATCAAGTTCGTCATATTAGTAATTATTTTTTTCTTCATAAAACCAATATTGAACTGAGAATGTAATGTAGCCAGAAACTGTTTGGAAAATCATAAATCTGTTCAAGGGATTTGTTCATGCATAAAACATGATTAAATATTAGTTCAAGAAATTGGGAAAAAATGGGAAAGTATATATATGGTACCATAAAACATATTGCATTACCTCGACTGGAAAAAATGGAGCAAGTACAGAGTATAGCATCATGTCTGCGGTGAGCACGAACGCAAAACCAGCGAAAGTGAGCTTCTGATGACGAGTGTAGCGCTTGGGCTTCTTTTTTTGGTCGTCACTGTTGTCATTTGAGTTTGATATTTTTTCCTCATCATTTTTAGCATCATCATCACTTTCATCATGTTCTTCATTTCCCAGTAACGTTCTCTCATCCTCTACCACACAATTGTGTGAAACCGATGGAACATGTTCTTCCGTTCCAGCACAAATATCCTTGGAATTGTTACTATTGTGATTCTCCATTTTATCGCTTGCTTCCACCGCTGGTACATCAATTCATCTAATTTAGACAAAAACGTATACTTCCCAAGGTTGAGGCTCACTTCTGACAATCCTGAAAATACAGCTCTGCCTATATATATATATGAAAGAAAAGTAGTTAATTTAAAAGCAGAATAATTCGAAGAAAATGTATGGTTAAATTTGAAAATGTTAATACAAAAAGTAATTTGACTTATTTAACATGATTAATAAAAAAAATTGAATTGAATTTATTAAACCATATAAAAGCAAAACATATAATATAAAATAGAATAAATTGAACATACTTGAAATACAAAGCAAATATATGGTCAGGCCGACTCAGGACCACACTTCACAAAGAAGCGAATCAATGATTATGATGCAATTAATCCTTTTCACAAAATAACTTGGTAAATTACTTTTTACTAACATCAAGTCATTTTTAACCCAATTTGGAATTGTCCATTTTTTGGTCATAATATTTTTGATTAACTTTAGTCTTTTACACAATATCTGATTTGTTGAAAGTCGAAGAGAGCAATTATACCAGTATCTGATCGCCACAAGCTCCTCTTCTAAAATGGATGATAGAAAATGAAACTGAATGTTTACCTTTACTGAATTACGGTTCAGTTGCACGGTATTGCGAAATCGCAGGAATCATTGGAGCCAATTACGCAATTCGGAAGTATCAGATGTGGTGTAACTTGACTCGAGACTTGGGTCGGGAAAAAAAATCCTCAATTCCCCCCAATTAATGAATTTGCATGTTGCAAAGACAATGCAAATCGAAAATCAAAAGGATACCCCGGCGCCGCATCTATCATACGTGGGGCATGGTTTACAATGCACGAAGTTGATTTGCGATCAGCTGCAGCTATAAGCCAGCTAGCTAAGATCACGGACCAAACTGCGGCGCGTCGGGGTGGTGGTACGTGGAATATGAGGGCGGTTTTGCACCTTATCGGACCACGGCGGCCTCCACGCGCGATGACGATGTTGTGCGAAACCAAAAACATTGCCAAAATGTATGGATCGCGAATTGTATGAGGATATGCGCTTCCTGTGCAGTGGTCTTTTGATGTTTTTCTTCGTTTATTAGTCAAGTTCAATGTAATACACAGAATAAAAAGATATTGTAAAATTATAACACAATAATTACAAATAATAATAACTCGACAGGATGACACATGGAAGCTGAAAACGTTATTTACAATGGGTACCTATTTACAAAGTCAGGCCGCCAATTATAATAATAATAATAAGATATTTGTATACCGCAAATTGCAAATTGCCTCTAAGCGGTTTTTAGAAGAAAATAGCTGATAAGTAAAGGAAACAGAATTTGCATTACAAATTATATCAATTTAAATTACCATTAAAACTTTGCAAATGAAAATAATACATGTACATAATTACAAATCACTATATGGCCTACAACCAAATACAAATAGTTCATAAGTTACTGATAGTATCCTACGGTAATCTACACAAAGTATATTAAAAGGCAAAAGGTCAAAAGAGCTATTCAGGAACAAGACTTGAAGAGATGTGTTTTTAGCATTGTTTTAAATGAATTTACAGAGCTAGCATTGCGAATTTGAAGGGGAAGATTGTTTCAAAGAAAAGCAGCTGCATAAACGAAAGAACGTTGACCATATTGTTTGTATGAAATCCCGCCCCCCCCCCCCCCCCCCCCCCCACTCAGGTTTCGAAATGACCGCATGCGTGTTGCCAAAATGTCCGGTAAAGGGGTACTTTTCGTGCGACAAAGTCCGGCCCGAGAATTGTAAAAAAAGGGGTGTATTTGACTTTTCACCCGGAGATTTCTTTAAAAAGGGGGTGTTTTTTCTTTTTTTTCTCTCATCTATTTGGACTCCTGAGAAAATATTCCGAATTTAGGGGGGTACATTGAGCATTTTTCCTGATTTAGGGGGGTCTCCAAGGCAGGAAAAGCCCGCGAAAAGCCCGCGAAAGGGGGGTTCGGAAATGTTGGTAGTCCTCAGATAGGGGGTGATTTCAAAAAGAGGGAACGAGCATATGCGTACCCTAAATAACACTGAGTGGGGGGGGGGCGGGTATGAAATAGTGTGAGACCGAGAGAGGAGAGATTGAGAAGCAGATCGCAAAGTCCGGACAGGAGTGTATCGAGGAAGGAGTTCAAGGAGGTTTTAGATTATACTCATTAAAGGGCCCATATGACATCGAAATACAAGTGTATTCATGTTGGTGTGCAGTCCTGAATACATCTTTTTTATTTTTTATTTATGCTTCTGAATTTGTTTCATAGATTTTAAAATATTTTTGAAATATTTGTTTTTCAAACTTGCTAAGCTCCACTTCAAAAACCTCCAGATCTCATTCCCCTTGTGACATCATCTGTCGGTCATCAATGAGCTAACTTGTGAAAGTGGCATGTAACTTTGCCAAAGTTGACCACCTGTTACAATACCACAAACAATAGCAACATATAAGTTGCTATGTCAGACATGTCAGACTAAACTAATATTCTAGAATAGACAATGGTATGTAATTTCCCCCAGCTTAGCACACGTTCATAATATAATTGCATGCTTTCATATTACATCATCATTGCCTTCATTTGTCTTCCTGGTGATGCTACAACATGTCTGACATATAGCTACTAAAGAAATAAAATAATCTTAGTAAAAAATCTAGAAATCAGTAAGCACCGTTGACTAAAAAGCCAACTTTTATATACTAAGTTGAGAAAAACAACATAGGTGAAACAACACTACAAACAGTCCTTGAGAAGTTAATCACTATATATATTATCAAGTTAAACATATGCACAACATATTGAAGTTGATTGAAGTTGATTCCATTCCTTGAGTCTCAATTGTGATAGGTACCTTTAGGTGCGGCGATTTCTTTTCATGACCGGGAGGGGGGGGGGGGCTTAAAATGTGTTGCAGTCTTTAGTCAGTATTTGCTATACATATTTTTTCGCTACGCTCCCTCGCATAAGATCCTTCAAAATGTGCCCCCCCCCGGTCATGAAAAGAAATCGCCGCCCCTAGAGGTACCTATCAAATTGAGAATCAAGGGGGACGGACGTGCCCCCCCCCCCGGATTCGCCGCCCCTCTTTCTAGTTTAACTTTTAACTTTGGAGATATTGTAGGATTTGTCTTCCCCAAATCCTTTGCTCTCGTCACCAGTTATCAACTTTTAGAACTCAACTAAAGATATACCTAAATTGCTTACACTATTAGTCACTGCTTTTTTGTTTTTCCGTGCAGTCAGAATCATGAACAGAAGTTGGTAGTTTTTCAGTCTCATCAGCCCCTTTGGTTAGGCAACTAGATATTGGCGCTTTTTAAATTCCTGGTTTTAATAGGATAGGATAGGATGAGGAATTCCATATTTGGCCCATTTACTAACAATTGCCAATTTTGCCTACTTAGTACATTATCGGGTAAAGCAAATTTGAATTGCCTACTTCTATAACGCAAGTGAAATTGTTGCCAATAATTAAATGATTTTCATCATGAGAATAAATATTAATGCATAATGATGTAATACGAGATGTTTGGAGTTGTTGCTATATAGTCCGTAAAATATACATTTAGCCTTGGGACTTGCATTTATTTTGCCTTTCAAAAAGAAACTACGATAAACATTTTGAAAATTAAATGAATGGTACATGTTATTCAGTTAATTAACAAACTTCATCTTCACCCAAACTCACAACAGGGGGAGGGGGGGGGGGGGGGGAGGGGGGTAATTTTACAAGGAGCACTAATTTGTTTTCTTTTTTTCCAAACTCGTGAGAAATATTTAGCGCCGGAATCAGCCAGCCGGCGAATAAGCGGGGGGGGGGGGGGGGGGGGGTGTAAGGAGCACTGATTTTGTTTTGCTTCTCCAAATTCGTGAACAAATTTTGAGCGCCGAATCAACATTCACCCCCCCCCCCTTTGCGCAAGGGGAGGAGGTCCGTCTTCTTTTTAATGTTAAAAAAGTTTTTTGGCCACGGGGAGGGGGGCCTGCCCCCCCCCTATGATCCGCCACTGCCCATGAGAACCGCGTTTGATTTAGATCTCTTCTCATTTCAAGACAATAGATATGAATATGTAACGGTTTCCCCCTTTTCTTAAAAGTTTGTTATCAAAACTGATTTATTTATTCATGATTCGTTCATTTAAAAAATTTATGTTTTCATTTATTCGTTCATTTATCTATTTATTCATTCATGATGACAGATCTATCATCTAGAGCCGATCAGTCATCCGACACCCACCCCATTGGCCTTTAAAATGTTCCCGAAGTTACCCCCCCCCCCCTCCCCCATGCATGGATAGATATTTTATTCCAAAAATAGTTTCAGAATTAGCCACGTATCCCGTGGATTATAGTACAAGTGAATCAACACGTCCAAATATCCTGATAATGTGCACCATTTTATGTGGCTGACGATCCTATTTCTCTTCCTATTTTACAGTAAATAGGCCTATTTTAATAGACATTGAGGTATTAATTCTAAAAATCAGAAAAAACATGGCACTTCATACATCTAGATATACAGCACGTGTACAGAAAAATCTCAGTGCAGAGTAAAAAGGTACGAGTCAGACTTCGAATTTTGGACATATTACTTGGTAGGTTCTACTACTCAAACTTTTAAAGGCATTTTTACAATTTATATTGTTGCTGTTCACATGTTGCTCTCAAATTTTAGTTATTATTAATTCAATCTGAATCAATAAGATGTAGATCTACCCGTCTTAGGGCGGCTGGCCAGCAAGCTCGAATCTGAACCCCGCTACCTGAGGCGTCAGGCTGAGCCAGGGATCGATGAAACCTGACCAGAATCGCCGGCTTCAGCCTGCATAATGCATGAGCGACTTGTTTAACACGAATTAAGACTCGTGTCTCATGAGTGACGATTATTCCAAAAACAAGTTGAAAATTTTAATTTTCACATTCTTACATAAAAAAAAGAAGACTTTTTTCTTTCATCACTCGGAGTTTAGACTCTAAATTAACAAATTAAAACTGGGTTTACTTAGTGAGTTAGTCTTTAGCCTTTCTGTTTATTAATTCTTTGTTATGCCACCATAAAATTGAATTGTGTATTTTAATGATTCAATTATTGTTAATGTATGTCAGAGCAGGCGCGTAGCCAGGGGGGGGGGGGCTGTGGGGGCGGCTGCCCTCAATAAATGCCGGCCAAAAAAAGAGAGAGAGAAAAGAGAAGAAATAAAAAAAAGTAAGAGGATGTTCTGGGAAGAAAAAGGAGCAGATAAAGAAATATTTTTGAAGATTTAGACATTATTAAGAGCTGAAAACGGTACAACGAATCGTCTTCTTCCTCTAATAATTTAATAGAAACATCGAAGCTTCGCACGGGAGGGGGAACTAAATTCAGAGAAGGATTAAGAGTTGATAACGGTACAAAAATCGTCTTCGCTCTTTAATAATAAAATAAAACATCAAATTTTCCACCTCCCTGCACCCACCCCCCTAGGGAGCACGCCCTGTAAGTGATTCGCACGCTTTGCATGGTCACTACCGTCCTCCCTAAAATAAAATCCTAGCTACAGGCTTGTCTCAGAGACTTTAAAAACATACCGATAAAACATACTTTAGAACATGGGAGTCATGGCAGTTTATCAAGTAAATTACCATCACTTTCTCATTATAGCTGGACAATTTTCCCCCAAAAGTGTAGTTTTGTCTTCTGAGTTCTGTTTAAGTACTACTTTTAGCACTAATATAGACCTACTTTTCTCAATACCAGTATTGAAGCCCTTCTCCCCAAAACCAACAACAATGATAATACTAAATAATCTCAAACAAAATGTATCTGTGATGTGCTTAGCTCAATGTATGTACCTGAAACTATAGCTGTATGACTGTAGTGTATTTTTCAAACTTCAAAGTACTGTAATTTTTTTTGTCTCTTTCATATCTAGCTCAACCATGGCCTTGAGATACCTGTGAATATTAGAGCATGAAGAATCTACCTCCATCTCATTACCAATCATTCTAGTAGCAGTAACATAATAAAGATGACAAGAATTGAAAGGTAAACATATATGAAAATTCTCTCTATATTGGTCAATTTATTAAATGCATGAAATCATTCAAATGTATTCCTAATGACAACAGTTTATATTCGGTGTGCTTCATCATTTTAAGTGACATAAAATGATTCCAAAATTTGGTATGTAATGAAAATGACAAAATAGTGTCTTCCAAGTTGTATTTGACAACAGTATTGATGTTGTTATTGTCAACAGTGAATTCTTCAATTTGTTTGGACATTGGAGGATGGATTGTGTTTAATAATATTGAGGCAGTCAATAGCAATGCATTTTGCAACATTTCACTTTTTACTTTGCCCCATATTCAGATGTACTGCACATTCCATGATTACTTAATCATTACAAATGTGGCATCATTGTGAAGGCAAATACGAATAAACAGGCTTTTCAATGATAACAACATCAATTGTGATAAAAATAATAATAATAATAATAATCTTTTAAAGTCCACTCCAAATTTTATTAAGTTAAATCAAAAATGGAATTTTTTTTTGCCCAATTGATCGTGAGCCTGGCAACCACTGAGCAGCGCCAGATTGACGTTGCTCTATTCCTTATTGTTGAACGGCAAACAAGGTAGCAGCAACTCCCGTCTTTTAACGTCTTTTGGTATGACGTGGCCGGGGTTCGAACCCACGACCTCCCGGTTGTGGGGCGGACGCTCTACTGACTGAGCCAACACACCTTGTAACAAGGGAGATGTCAACGCTCTAACTTGAATTGCAGAACTTTTTTATTATTAAGGGGTATTGTGTTATAATGTAGAGCATTTGTGGTTTATGAAGTGATTTACTGTGATTGCAACATTTAGATTAGGATATCAAAATTATTGCATGAAAATGATTCTACCACCAGGCACCATACCACATCCCTTCATGACCTTCCATATTCCTGATATGAAGATGAATTTAGGGATGCTAAAAAACCCAAGTACCGGTAACCAACATGGATTACATTCTAATGAGTCTAACCATATCCTGTATGGGGATAGAGCAACGTCGATCTGGCGCTGCTCAGTGGCTGCCGGGCTCACGATCAATTGGGCAAAAAGAATTTCCGTTTCGGTTTAATAAAATTTGGAGTGGACTATTAGGCTATTATTATTATTATTATTATTATTATTATTATTATTATTATTAATAAAGGTCTGGAAAATTATCACAGAATGATTAAAAACTGGCAATGAATGTTTAAGATTTTTACAAATTGTCTACCACATTTTTTTGGTTAAAAGTATTATAGCTGAGAATTAAATGAAGAGAAATATGAAAAACCAAGTTGGTATTCACTACTGCATTCTTAATGCATGATCCACTATGATGGGATTTGAATTGTTCCTTCTGTGAATATAATTTCTGGCAGGATTTGATTGATGAATACCTTTTGCTGGTCCAAACAGCCCATCCACATAATTAAAAACAATTCCGTTTTACCGAAGCCAGTGTCTCTTCGAGTTTAAGTTCATTTACAGAACTCAAAATGTTCCTACATGTACTTAGTTTTTTTGATTATTTGAAATAGAAAAATAGAAAAGGCATATCAGAAAGAAACAATTTTGAATACAGTTTCTATTGTAGCATTTTACCAGGATGTTGTCCTATTCTACATTGTCTATTTAGACATCAAATTATTGTTCAAACAAGCATGTATGATTTAAATGTAGCTTTTAGACTCATCCATTCTTTACAATGTGTTTACAAAACTCAGATATATCTTTATGTTATATTCATGTGAGATGTAAAAACTCTTTAATGGAGTCATCTTGCTGATAAAGATCCCTCTCCCTTTCCTTTTTTTTTCTCTTAATGTGATGACAGGTTTACAACTCCACCTTCATTTGAAGAAGTTGATTTGTCTGAAGGTGAATGCCCGTTAGATTTGAAAGATGTGAGCAAGTCAAGAAAGGAGCTCTGGCTTATCAGAGCACCCCTTGGTGTAAGTTTATTTCATTTTTATGCCTCCGCCACCGAAGGTGGTGCCGGAGGCATCATGTTTTCGGGTTGTCCGTCCGTACGTCCGTCCCGTTTGACCGTTATCACAATATCTCAAGAACCATTTAAGATTTAAACTTAAGACTCGGGAATAGTATTTATCACCATAGGAAGACGATCTGATTAGATTTTGGAGTACGTAGGTCAAAGGTCACAGGTCACAGAGGTCAACTTATGAAATTCCTTGTATTGAGTTTGTTAGCGCGATATCTCAAGAACCATTTGAGATTTAAACTTCAAACTTAAGGATAGTATGTATCACCATAGGAAGACGATCTGATTAGATTTTGGAGCACGTAGGTCAAAGGTCAAGGGTCACAGAGGTCAACTTATGAAATTCCATACATTGAGATTGTTATCATGATATCTCAAGAATCACTGGAGATGTAAAAACTTCGAACTTAAGGATAGTATGTATCACCATAGGAAGACGATCTGATTAGATTTTGGAGCACGTAGGTCAAAGGTCAAGGGTCACAGAGGTCAACTTATGAAATTCCATACATTGAGATTGTTATCATAATATCTCAAGAACCACTGGAGATTTAAACTTCAAACTTAATGATAGTGTGTATCACCATAGGAAGACAATCTTATTAGATTTTGGAGCACGTAGGTCAAAGGTCAAGGGTCACAGAGGTCAACTTATGAAATTCCATACATTGAGATCGTTATCGCGATATCTCAAGAACCACTGGAGAATTTTCACTTCAAACTTAATGATAGTATGTATCACCATATCATAATATCTCAAGAACCACTGGAGATTTAAACTTCAAACTTAATGATAGTGTGTATCACCATAGGAAGACAATCTGATTAGATTTTGGAGCACGTAGGTCAAAGGTCAAGGGTCACAGAGGTCAACTTATGAAATTCCATACATTGAGATTGTTATCATGATATCTCAAGAACCACTGGAGATTTAAACTCCAAACTTGTTTAAATTGCTCTATGGCGGAGGCATCATTTTCGACTGCGCGCAGTCAAAATTCCATCTAGTTTTTTTATTTCTCCAGATTTTTACATCTTTTTTATTCTGTAGACATTGATGTTGTGTAGAAGTTATATTTGGATTACAAAATAGTAAATACACAATGATTTTCAGCATTGAATGATTGATATTCCTTTGAATAATAAGACTATAAGTTTAGTGGTACTTGATTGAAATACACAGTACATGCTTGTATTTCATTGCATGGAGTATGTTAGGTATTTGACAGAATCGTTTTGAGCCAGAATCATTGAGTGTAAGTTTTGAAAAAATATAAAGGCCCAAATTCACAAAGGAGGTTTGAAGACAAACCTAGGTTAACGTGCATCATATTAAGCGTTTTTGACGCGTTTCAAACCAAGGTTTGTCTGAACCTTGGTCTGAAGCGCATTGAAACCTAGGTTTGTCGACAAATCTCCTTTGTGAATTTGGGCCCTTATGTTTGTAATGATTCTTGTGAGATGAGATGTCACAGCGAGAATGAACATTTCTATCCTACAACCTGTAGTCCTGTACATACATATACCTATTGTTTGGAGAGGGGGGGGGGGGGGGGTTGAGGGTGAGGAGAGGAAACACTCCCTGCTTGATATTCATTCATTCATTCCATGTATTAACAGTGATATTTTGTTGTTTTGGTTCAGTTTGATGGCTCCTCTCTCAATGGTGTAACATTGGATCTAGATGGAAACTCGGTTGAATTTTCTTGTGAGGAAGGAGCTGGCAAAAAGTATGAAGCTATGTCTGTAAGGCAGCTGAAAGAAAATGAGGTAAATGACAAGAATAATGACAGTATACACCAAGATATCAACGCTCTTCAATACTAGCATGATATTCTTTCTCTCTTTCCAGAGTAGATTTGAGAATTTGAAGAAATAAACATGAATATTTCATGTGCAATACCCTCTGGAAAAAAGTGCCCCTCCCTCTTTACTTTCGTAATATAGAGATATCGACTGCTACGAGAGGACTTGCTGTTTTTATACGCTCAAGGTAAATTTGCCTCCGCTGCTATCACCCCAAGGCGCGCCTGGGTTGGTGGCGCGTCAAGCTTTATGAATCCCAGATATCTAACTGTTCAGATGCACATTGAGCTATCACTTTTAAAATATATAATTTTTTTTAAATATAGATATTGCTCAGGAAGGCATGCCAATAGTTAAGAAATAAATGCACTGCTTCTTTTTGCAGTTTTGTTTATCCCATGATGTTTTACTCTCTGACTTGTGTAGGGGAGGTATTCAAGAACTAACAGTGTAGTAGAGGAAATAATTCAGAGTAGTGTACCCAGAATATTCCCCCATTATCTTATCTCCTCCAAAAAAAAAAATCAGGATTACTAAACGTAATTTGTTTATCTTCAAATAATGGAGCTACTATAAATGTTTTAAAAAAAAGATAAACATAGATTAATTAATGTTAAGATTTTTAACACTCTTTATTTCCTTACTCATTTTCTCACATAAAGGGTCAATCTCCATATCTGCTGTTACCATCTCAGGAAGAAAGGAACCTTGAACCAGGTAATAAAAATGATACATTTTTTGGTTGTCCATGGTTTAATGTTAGCAACCTGCAATATTTATCATTGTATCCAAGGATATGCTGCGTGGGGAGCAGCAACATTTACCACCAAATCATTACATAAATGTTATGCTTGTCACTGGTATGGAAGTTGTGGGTTCGACTCAAGGTCAAATAAATAATCTCAATGAGTTATCAGATTCTTGTGGAGAAAATATGATCACTACTGAATTTATCTGTAACAAAATAAAATAAAAACTAGACACATAGATCTTAAACCAAACATGTAACTTTAGATGGGACTACGCTTTCCAAACAGCTGAAGCGTTTCCTCAATTACTTTGCAGATATTTTTTAAGATCGGTAAATCCACCTACACAAATTTGTTGCTTCTTCATAATGACCAAAACATGAACTTGTATTACCTCTAGGAATGTATAAAAGGAAGGAAATGAAATTCACCATGTCACTCTGGCCCCAAATGGTATGATATTTTAAAGGGATAGTTGAGTTCTTGTTACAGACTACAAATGCCTTCAAAGTGCATGGTTATTGCTCTTATTCTTATATATATGACATTTCTAGTGCTCTTTTAGGACCTAAAATTGCTATGAAGGTAATATTAGACCCCAAAATGTGTGAAATTTAGCCAATACGATTATACCAATTCAGCTACACTTTCAAAAAAATATGGTGACCGTTAATTGATTAATTTAAGAATAATAACCAGACACGGGACAGCTGGTTATAACCAACCCAAAAAAGCCAACATTGGCATTGGCTGGAATAAAACGTATAAGGAGTTATCTCATTTTTTCAACAGCTGATTCAAATTATCAAATATTTGTGGGGCACCACAAATATTAGAAATCGTTCTGATTTGAATCAATTTTGATCAAACAAAGATGATTTTGTCGTTTAAATTGCATGTTCTTTCAATATTTGATACTCAGTTTTTCATTATCTCACAAAAAAATAAAAATGTGTGTAGCGTCCTCTGCAAAAAAATCAAATATCCCTTTAATTATTGAAGGGAACACATTAAAAGTAGTACCCAAATATTTGTTGATTAGATACTGATGTGAAGCTACAAAGAGCTATTGTTCATTACAGAAAATGTGTTAAGAATTTCAGATAATTTTTGGATGTTTATAAAATGATAAGTATGATAAGAATCTCTATCATTAAATATTGAAGATGATCTGCGTCAGATCAATTCTGGTGCTTTTTTCAGTTCAAATGAAATGTGTTATTACTTCTGTCCTAAATGTACAGTATTTAAGATCGTATAGCACGGTACTATTTAAGATTTTACAATGAAAGTGAAAGTGGGTGAATAGAGAATGACATAAAGGGAAATCCCTTTTTTATCTAGAATATCTTTCCATTTCTCTATAGAAATACCAATTTCCATTTGATTGATTACTGGTTCAAGTTTTGACATTTTTTTAACCTTGTCATATTAAATATGTCATTGGATTTTCCTCAAACTTTCACTGATCTGTTTCTCTCACTTTTGGGGTATATATTTATTTTCTTTTATCTAAACCAACTGAGAATCTCAGAGGACTTCCCCTTTAATCAAAAAGAAAAAAAATAAGAGGACTGAAAAATAGAAAAGGAAATGATTACCGGTATGTTTTATTGCATAGAAGATAATTTTATTTTACTCCATACTGTTAAGATTTTGTTTGTCATGCAAGTAACCACCCCCCCCCCCCATAGCTGTAATTATTTAAAACTATTCCATATATCGCTATGAATTTGTTTTTTCTGAAAGTGTTACGTCCCCCAAAAAATGTTATGTAATACTCTTACTCTTTAATAATGATATCAACCATATTCTTCCAGCACATGTTACTTTACATGGGAATGAAGGAGAAAGTGACCATTCAAAATTCCAGTCATGCAGTTTATTGATAAATATGATAAGATGTTATCGCATCGTGCATACAACATTGTACTTTCAATTTGAAGGATGTTTTTATAGGATGTTCTTAATTTCAATGTCAACTTGCTATTGTTTCATGTTATCCCCAAATATGGAAGTGTTGAGCATGTATTAGTGAGGACATTTTCCTAGAACAGGAGGATATGTTGCAATTGAAAGTTATATCCATGTGGTGGCATCGGGAATTCTTAACTTGGCATTAGTGGAGACTGCCTTTGGTTGTTTTGTCTACCGCAGATTTTGTTTTATTGGTTGTTCCTCAACCTTTTTTTAACTTTCATACAATCTGGAGGTGTTTCACAAAGATCCTGACTTAAACATTGTGGAAAGCCATTGATACTATTTTGTAGCCTTAAAATAAAATATATTCAAAAGCAAAAATTCGAAGTATTCTAGACTTTTCATAAATTCCACATCAAGAACATGAAATCTCCTTGATAAAAGAAAATATGAAAGATTTGAATCAACATTTTATACTTTTTGAAATAACTCTTACAAATATATTTTCAACGGTGATAACGGCTTTCCATAATTGTTAAGTCTAACTTAGAATCTTTGTGAAACACCCCCAGGGCCGTAAAACATCCTTTTATAATGAAGCAGTGCTATTATTCCTGAAATCATGTCATTTTCAGTTATCTTTTACACTTTATGAACTTATGATTTATGATTCTGGCTTTGTTTGATTAAAATACTAGTATCTGTAATATATTGTAACCATACATGTTATTGTTGCAATCAATAGTCTTTTATTGTTCTCATTATAAACAGTCTCAGGTAACGCCAAATCAACACCATTATTGATGTTGATATGGCTTGACCTAAGACTGTCCATTGCAACAATTTTTAAAATAGAGAACAAGCTGATAAGTTTATTTTCAAATTAATAACTTATCGGTTTGGTTATTGGACTTCTAGTTTAATGTGTACAACATGAAGGAGTTTAACATATTGCCTAGGAAGTTCAGTCCATCAATTGCTGTGTAATAAGTATTGAAAGAGATACATGTATCTTTACATCTCAAAGCATTCTTCTATGTTAATTTAATAGTCCCGTGCAGTGATAATGTTCAGTGCCTGGAACAGTTCTTTGCTTCTGATACTGTGGTGCATGATATAGATTGTGTTTTGGGGTTGTCAAACCTCAAACTATACTAGGCATTAAATGAACCAGATAAATTTGGGGCTTTAGAGGTCAAAGGTTACAGGTTCATGAATGTGTAGAGGTGTCATAGTTTAGTGGATGTTACATTTTCTCGTTCTATCTCTCTCTCTGTCTCCAACTTTCTTTCTCTCACTCGTATCTCTCTATTTCTCTTTGTATTACATACTCTCTCCTCTTTCCAATTCTTCTTTCTCCTGTATTTACATGTACTATCTCTGTTCACATTAATGTATATTTCATATGTATTTAAATTTATAGGTTTATTTGTAATTTTTTATTTTGTTTAATATGTAATTGTTAATCATTGTATTTTGTATGATATAGCGCTTAGAGACATGGGTGGTAAGCGCTTTGTAAGCACCGTTTTTATTATTATTATTATTATTATGTGTCTCACTCTTTTAAATCCTCTTCCCTTTCTCTTCTATAATGAATATTTCAATGATGTTTAATAGGTCCTGCTTTCAAAGGCCAGGTTGTGATAATGGAATCACTGAGCTTACCTCCTTCTTCAAGCCAAAGCCTTCCTGAAATGAAACAATCAGAAGCTCCTAAGATGCCAGAGGGGTTGAGGCAGAGGTTCAAGCCGTTTGGATGTGGTAAGCTAAAAAGGAAATCCTTTATCAATCATGGAATTGAGATGAACCTCTTTAAAAAGTGTTTGTAGACTAGTGGAAAAGTGAAACTGTATTTCACTCAGAGAATCATGTGTTCCCCATTGTCAAATAAACTTACAAACCAGTATATTAAACAATGTCTTTCCTTTAAATTTATTTTTGTTGTTGTTGTTGATTGCTTTGAAAAATGCTTTCTGTGTAACAAATTATTTCTGATCATGTCAAATAGTACCTACTACATGTACATATTTATTTTATGGAAATTTATTTCAGGTATGTTTTTAAATAAAACAAGGATGGCATTTGCATTGTGTTTGTCTTCTTTAAATCTATTATAGACTTCTTATCCGACAAGCGTTTCCAATCTGTATCTTCCAACCTGAGTTCAATATCGCTGGCTTTTTTTTTTACCCCACCCCCATATATATTAATCTGTTTTTTTCTCCATAAAGTAGGATACCCTGTACAAGGATATCCTCTCGTCTCTGCCCCCCCCCCCCCCTCAACCTCTCTCACACTCTCTCATCCTGCACTTTCTTGTTGAGAACTGAAATCCAAAGCAGAATATTTTTGTATTCTTTTAATCCACTGCACTTTCTTGTCAAGAACTGAAATCCAAAGCAGAATATTTTTGTATTCTTTTTAAATCCAGAGAAACCATGGCAAGGTGAGGATAAACCTTCCCCTTCTTCTCAACCAAAGAAATCATCCTCATCAAGGATGAAACGGAAGATCAAAGAAGAAAATACCCCGAATGATGAAGTCCTGGACCATGTAACCAGGGTTACTGGGCTGGAGACAGTGGATGGGAGGATAGTAGACGAAGAGGGAGAACCAGAACCAGAGAGTAAGAAAAAGATGAAGAAAGCAAAGAGGAAACATATAAAAGAAGAGGTATGTTTGTTTTTATTATATATCAACGATGGTAAATGATTTATTTCTTCAATTTGAGTAAATGGAATTTTAAAAATAATCATATTTGTTTTGTTTTTAATGCATTTTTTGTTAATGCCTCGTTAAGAGGCATTATATATTCGGCATTATATATTTGGGTTGTTTGTTCGTCCATCCGTCTGCCCCTATTTTCGTTCCTGCAATAACACAAGACCCATTGAACAGATTTTACCAGAACTTGGATGGAGTATGAGCATGCAAGGATGAACTGATTAGAGTTTGGGTAGAAGGGGTCAATGGTCAAAGGTCATAGGGTCTAGCAATATCTTTTTACCATGATTACTTCAAAAGCATTGAAGCAATTCAAGTTTAACTTGGACAAAGTTTATATAAGCATGCACTGATGAACTGATTTGATTTCAGGTGTAAGAGGTCAAAGGTAAAATATAAGGTTATGAAAGTGTAAAAATCCCAGAGAATTTTCTTTTAAGTCTGATTATTTAACAAAAATTGAGCAAAGCAATTGAGTTCTTGAAGTCTGTTGTAAAAGTTCACAGGATAATTGATCAATGAATAAACATTTAAATAGATGCATATTAGAGACAAAGTCGTATTCATCTTGTTTATTATTATTATGAGAGAAACAGCTTTGTTATATAATTTTTTTAATCAACAGTTCAAAATGTATAGACAGATGGCTTAGTGTTTGGGACATAATTTAATTGCATTTTGTTCAGTTTTGATTGCATATATCCTCATATTTATTTGAGTCATTCTCATACAAAACATGCAATGATTAGATATCCTGTTGATTATGGTGTAGATTACTCATACAGGATTACTAACACATTGATGTTAGTAGGGAAGGGAGGGATGATGGAGCCTGGAGGATAGACACAAATAGTTTATAGAATAGTAGTGCTAGCGGAGTTGACTGAAGTTCAATCAATATCTGCTTACTGTACTATTAAAGTAGTCACCCAAAGAAAATTCACGACAACTGATAATGATGGATGGAAAGATTTTCTCTTGAAAAACACAAATAATTTGCTCAAAAATCATATAGATATCATGGAAAGGCCTAAAATGCTTTGTGGCTAGCTGTGTCTCGCATGTGGCATCACAAATCTTGACGCTCTACAGAGGACTGCTGTATGCAGAAAATGTGGATCTCAAAATTAAAGTTTTTGAGAGATGATTACTGCGGGCCCCAAACATATTTTGAAGAGGGAAGATGTTACATTTGATCAGCAATGCTTCCCCTTCGCAATGATATGAATTTTGCATCAATTCAAAACACTTTTAATTTGGGTGACTACTTTAAGTGTGTAATACTGTGTGGATGATGTGTGGAATGCTGCCAAGAGTCTACCCCCCACGTATGGCTCGAGAGAGAGATCCCTGTGAAGCTTGTTTTCCATCTCAGAAGGACTGTCAGGAAACCGTACTCCTGTTTCATAACTTGATGTTTTGCCCGTCAGCTGTCATTTCATGAAAAATTCATTAGTCATGATAAAGTAGTAAAATGTGTGCCATTTTTTAAAGGACAAAACAGTTCACTTTAAGTTATTTTGTGTTCTGGGCCAGGTGGGCCAGATGCTTCCCCTGTCATTTGTAATGGTTAACGAGGCTGTTGCCATACTACTATTGTATGTTATGTAACTTTTTTTTCTTCATCTCCTTTTATGGCTCATTGAAAGGCCTCCAATCTGGTTGTGACAAATTATATGATTCACACAATTTTGCTGATTATTCAAGACTTTACCTAAACATTACCTGCTAAGAGGTTAAGCATAATACTCTTGATTTTTGTTTTGCTAAGTTTTTTCAAATTTGTTTAGTGCTGCTTCTTCAAAAACCTTTTTATTACTTTGATGAAATATGACTTCATTTCTAAAAATGCTAGAACTTACAATGGAATGTTAACAGCTCATGAGAAGAAGTTTGTTATCACGATCACACCAATCCCAAGTGTAATTATGATTCTCCATCAAAGGTTTTGGTATTGATCTGTATCAAGCAGATGATCGATAAGAGGAAGAAGAGCAAAGAGAGAGAGAGAGATAGACTAACTGAAAGAAAGACAGACAGACATATATACAGAGAGAGAAAGAGAGAGAGGGAGAGAGAGAGAGAGAGAGAGAGAGAGAGAGAGAGAGACAGAGACAGGCAGACAGACAGACAGGCAGACAGACAGACAGACATACAGACAGACAGACAGACAGACATATAGATATAGACAGACATACATATAGAGAGAAAAAGAAAGAGACAGACAGACGGACAGACAGAGGGGGACATACAGAGGGACAGACAGACCGATGGATAGATAGATAGACAGACAGACAGACAGACAGATAGACAATACATACACAGAGAGACAGACAGACAGACAGTCAGATAGACATACATACACAGAGAGAGAGAGAGAGACAGACAAGTGGACAGATAGATATACAAACAGAGAGAGAGAGAGAGAGAGAGAGAGAGAGAGAGAGAGGCCTGAGAGGGGGTGGGGTGTGGGATGGAGGATTCAAATATCATATAGAAAACAAAAGGGACAGCTTTGGACAGGGTCCAGCAGTTTCATGATAGCTCTTTCGGCACTGCACCTGTACATCCTGAAAAAGGATTACTGACAATCTAGGAAACATGTTCCACATTTCCCTGACCAAAATCACCCAATTACCCTGGGCAAGGAGACCTTTCATTCTTTGCAGGCTATTTCCCAGGTCAGTCTAATACTCAGTTACAGGCAAAGTGAAGATTGATTAGTTGCTGCTCTTTTTAAAGATAAAGTTGAGTTCTGGTCATGCAATTGCAATATGAAAGAAACGGTGTGGAATTGATCAGAAAAGGTTGATCACCTTCTCTTTAACTAGAGTTATTGATAATGTTAATATTGCATTTGAATCGAGTGTAATCCTGACTATAACAGTAGTCACTATCATTGAAACATACATGTAGTTTGATGTAATGAACAAGATATCATTTCCTGCACCTGGGTCAAAATAGGAACAGAACAAAATTCCCCTAAGTATTTTGATTGGAACACAAGACAGAAAGGTCCAAAAGACAAAATTTCTAGGACTTACAGTCTTTTAGTCTAGAGAATATTTCTGTCAACTTGGCTTTGCCTTACCCTTTTATTTGCTGAGCTGATTTGACCCATTGCCTACTGGAAATGGGTGGTTCCTGTATTAATCTCATAAGAATGTGAGATTTCAGGAGTTAGTGGGTTCAAGATGTATTATAGGGACAGTCCCCAATGACCCAAGGTCTGCCCGTTCATTAAATTGCCGTTTAGTCTACAACCAGTTCGTCTACTACCCAATTGGTCTATTCCCATATGGTCTACACCCTGCCTGCCTACTATCCACATGTTCTAATACTCATTTTATGTACTTATCATTTGGTCTAATGACTGTTTAGGTTATTTGGTTCAATTCCCATATGGTCTAATCTCCAATTAGTCTACTACCCATTTAGTCTAATCCCAGTTTGTCTAACGCCTATTTTCTTCTACCATCCATAAGGTCCAATTATCATTTGATGATTAAATGGTTATAAGACCATATGAATACCGGTAGTAGACAAACTAGGAATAAGACCGACTTGAATTTAAACTTAGTGAGCAATTGGCCAAATTTGCGGCCAAATGGGTAGCAGACTTATTGGAGATTATCGTTAGACCAAATGGAAAGTAGACCAAATGACTTTAATACCCTGAAATGCCTGAATAGGCGAAATGATTATTAGACCATGTAAGAGGTAGATGGGCTGGGTGTAGACCATTTGGGAATAGACCAATTGGATAGTAGACAAACTGGTTGTAGACCAAATTGGCAATACACCCCCAATCTTGCTTTCTTTATTTGTTGCCCTTGGAGATGGCGAGTCATTTCTCTTTTTCTGAATACCCTTTCCTGTTGCTTATAGACTTCTTGACTGGTTGTATCCACAAGAAGGTCATCACTTGAGCCGCCCAGGACAGGGCCATGCAAATCATTGACCATTGACTTTTCACTGGACTGGTAGGGAAGAAGAGAGAGGGAGGACTTTAAAAAGAATTAAATTTATACATATTTTTTAATTACTCGTTGTAATAATAAATGAAGGAGGGAGGTTCTTTTAGTTTGTTAAAAAAAAAGTAATTTATACTCTTTGATTTACTCCATTCCACATGGGAGGAAGGGAGAGGTGGGAAAGGGGAGGAAGTTATTGGTTGGTTGGTTTCTTCGCTCAGTCAGTAGAGCGTCCGCCTCACAACCGGGAGGTCGTGGGTTCGATCCCCGGCCGCGTCATACCAAAAGACGTTAAAAGACGGGAGTTGCTGCTACCTTGTTTGGCGTTCAACAATAAGGGATAGAGCAACGTTGATCTGGTGCTGCACAGTGGCTGCTGGGCTCATGATCAATTGGGCAAAAGAATTTCCATTTTCGGTTTAACTTAAAACAATTTTGAATGGACTTTAAAAGATTATTATTATTATTATTATTATTATAATTATTTGTTTATTACCTGACTGCTGAGAAATCCTGTGGATGATTGTAAGTAAGCAACCATGGGACCTACGGCTTTGAGTCCTCTCCGAGGGACTTGGTAATGAGGATTAATGCTTTAATACCAAAAGGGCCCTAGCGCATCGACTTGGTTTGGATGGAACCCAGGACCTCCCAGTTATGAGACCACTGCTCTACCACTGAGCCGTCACGCTTCACTATGGTTATAATATTGTATAATGACTTAAAGTAACAATTGATTGACAGGGCAGAGGCGGAGTCAGTGGAGAGGTATCTTGATCTGTCTCATTCAACCTATTATCAAGAATAGTGAAGACAACTGATGACCTCAATAAAACATCCTTATTTTTTCAGAAAATGATATAGGCCTATGCTAGTTTGAATGGGTCGGTGTGTGTGAAATGTTGCTCTAATCTCTCTCTCTCTCTCTTGTCATTCTTCAGGTTGCAGAAGAGGAATCCAGACCTGAACACACGGATGATGTCATTGATGAAGGCGGGTCAAGTCCAAGGAGAAAGAAGAAGAAAAAGAAGAGCAAAGACAAATAAATAGTACTCTTGTGCAGGGTCATATTAAGGATATGTGACGCTGTTTGTGTATTTCCTTTCTTTTTCTTGAATTACTTTATAGAGCAGATGTATGCCCACTCTTATACCTTGGCCTCATAATTGCGCCAGGAGTGTCAATTTTGGCAGACATGACACATTTAATACCTGTGTTCACTATTATTGTTATTATTATACCATAGTTAAGTTTCCTGTATAGACTTGTATGGAAAAGGACAGAAAAGCTTATGAATATTTATATAATATTGGATTGCCTTAAGTGTGATACAAGAATATATGGCTCGAGCTATGACAATATTGGACCAGTCGAAGATGAGTCTAATATTGTCATAGCGAGAGCAATATATTCTTGTATCACACGAAAACAAAGCCATACAATATTATCATTATTATCTATAGTAGTCTGACTAGCGAAATAACAAAATTTGACTTACCTCAGTAAATATGGCTTTGTTTTTGTGTGATATCGCTAACTGAGCAATACGAAAACGATATTGGTTAGTCATCCAGGTACTGCGCTAAAGATATTGAATACACTAATCTGTTGTACCACTTGGAAGCCTCATATAGATAATAAAGTATAATATTAAAGATAAATGAAAGTAGGCGTGTTATATGTTAATATACATTTCAAATAAGTTGAAATGTATCTTGGACCATAAGGCAAAAATTGTGATTTGGTATGACATACTTTGTACCATACATACCACAAGACTGAAAAATCTCTGACAAGCCAAGATTTGTTTTAATAAAAAGAATAATACCCGTCGTACCGTACCACAAGTTTGCAAAAGTATATGGCCAGCCCCCCCCCCCCCCACACACACAATTGAACGTCAATGAAAAGATAACACTCCTTGTGCAGTTTGATTATGTCCTGCATTTTCCGATTCCGATTGCACATGTCTTCCAATAATTATGTCTCATTAAAATCAACTATTTTAATTAAACAGTATTCTTGATTCTTTGATTTCATTTGAACATGTTTGTGGAAAATGCGCTATATAAATACATTACTATTATTATTTTGAAGATTGTGCGTATGTTTTGTGAAAGAATGAAAAGAGAGTTTCAGAGATAGAAAGAGAATTAAGAAGAAGAAAAAGAAAAGAAACTATTATCAAAAACTAGAGATCTATGAAGAGTACGAATTTACAAATAGAAAACGAAAAAAGAAAGAAAAAAGTTGAAAGGCGTAGATATTCTCAAAAAGAATGAAACACTGATAACACCAAAAAACATCAACAACAAAATTAAATCTTTTTGCTGAATATACTTGGAAGTGTGTAACTGTTGTGCAATGTAAAATCACATTTAATGAGAGTCTTGAGATGATAGACAATTATGCGTTGTCATTAATGTCATATACCAGCCTGTACTTTGTGTAGTTTAATTTTATCAATATCATTAAACTATTTGGGTATTGATTTTCATTATTCTAATTATTAATGGTTTATTCCATAAAATACATTGTATTGATGGAGACTGAAATCAAGTAGACAGGATAGGGTTTTACTACGATGGAGAGATGTGTGTGGGGAAAAAAAGGCAGGTGTATTAGATTGGGGAGATGTGTGAAATGATGAAGTTCTACATGGATTTGATAGTAGTAAGTTTGGGAAAACTAGTTATGATTTAGGATGGAATAATATTGAACAAAGTGCTTTTTCTGTTGGCCATAAATGAGGGGTGCTTATGATTTCCTGAAGTCTGTACAGTGCCTTTGGTGGGGAAAACTGAATGTCGGTAAAGCGAACCTAAATGGAGAAAGTGGGAGAGAATAGTGGGAGAGAATAGAGGAAGAGAGAGAGAGACAGACAGACAGACAGACAGACAGGTGGAGAGGAGAGAAGAGAAACCGGGGGGGGGGGGGGGGGGGTAAAACATTTTAGATGGGGGATTTCCCCAATTTATAAATATTGACTATCTAGTACCCGCCGTAGAGGGATAATCCATGTGCGAGCGACGCGACTTTGTAAAACGCTGTTTCAGGTTTTCGCTGTTTTTACCTTCATCATTAGCTAAATGATTAGAAAGCTTCAAACACCAGAAAAAACGGCAACTATCCAGATCGACTGTTTACCGACAGTTTATTCACATGGAGGAAAGGCGATTCTGAAAACTGTCTTGGATAAGATTGGACCCGTACCAGCCAGCTTTTTGAGAAGACCGCGAAGCATTGTTGCTCTAGCTAGCTACGCCGCGCCTGACTGCCTGGCCTGGATTGCTAGCAGTAGCACAGCAGCGGCCGATCACGTCTCATGATCATCAGTGAGTTGATTATGAGTTCAATGACTTACCAATCTACTCAGATGTGGCTACATTGGCTGTAAGCTGGTAAATTGAGCTGAAACATAGGAATAATTATAATCTCAGTGCTCACCTCTGTCTAAAATTAGAAGTAGAACTTTCCAGATTGTCATGGATTGATGAGTGGTGATTTAATTATTGATGGTGATGAAAACTGATGATAAGGTTGGTCACGTCTGTCATAGACCAAATTTTGTTGTTGTTAGCCTCTGATTTGGGAAGGGTCGGCTCCTCTCTTTAGATTAGGATTTTTCCAGATCCGTATCATATGAAGAAGAGAAGAGCTAGTTGATGCAAGTGTACTTTTGCACTGGGTGCCTAATATTTGATTTCGTTGAATAAAATGCAAAAGAAAGACCTATGCCTGCCTGGCCTGGCTGTGCATCTCTGCTATGCATGATAAGGTGCATTAGCCTAAGGTCTTTCTTTTGCATTTTATTAACAGAATCGCATGTTGATTAAGATGCACAGTGACAGTGTGCAAGTGCATTGTAATTTGTAAATAGTAATTTTGATATTAACAAGTGTAAGATGCAGGGACACCTTGATGCCCAAATAGACCTAGGTGACTAGTTCTATGTCAAAATTTAGGTACTTCGGTGTCGAATATAGAATGTTCGTCCACCTCCAAATATTGAGGTTTTCAGGTCTTTTGCTACATGGAATCGTCCCTGTTTGGATCTTGGATTGGATTCCTCCGGAACATTCCACTAGGTGTGGCTTTGAGTGGTCAGTTACTTTTGGCTTGTGGGTTTTAAGAAAGTGAACAGCTCTGCTTTGAATGCAGAGGTACATGTACATGTAGTTTTGGCAGAAATTAGTGAAGAAGGTAGGTTGTTCCATTCCTTTGTGGTTTTAGGAAAGAACGAGTTTGCATGGACATCAGTTCTTGTGTGATAAAGCTGGAATTGGTGGTCATGCCCCCATGTTCTTTATCTTTAAAATGTTATTTCCTCCTGAAAATACCTAGCGTAATTCCATAATATGTTTTTGATATTCTCTTTGTTTTGTTTGTGTGTTGTTTTCTTCATTCCAGTTCAGTGACAAGTTTTGTGGCTAATTGAATTACTTTACATTGCAATTGTTTCTGATATTGCAATCTGTTTTTGATATTCTGAATCGTGAATTGCTTGGAAGTGATTAGGAGGGCTGCATGAACTATATACGAGTGCCTTAGATGTGTTCATTTATATTCTTACTCTCTTAGCCTAACATGGAAATTGAACTGCTGGAAAATCTAAGATCTGAAGAGTCTGTCACCCAGGCAAGTGACCCTCCACTGCATGAGCATGATGATCATCCCTCACCATCAACAGACCCTCCTCTAGTCGAAAAGGATGATCATCCAGCAAAGACTGGTCCTCAAGTAGAGAAGTGGAATGATCATCCACCATCAAAAGACCCTCCTACAGACGAAAAGGATGACCATCCAGTGATGACTGGTCCTCAAGTAGAGAAGCGGATTGATCATCCACCATCAACAGACCCTCCTACAGACGAAAAGGATGACCATCCAGTGATGACTGGTCCTCAAGTAGTGAAGCGGATTGATCATCCACCATCAGCAGACCCTCCAACAGACAAAAAAGATGACCATCCAGAAATCAAAGATGAAACTACGATATTGCCAAAAGCAAAGCAAATAAAGCAAGAGCCAAACATCAAAATGAAAGAAGAGCCAATAGATTTGGAAGATGATTATGGTATTCACAGCCATAAAATTGATGATGATGATGATGATGACGACATCATAGTGCTAGATGTAACCCCAGGAAATAAGAAAGGAAAGAATAAATCTAAAACTGCTTCTGATGAAAAAGACATTTTGATTATCATTGATGATGATGATGACGAGGAAGATGTAGATCCTTCTACCACCTCTCAAACACCCAAAGAAAGAGTTGGAACAGAACCCATTGTGGACCCTTCGGTTTCAGATGACATTCAAGTGGATCAAGTGAAGACTGCCACTGAGATCGGTGCCTCGCATTCCATTGTTGAGCCATCAGATGAGGGTGTTGACCCTAACGCCAAATCCATTTGTGAAGTTGCTAAAGAATTGACAAATCCTTGCCCTCCTACTCCAAGCACTACTCCAAGCTCTGCTGTAGGAAGTACAGTCGAAGCTAATACTGACATTGAAGTTGCATCAGAAACAGTTTTACCCACCTCTCCAGAAAGTTTGGATGATTCTGAAAAGGGTAGTGAAGATGCAACCACCAACCAGCTTGCTCTCAAAGACACTTTGTCCGTCCCTGAACCTCTTGATAAAGATGAATCAACAGAACCGACCAATTTCATAGCTGAAGAAGATGATGCGAGGCCAGAACTTGAGGATGGAGATCAGCAATTTGGTGATGGCTATGACAGTGATGGTTGGGCGGTAAGTAAGCAGGAATTATGTCTCCGACCCTTTCTCCGCAGCTGTGCCATTAGTTATTTGAAAAATAATTGTCAATTAAAGATAAACTTGAGTTCTGGTAAAAAAAAAATGAATTCTCACATAATCAAACAAGATTTACACTGAATGTTCAAGATTACAAATAATGTCATTTGCCAAACAATTTTGGTAGAAATTGTATACTTGCTGAGTAATGAGCATAGAAAGATAAGGAAATCATGGTCTCAAAGTAACCCAACACCATTTGTGTAGTCCCACATCTTTCTGTGTACAGTGCTTGTTACTTTACCAAGACTGGGCCAAATTTATTATGATTTTGATGACTCCAGAACCTTGCAGTACACACTAATACTTACATGCTACATGATCAACTTTTTCTGATCCATTCCACACCATTTCTTTCACAATGCAATCGCATGGCTCGAAATCAACTTTATGTTTAACTTTCAAATGTCAAATTTCGATTTTCATTCTTTGTAAGATTTTTGGAGTGGGCATGAACAAACTCCCATGAAGACAATCTTCCAAAGACATGTACCTCTATTTCATTAAAAAAAGAAGGACCTAATTTATAGGTCACTTAATGACTGTAAGCCAATGCGGAATAAATGAGCTGCCCCCCTGTGTAAAATTCCAGTTAAAATTTGTCCGAAAGTAATTGCACTGCGTTTAATGAATGAGCATGTTTCATATAAAAGTGAAACATAATGAAGACTTCACTCATTGCGTTCTTGAAAACGAATATTCTTGTCATTTGCAGATATACCCTTGCAGGGCTGAATCCTTCATTGTAAATGTAATGTCATTTTCTCTTCAAGTATGTCTGCCTTCTTAACTTACTTCTTTATGTCCTTACTCGCCCTCTGGTAAAGTTTTTGTATTGGCTTTGGGAAGACGTATGTGTTCAGCTCAAGATGAACTCATTAGGCCTGTTTTCATCAGCTCGAGATTGCCAAATATCCCACTATTTGAACTATCCCATTTGCAAATTATCTAGTTAATTTGCGTCTTCATCAGCCCGAAGTTGCAATTAGCAGGATATTTGGTCAAGATAATCATCCGGAGATATCTTTGGCTAGTTTGCAAAATATCCCGCTATTTGTCCGGTGCGTCTTCACCAGCCCAAAGACTCGCACCATGCGCAAACGCTGAGCAAAATATATTGAGCTAATTTCTCGAGCTCGAGGTCAAGTCTCCAGCTGATGAAGACGCCATTTGTAACTTCGGGATTATTTCCCAAATCAGAAATAGCGGGCTACTTGGCAATCTTGAGCTTGATGAAGACAGGCCTATTTTCATTCCTCCAGGTCGCCAGTGATGTTGATCCGGATGAAGCCGCCGAGACAGGAGAGAACTCTGGCAAAGGAATGGAAACCGAACAGAGTATGGATGAGTATGGTAAGTAAACAAATTCAGGAAAAATGTTTGGAAAATTTTTGCAATCAACCTCCAAACTAGGAGAAGATACCTTAGTAGATGGATTCTGAAACATGAGTGATGGAATTGTTAAAGGTAAAGAGTAAAGACCAGTATTGGAAACGCCCCAATTTCAAAAAATGAAATGGAAGCTCTTATTACTAATCATGTGAAAGAATATGTTTTGACTAATACATGATGATAAAAATTTTGCCGGGAAACAGCCTACTAATTGATATATTTGGTAAATTAGTTTATCTATTGGTATGTCAGAGATAGAGGCACGTGTCGCGCACGTGTGCATGGTCCCATATACATGTACATCTTTCTGTGTACAGTGCTTGTAACTTTACGAAGACTGGGCCAAATTTCTTATCATTTTGATGATTCCAGAACCTTGCAGTACACACCAATACTTTTATGCTAGATGATCAACTTTTTCTGATCGATTCCACAACGTTTCTTTCACAATGCAATCGCATGACCATAACTGGTCTTTATCTTTAAACATTAAGTGATACATTGGGGAAGAAGAGAAGTGTTTATGAAGAGTTGTTCTCAGTAAATTTGAACTTGTAGGTGATATGGCAATTCTTATTTACTGGTAGCTTACATACGCCAGATAGACAGAAATAAAGAAATGCAATAGAGTCATAATTTTTTTGGTTATTGCATACCAATCCTGCTTGAAACCTAAATTTATACACAAAATACCTGCTGGTATTTCATTACCCATCGCAACTTTCCTATTCTCACCCTATTTGAATTTTACATGTATGTAGATACCAACCTGAAAACAAGACAAGAGGCTCTCAACACCATTCCCCGACCGATTCAGATAATTCCTGTGGATTCAGACCAAACAACCAGACAAGACGATAGTCCTGTACCCGTTGGAATCATTCCTATAGCTTCAGAGATGAGTACCGGATCTGGTGATGTCACGGCAGGTAAGGAAGGTATATAACAAAAGATAACATGTAGTTTAAAGGTAAAGTTGAGTTCTGGTCATGCGATTGCATTGTGAAAGAAATGGTGTGGAATTGATCAAAAAAGTTGATCATTTAGCATATAAGTATTGGTGTGTACTGCAAGGTTCTGGATACATCAAAATGATAAGAAATTTGGCCCAGTCTTGGTAAAGTAACCAGCACTGTACACAGGAAGATGTATACAGGACTACACTAACGTGTGGCTTAAAGATCGGGCATCATTTTTAAAGCTGTTAATTGTCATATTTAGAATATGAAGGCATTTGTAGAGCCATGCTTTTCAGGGAACATGTTTTCTCTGATGTACTTCCATACTTGCATAATAACAATGATAACGCTCAGAAATTATTGTTCACCTCTCCCCAGAACTCAACCTTCTCTTTAAGCTCCTACCAACCTCAAAATTTAGTAGGCAGGCTTTCATCCACTCCTGTAAATTTTCTCAAGGCAAGTGAAAATCCACAGGAGATGATGCCTCCTAAATTGTAAGGTTGGTAGAAGCTTAAAGGGAACCAAAACCTTCATACTAAGTTACTTTTATTGTAAAGTTTAAGATATTTGAATAAAATCAGTGAAAATTTGAACATAATCGGGCAAGGAATAAGGAAGTTAGAGCTTTTTGAAATGACTAGTCACTAGAGGGCGATATTCAATTAGATGACATCATCTGTGGACAACTCTCCATGCCTTTTGTACATCAAATTTTACAATTCTTTCGTTTTCTATTTATTTGAGTTCTTGATCCGACTTAATAACATGTGAAGTAGATTATCATTTTGCATTCTATACCTTGCTTTCAGGGGAGTGGATTATCTCAATCACAAGAAAGAAGGAAAAACATAAAATTTGATGTACAAAAGGCATGGAGAGTTGTCCACAGATGATGTCATCAAATTGAATATCGCCCTCTAGTGACTAGTCATTTCAAAAAGCTTTAACTTCCTTATTCCTTGCCCCATTTTGTTTAAATTTTCACTGACTTTATTCAAATATCTTAAACTTTACAATAAAAGTAACTTAGTATGAGGGATTTGGTTCCCTTTAAACTATATGCTACAACACAACAAACTAGATGGAATTCGACTGCGCGCAGTCGAAAATGATGCCTCCGTCATAGAGCAATTTTACAAACCAAAACAGAAGAAATTTTTCGAATTCAAGTTCAATTGTAATCCATTGAGAGGTTCTCAGAATATCGTGATTACAAGCAATTTCTCATATACATATATGACCCTTTGATCTTTGACCTCATGACCCTAAAATCTACTCAGTTCATTGGCTCTGCAAAATGTCCTGAGTTAAATAGTAATCCATCTGTCAGTTCTAATGAGAATACATTCACAAGCTATTTTTGCATACATAATGAGCCCATGATCTTTGACCTTTGACCTTATGAACCAAGAATCTACTCAGTTCATTGGCTCTGCAAGTAACATACATGACCTAATTTTGGCAGGAATCCATCAATCGGTTCTTGAGATAACGCGATCACAAGCTGTTTTTGCATACATAATGTGTGCTGTGGCCTTTGACCTTTGACCTCATGACCACTAAATCTAATCAGTTCATCGGCTCTGCAAGTAACATACATGACCTAAGTTTGGCAGCAATCTATCAATCGGTTCTTGAGATAACGCGATCACAAGCTGTTTATGCGTACATAATGAGCCCTGTGACCTTTGACCTTTAACCTCATGACCCCAAAATCTAATCAGTTCATCGGCTCTGCAAGTAACATACATGACCTAAGTTTGGCAGCAATCTATCAATCGGTTCTTGAGATAACGCGATCACAAGCTGTTTATGCGTACATAATGAGCCCTGTGACCTTTGACCTTTAACCTCATGACCCCAAAATCTAATCAGTTCATTGGCTCTGCAAGATACATACATGACCAAAGTTTGGCAGGAATCCATCAATCGGTTCTTCAGATAACGCGATCACGAGCTGTTTTTGCATACCTAATGAGCCCTGTGACCTTTGACCTTTGACTTCGTGACCCCAAAATCTAATCAGTTCATCGGCTCTGCAAGATACATACATGACCAAAGTTTGGCAGGAATCCATCGATCGGTTCTTCAGATAACGCGATCTCAAGAACGGGACGTACGTACGGACAGACGGACGGACAACCCGAAAACATAATGCCTCCGGCTACTTCGTAATGGAGGCATAAAAATGTTGTGTTGCCCTTTGTGACTGGCCCAAAAATTAGTCAGTTTTTTATTAAAGTTTTATTTTTTTTAACAGTTTTTTTACCCCCAAAATGTTGAATGAATAAAAAAATATGTATTTAAAGCATTCAAAACTGAAAAAAAAGCAACAACAAAAAAAAGGATGTCTGGAGTGCTTTAATGTATTTGAATATTTTTGTTTAAAGCACTGAATATATCTGAAATATAGGAAAAATTATAAAACTCTTTCATAAAAGTTAAATGTAATTTTTGAGAGAGAGATTATTTCAGAATTTTTTATATCTAGCACTATGTCACTGTGTTGCAAATTGAACGTAACTTAAGGACATGAATTTAGTTCTAATATGTTGATGTTGGAGGTCCTAGATAAAGGTCACTATGGTTACCAAGTTGTATGTTGTCAGTGCTGTAATTATGAAAACTTTGTAGGCTTCCAATACAATTTAAGAAAGTATTGATTGATGCATAATTTCTAGATTAAATGTATGTAAGTTGCTAGATTAAAATTATTGGATATTTATTGAAGGAATTGTAGAGATGGTTTTATTCATTATTCATTATTCAAAATTGGCTCATTTACTAGTACTGAAGAATATGCTTACCAACATAAAAGATTATATTAATGATTAACAAGTATGTGTGTTTGATATTTTTTCTTCTCTTGGCAGTGACTGGAACAGGAGAGTCTGGGCAGCAAGCCTTAGTATCACCAGTGACCAAAGAGAATGTTGCATCCATGGACCAGAATGGATTAGATTCTGACCAGGATGATGGTGATTCTCCTGCTGCAAAGCATGGCTTGCGTAGTCAATGTAAACCAACAGAAGAGAGCAGAAGAGGTGCCGTTACCAGGAGCAAGCTCAGGTCATGTAGCAAGTTGCTGAAAGGGGGGAATAAAAATGCAATCCCCAGTGGAAAGCCTGTAGAGAGAAAATTACGAGGTGTTGTCAAAGGAGAATTACCACCTGATAATCCAGTCTTTAATTGTCACCTTTGTTTTCATTCGTTCGGAGAGAAGAAGTTGCTAGAAAAGCACCTTGTTAATCATCCGAAGGTCACACGTATCATGTGTGAATACTGTAACACTTCATTTGATAAGCAGAGGAATCTCACAATGCACCTGAAGCGCTGCTTCAGACGGCGGAACCGAAAGAGTCCTAGGAAGACACTGAATGGTGAAACCTCAAGGGTTAAGAAGGAGGAGAATGCGGATTCTCCCAGGAGGTCTGCAGTACAGGCCCCGTCTTTGAAAAGAGGGCTCAGGAAGCTGGGTTTTCTTTCAGCTAGGAAAGATGGTCCCTGTACCAAAGCTGAAAGAACTAATAACGAAAGTCACGTAATACACGAGTGTAAAATCTGTGAAAGAGTATTTCCCTCATTTAGAGGCTTAAGTATGCACCGCAAGTTGATACATGTACGAGGCGACAAACGTGACAAAAGCTCAACCTCTTTGAAAAGAGGGCACGGGAAGCTGGGTTTTCCTTCGGTTAAGAAAGAATGGCCCTGTACCAAAGCTGAAAGAACTAATAACGAAAGTCATGTAATACACGAGTGTAAAATCTGTGAAAGAGTATTTCCCTCATTTAGAGGCTTAAGTATGCACCACAAAAAGAAACATGCACAAGGCAACAAACGTGAAAAAAATCCAAACCTTCAAGAGCTAGAGAATCTAAATCGTAGAAGAGAAAAAGATGTGAATCGAAAAAGGGGCAAGAAATTTGGAGTTTGGCTATGTCCAAAATGCCATGCCAGTTTTACTTCCAGGAAGAAAGTTAAGAGGCATATGTACCTAACACACAGTGAGACCTACACCAAGAATGCATTAAGAGAACTTGAAGCTGTACCTAAAGAAGAGGCCGTTAGAATCATCTATTATTGCTCAACATGTATAGAGTCATTTCGATCAGAACACTTCTTTGATTGTCATGAACCCACAAGGAATAGTAGGAAGAGATGCGAAAAACTCTTCCAATGCAATTTGTGTTTCAAACATTTTAAGAAGAAAGCGGAATGTGCTCGTCATGTACAGGAGCATCTAGGATCTGTAGAGTCTGGGAAGAGAAAGAGAAAGAGAAGATCATCAAGTCCAGATGAACAACAATCAAGTAGAAAGAGAGCAAAAGTCATTGACGGTTTCAAATGCAAGTATTGTAATGAGACTTTCCAATTCGAATACCGGTGTGCCAAGCACGAGTTTACCCATACTGACCGTGATCCTTGGCATTGCTATATTTGCTTTAAGATCTTCTATCTTAAAAGCTCCATTGTTGCGCACATGGAGAGAGCTCACAAAGAGGCATCTTATTGCAAAAAGTGCTATTGCATAATTGCAAGCAAGAATAAAAAGCGCTGTATAGACTGTGACAAGAGAAGAAGAGCTGGCAGTGGTCTGAAGTGCAGCATTTGCAAGACGGAGTTTGCATCAGCCTCAGATCTGACGTGTCACATTCTGACCCATGTCGAAAGTGGAGTTGAGACCCCGGTCATAAGAGCCCCAAAGGCTTCAAGGGTGTTGTTGGACTCCAAATTTAAGAATGTTCCTCTGACTTCAGTGGTAAAGCACCCTCCATCAAAGATTCTGAAGACATCCAAGAAAGTGGCATGTTCTGTTGGTCGGCCCGTCACCATTTCCTGCCCTGAAAGTTTGCTTCCAGAAGCACCACCAACAACTAAAACTGTTTCTTTAGCAGCAGAGCATACCACCAGTGACAAGTACGACGTTTGCATGAAGTGCGGGGAACAAGACATTCCAGCCAAAGAGTTGAGTAGACATGCGCGTACCCACTTGGATGTGAGATCTCGGTTCCAGTGCAACACATGTCAGCAGTGCTTTGCGACCATGTATGAGATCGAGGAGCACGGGTGTGTTCCCACTCACCAAGCCAGTTGCTCCTATACCGTGTCCAACGTGGTGTACCAGTGTCAGTTCTGCGGCAGGGACTTCCCCACTATGATGGAAGCCAGGAAACATGTGCTCTCCACGAACACCTCCTGTCTGTTGGAATGCACAGTGTGTAAAGCCGAGTACTCGAGGCAAGGAGACCTGATGGTTCATATGGTCATTGTCCATGGACAGTATCTAGAATGTGATAAATGCTCGGCTCAGTTTACCAAGCAGGTTGATCTGGATTTTCATATCAGGCAGCATGAAGACATGAGCCATTAGAACCATGCAGTATGTATGAGAGCCTAGCCAGATGTAGGCCAGAAAATGTCATACCTTGTTTCAAGGTATCATAGGAATTGCCTGAATGTGAATCTGAGCAGCGTTTCACGAAACAACATTGCATTGAAATGCATGTATTAAGATTAACAGGCAATTTCAATGGTATGTCGGGAAACGGTGCCTCAAGGTCTTTCAAATTCTTTTTGCATTCACGTTCTCATGGAGAGACTGACACTTTGACAGCAGTTTTTTTTTCTTGCAACTGGGTTTAAAATTATGGTTTAATGTTGTACTTGTTTCAGAGGTCTTAAAATATTGGAGGTCTGGGAGTCTTAATGTGCTACTTCTTTCAATTCCTGTCATGCAAAACAATGTTTTTGTGCACATTCATTTGAAAATATTTGTAAAATTTGTTCTTGCTGGTTTTCATTAAATCTGGACATTTACGGTACATGTATTTCAATTTTTCTAGCAACTGGGTTCAAAATGGTTTAATGTTGTACTTCTTTCAGAGGTCTTGCAATATTAGAGAAGGTCTTGAAATATTAGAGGTCTGGGAGTCTTAATGTGCTACTTCATTCAATTCCTGTCTTGCAAAACAGTAACATTCATGTGAACATTTTTATGAAAAAAAGTAGATTGCAAATGTGTGAACTGTGTAGTGAAGTCTTATTTGTTTAATATGTACATGTTATACATGTATCTCACTGTATAATGCAGTTCTTACAACGGAAATGCATTGTTCAGGGAAAATCCCAATTTCTCCATAAATGAGTTTCTTTCCTATTTCTGCTATTGTCTTCCAGAACTAACCATAACGTTTGATCATGCCATGATCATTATTCAGTTCTTTTCTTTCTTTTCTCCTTTTGCACGACCATGCAAATATAATGTTCAATTCAGTTGCCAGTATTTCTTTCTTTTTGTACCAAATTATTTCATGTATATACGGTATACATAATCGTGCTATGTCCATGTAGAACCCTGTTTGTTTGTGGAGTTATGTTGAGGCATGACCAGTACTTATATTGATATGAATACATGTATTTCTATTTTGTTTTGTCATTATTTATGGCATATTTTGCATAAATAATATATTAATTTTCATTGGACATATGTAAATGTAGGACATGGACCCAGAATCCCAGATCCTTTTAAGTGTAAAATTTACTACAAGAAACAAGTTCAATCTATTGAATGCTTCTACCTGAAGACCCTGAGAGATGAGATATTGCAATAATCTGGAAGGAGCTTTTGTATTTCAGTTGTCACAATGCAGGGTTTCATACATTGGTAGTTGCTATGTCTGACAAGCTTGGGCTTTTCATGAGAACCAAATACCAGTAACCATTATGCACTGGAGTAGAAGCATGTTTGAATCTTGAGTACCGGTATACATGTATCTGTTAACTTTTTGTTGATCCTATCTTCAGCTACCTGCTAATGAGAATTATGCATTTTGCATGCCTCTATACTACAAGAATGACTTTATCAAAACATGGTGGAAAAAACTTGGTTAGCTGTGATAATGATTACATTGGAGGAATCCTTTCAAAGTGTACTTGGAAGACACATTTTATATTATACAATTTCTTATTCTGAGGAAATCATCATTATGCATATGTAGAATTCAGTTGTTCGTACTATTCATCATTATACATGCATATGTAGGAGTTAGTTGTTCATACTGTTCTTGCAAGCACATGACATTGTTTTTGTGTGTTCATCTCTTGTGATATTTTCGTTGTTCTTGATACGGAAATCACTTTCTTGGAATAAGTTGTGATGTTGTAATCCAGTAATTAGTACTTAACTGCCTACAGCACTTAATGTGTACTGTCTTATACCACCCGAAGCAGCTCTATATGTATTGTTCATGTCAGTTGTTCTGTCATCATTAAGAATTGTTGTCATTAGATCATGTGAGTTTATGATAAGGTTATCGTTAGATCTGATCTTGATTTTCAATACTTACCTCTTGGTGATGTCTGGCCTTTCAATGGTTTAAGGCCAGACATCTCAAATATCTCAAAAATACTTGTGCAAGTGAAGTTTCCAGCTTGTTGAGATTATCATGGAATACTGTTTTAATCAGTAGAATTTTATATGTTTGTAAGAAACAATTACGGTATTAATCGACCAAAGAAGATTTTAAGTGTGAAGTGTTTTATTCATTTTAGTGATAAGGGAGGTAATGAATCTATATTTATATTGGGTGCCAAATTAATCAGGTTTTACATATCGATACATCTTGCTCAATAACAGGATGAGGGAGTTGAAGGCATGTTTCAAAATGGGAAAGGTGGAAAAAGAGAAGAGTAGAGAGGGAGAGAGAGAGAGAGATGAAACAGAGATGGAGAAAAGGGAATTGAAAAGAGAGAAAGAGACGAGTAGAGAGGGAGAGATTTGAGAGAAGGGAATTGAAGAGAGAGAGAGAGAGATGAGTAGAGACTAGAGAGAAGGGAATCGAAAAGGGAGATTAGAGAGTAGGGAATTGAAAAGAGAGGGAGAGATTGGATAAATTGAAAAGAACAGGAGATGTGGAAAGCTACATGTAAGAGAAGGAAATTCAATGCTGAAGAGAGAAAGAAAGAAAAGGTAGATACATGTTAAGAGATAAATGAGGGGAAGTACACTGCATATCCCTAGAAAAAAGATAAACTCCAGCTCTGGTAAAAAAAAGAAAATTCTCACAGAATCAAACGAAACTTACACTAAATGTTCAAGATTACAAATAAATGACATGTGCCAAACAATTTTGGAAGAAAATGTATCCTGGCTTAATAATGAGCATATAGAAAGACAAGGAAATCAAGGTAGTACTAGCCCGACACCATGTGTGTTGTCCCATAAATAGCTTTCTGTGTACAGTGCTTGTTACTTTACCAAGACTCGGCCAAATTTATTATGATTTTGATGACTCCAGAACCTTACAGTGCACACCAATACTTGCATGCTACATGATCAACTGTTTTTGATCCATTCCACACCTTTTCTTTCACAATGCAATCGCATTACCAGAACTCGCCTTTATCTTTAATATGCACATCACTGGGAGCCTAATTTTCTGAAGGACATGTCACACATGATTGATTTCAGATGATCGACAGGGATAGTGTCAAAAACTCAATCGTCCAAAAAAGGCAAAAGGTTGCTATATTCGATCCATTGTGCTTTTGAAAAGATGGGAAATATCTTTGAATAATAAACAAAAATATACATCATTCAAAAATTCATGTTATCATCTCGCATATGCCTACCAAAATTGTGGCTATGGTCTTGCTTGAAAGAAGGGAATATATATATGCATTTCTAACAATATATAATTTTTAATCATTCCCTATCTTTCCAAATACATAAGAACCAAAGCTAGCAGCCATCGAGCTATCTTGGACAATTTGGTTGTTGACAATGCTATTTCAATCTTTCTGAAAAAGATCATGCATGACTTATTGATGATGTTTTGATTCACATGACTGCACAATTACCCTTACCGAAAACGCAGGCTTATTTAGCCTGCTTTGAACCTGCGTCTGGCCTGCATTCTTAAATACATGCTAATTATTCTATTGCATGTTAAATTTTAGCCTGTATTTTGCAAAATCAGTCTACATGTTTTAGCAGGTTAAATTTTAGCCTGCATTTTGCAAAATCAGTCTTACATGTTTTAGCAGGTTAAATTTTAGCCTGTTATTAGCATGCATTTTGCAAAACACAGTCTAATAGTTTTTAGCAGGCTAAATCTCAGCCTGCAGTTTAAAATTAGCATGCATTTTGCAAAATACAGTTTTAGCAGGTTAAATCTTTAGCATGCCAGATGAGATGCAGTTTAATCTTTAGCATGTAAATTTCTATCATAATTTGTTAAACCTGCAATCTGAAGAAATATCCTCTGAGCAGGTTTAGAACACAAATTTAACCTGTTATTGCTTTTTACAGGTTATTTTTCACATGCACGTTTAATGTTATATATCAGGGGTGATTCGAGAGTTGAAACAAAAATAGGTTCATAGAAAGCCGAGCAAGCGAGGTTTCGAGCGCTTGGGGAGGCATCCCAAGACAAAAATCCAATTGAAACCAATTGAACACCGATTTAATTTTCATTTTTTCAGTTGGTTTTAATTGGTCTCAATAGGACTTCAGTTGGTTTCAATTGGTCCAGATTGGCCCTATTGGACCAATTGGCCTAGGCCCTATTAGACTTTAATGGGAACTCAATTGGTTTCAATTGGACCAATTGGCCCTATTTTGGACTTCAGTTGGTCCAATTCAGTTTCAATTTCATTTTATTTTCATATTTCACATGTTTATTTCATTACATTTGGCATGTTACATATTTTGTAATCATTTTTTTGGGGGGATGCATTTATACAAACGAACAGAATAATACATAAGACTAAGTTAAATAAAGGAAGAAATATGATGGAGCCTAAAGAGAGCTAGAGCAATGTTTTTAGGCCATAGTTATAACATTGATATAGTCTTGTGTTTATTAAATATCGTAATTGGATTAAATTGCAACTTATATAAAGAAAAGATATATTTGAACCCAATTGAAAACCTTACAGTCTATGGGGCTGATTGGTCCAATTCTCGCTACCCTAAATAGGTACGAAAATCTCGAAATTCGCGAGACGAGGTAATTTTCACTCTCTCGGGTCGTCACTACAACTTCCGGTATAGAGTCCCATCCCACTGGCGCTAGCGCCTGTGTTCGCTGTGCAGAGTTTTCACGCACGCTAAAATCGATGCCAATCAGTGTAATTTGTACAAATTATAATATGCAATGGAAAGCTTCGGGCAGAATTAGTGACTTTAGCACAAAAGGCCGTTAAACTCTACCGTGAAAGAGAGGGTTGTGATCACGAACGCCTGCACAGGAAGCTGTAATGTCGAAAAGCTATCCCATAATGCAATGCGCGTTTTCAGGATTTTCCCCGGATCTCGGCAGAATCGCTATTTGGGGTAGCGAGAATTGAAGTCCCATTTAAGTCTATGGGGCTGATTGGTCCAATTGAAACCATTTGAAATATCTAATGGGGCCAATTGGTCCAATTGAAACCAATTGAAATCCCGATTAGAGTCAAATGGGGCCAATTGGTCCAATTGAAACCAATAAGATCAATACATGTAGATCTACCAATAGGGACAATAGGACCAATATAAACCAATAAGACTAATTGAACCCAATATGGGACCAATAGAAACCAATAGAAACCTTCATTTATGTTAGCCTGCCTTTTCGATTAGCATGCTAAAATTAACCTGCAATACGTATCTCATGAATATTCATTATTACTTTACACGTCTCACAGAAAAATACATTTATCATGATTAATTGTTAAGCAAATTATGACAATTAATGCACATATCAATTTTGTGATTGTATTTTTCTTTGGAAATTATTGACCAATAGATTATTTGTCTGATCACACTTACATTCACGTTTTAGCAATAGATATATTGATGATACGATTACTAACCAATTCAAATAGCATGTATGTTTTCTATATATAGGTGTATGAGCCTGTACCTTTTCAATAGTCAATTTTGTATTAACTTCAAATGATCTTTGTGATGGAGTTAGTCTAATGCAATTGAGGTTAGAATATTCCTATTGGTGGACACTTGCAAGTATTGATTATGATGTATCAATTTATCCCTCGTTCCTCTACCTGAGTCGATATACCAATAGAAGTCTTGTACCGATAGTGATGGCAATTAATCGAATATCTTCATTTTTGTTAGCCTGCATTTTAGATTAGCATGCTAAAATTAACCTGCAATTAACTTACATATTTCAGCGTTTTTGCAGGCTAACAAAGCAGGTTAATTTGAATACTAAAAAAGCAGGGCAATTTTGCAGGCTAATTGAGCCAGGTTAATATGATTTTGCAGGCTAAAATAAGCCTGCTTTTAAAATGTACAGGCTAAATTAAGCCTGCCTAATTTGCATATTTCGGCGTTTTTGCAGGTCAGTGCTTGCTAAGGAATTAGCCTGCTTTTTAGCAGCTATGCAGGCTTGATGCAGGCTATAAGCAGGCCTGCCTTTTCGGTAAGGGATAATCTTTCCGATCATGTGTACATTAATCAAAGAAAACATTATAAGTACACATATCAAGTGATTTTCCTGTGAACTTGGGTTTCCTTTATTTTTCATGGACACCCTGTACAAGAAGGTCTTGGTAAATTGCAAACAATAACGCATCTGACACGCATTTTAGATATTTGAATAGAATTTATTTTGATAATTACAACGTAAGTCAATCAAATTCAATGTTAGATGTACTTCTTTCCCCAACATGATTTTCAAGGATATCATATAACTCTGCCTCCGATTTACAACACAAGTACTAACTATTGTAGTTCATGTTTTTATGTACACCACAAATATGAGAGAAACATAAGGATGTAATTCATTACATACATCAGATGTCATTCAAAGAAATAATAGCTAAGCTGTAGAATTAAATCTCAATTCTGTGCACTTACTGACATTTGTAAATGGAAAATTACATTTGATTTACAGCTTTTACACATTGAAATCACTTCCCAAGCTGTTTTATTGTATCTAGCCTCACTATTTATTTCAGATTCATAGAGCTTTTCGTGAGGCTTGAAAGATACTGAATGAAGAAGGGTGAGCCCCTTTTAATAAGCAATGCATGGAAGTCTCGTAAAATGAAATAATATTTATTTGGATTTATATAGCACTTAATGTGACATGCTACCGGTATATATACAAAAATATATTATCACCTCGGTCATCGGATTCATTGTTGACAATGTGCAGCATTTCCACTCCCTAGGGAGTATTCCTACCATATGGTCAACGTGAGGGCATACGGCAACTACTAACACAAATGCTTTCGTCATCCTACCAACTCCCCATTTCTCTATGTATTATTGTACAAAGTATTATTGCTACAATCAGTTTTCTTCGTGAGTTTATGATAAGGTTATCGTTAGATCTGATCTTGATTTTCAATAATTACCTCTTGGTGATGTCTGGCCTTTCAATGGTTTAAGGCCAGACACCACAAATATCTCAAAAATACTTGTGCAAGTGAAGTTTCCAGCTTGTTGAGATTATCATGGAATACTGTTTTAATCGGTAGAATTTTATATGTTTGTACGAAACAAATACTGTATTAAACGACCAAAGAAGATTTTAAGTGTGAAGTGTTTTATTCATTTTAGTGACGAGGGAGGTAATGAATCAGTTTATATTGGGTGCCAAATTAATCAGGTTTTACATATCGATACATCTTGCTCAATAACAGGATGAGGGAGTTGAAGGCATGTTTCAAAATGGGAAAGGTGGAAAAAGAGAAGAGTAGAGAGGGAGAGATGAAACAGAGATGGAGAGAATGGAATTGAAGAGAGAGAGAGAGAGGTTCGAAAAGAGATGAGTAGAGAGAAGGGAATTGAAAAGAGAGAAAGAGACGAGTAGAGAGGGAGAGATTTGAGAGAAGGGAATTGAAGAGAGAGAGAGAGAGATGAGTAGAGACTAGAGAGAAGGGAATTGAAAAGAGAGAAAGAGACGAGTAGAAAGGGAGAGATTTGAGAGAAGGGAATTGAAGAGAGAGAGAGTGAGAGAGAGATGAGTAGAGACTAGAGAAAAGGGAATTGAAAAGGGAGATTAGAGAGACGGGAATTGAAAAGAGAGGGAGAGATTGGATAAATTGAAAAGAACAGGAGATGTGGAAAGCTACATGTAAGAGAAGGAAATTCAATGCTGAAGAGAGAAAGAAAGAAAAGGTAGATACATGTTAAGAGATAAATGAGGGGAAATACACTGCATATCCCTAGAAAAAAGATAAACTCCAGCTCTGGTAAAAAAAAGAAAATTCTCACAGAATCAAACGAAACTTACACTAAATGTTCAAGATTACAAATAAATGACATGTGCCAAACAATTTTGGTAGAAATTGTATACTTGCTGAGTAATGAGCATAGAAAGATAAGGAAATCATGGTCTCAAAGTAACCCAACACCATTTGTGTAGTCCCACATCTTTCTGTGTACAGTGCTTGTTACTTTACCAAGACTGGGCCAAATTTATTATGATTTTGATGACTCCAGAACCTTGCAGTACACACTAATACTTACATGCTACATGATCAACTTTTTCTGATCCATTCCACACCATTTCTTTCACAATGCAATCGCATTACCAGAACTCGCCTTTATCTTTAATATGCACATCACTGGGAGCCTAATTTTCTGAAGGACATGTCACACATGATTGATTTCAGATGATCGACAGGGACAGTGTCAAAAACTCAATCTTCCAAAAAAGGCAAAAGGTTGCTATATTCGATCCATTGTGCTTTTGAAAAGATGGGAAATATCTTTGAATAATAAACAAAAATATACATCATTCAAAAATTCATGTTATCATCTCGCATATGCCTACCAAAATTGTGGCTATGGTCTTGCTTGAAAGAAGGGAATATATATATGCATTTCTAACAATATATAATTTTTAATCATTCCCTATCTTTCCAAATACATAAGAACCAAAGCTAGCAGCCATCGAGCTATCTTGGACAATTTGGTTGTTGACAATGCTATTTCAATCTTTCTGAAAAAGATCATGCATGACTTATTGATGATGTTTTGATTCACATGACTGCACAATTAATAATCTTTCCGATCATGTGTACATTAATCAAAGAAAACATTAAGTACACATATCAAGTGATTTTCCTGTGAACTTGGGTTTCCTTTATTTTTCATGGACACCCTGTACAAGAAGGTCTTGGTAAATTGCAAACAATAACGCATCTGACACACATTTTAGATATTTGAATAGAATTTATTTTGATAATTACAACATAAGTCAATCAAATTCAATGTTAGATGTACTTCTTTCCCGACATGATTTTCAAGGATATCATATAACTCTGCCTCCGATTTACAACACAAGTACTAACTATTGTAGTTCATGTGTATATGTACACCACAAATAAGAGAGAAACATGAGGATGTAATTCATTACATACATCAGATGTCATTCAAAGAAATAATAGCTAAGCTGTAGAATTAAATCCCTCTGAATTCTTTGCACCTACTGCCATTTGTAAACAGACAATTACATTCACAGCTTTTAAACATTGAATTCACTTCCCAAGCTGTTTTGTTGTATCTAGCCTCGCTATTTATTTCAGATTCGTAGCTTTTCTTGAGGCTTGAAAGATACCAAATGAAGAAGGGTAAGCCCCTTTCATGTATGGAAGTCTCGTAAAATGAAATAATAATAATAATATTTATTTGGATTTATATAGCCCTTAATGCGAAATGCTACCGGTCATCGGATTCATTGACGCACAATGTGCACCATCTCCACTCCCTAGGGAATATTCCTACCATATGGTCAACGTGAGGGCATACGGCAACTACTAACACGAATGCTTTCGTCATCCTACCAACTCTCCATTTCTCTATGATAGAACATATCCTTAACCACAATCCATTTCCTTGACAGTGGTTAACCTCTTCATACAGTGGCTGACATGTGTTGAACAATTTCTTTGGACAAAGTATTATTGCTACAATCAGTTTTCTTACAGAAAAAAAAAAAAAAAAGATTCATTCTCAAGTTTATCCCTTGAAATATAAATATGTCACACACTATGTAAATGACAACAGTAATTTAAGCTAAAACACTCCCAAGTGTTGAAGGGCTTGGTGATATGGAAAGGGTTCAGTTTTTCACAGATTTCAGGTACCTTAAAAAACTGAAAGAACAACAGCATTTAGCATTGTGAGACAATCGGTTCTTAGATTGTTTTTCTTGTAAGGCAGTATTTTCAAAGTTCTCTTGTACATGAATATCTCCGAAATTATAATTAATGAGATCTACTAAATGACTTACATTTATAATCGGTCTACTGGATAACAACTAAGACAGTCATTAATCCATTAAGAAATTATGAAATTCATGTAAAACATATTTCATTCAGTTCACTGTTTCCCAATACAATTAACGCCATTGTATCTATGAAATGATATTGAATTTCAAGGATTTCATAAATACAATGGTCTTAATCGTATCGACAAAAACAGTGAAGTGTTCAGACAGCTGCTGAATTAGTTTTGACTTCCTTGGTACCAGAAAGCCTGACAGGAAACCTATTATTGCCTATGAAAATAAAACGAACGGCTGTTCTCGGATTTTTCATTTCCCTGATACCTTTCGTGTGCAGTACACAAGGTGCTTTTTCTCAACCTTCTACACATGGGTGTCGATCCCGGGGGGGATGGGGGGATATATCCCCCCCAATATTTCAGGTGGGGGGGATGGCCTGTACAATCATCCCCCCCAATAATTCACCATCAAAAAACAAAAAAATGAAGAGAAAAATTAAGAGAGCCCGATGAGGGTTATTACTCGCAAGATGACCATCTATATAATATATATTTGCTATCTCATTTTCATAATACATACATAATATACAAAGTAAATGAGACAACCGTTTATGAGACAAGAATAAATTCAATTCTCGCTCATACGGCTTCATCAGGATTATTGATGAATTTATTCAATTTGTTCAATCAACAGCATCATAGAAATGCAGTGCGCCGAATGCAAAGACGCAGTGTTAAAAAGCAACGAGCTAAATGTTAAGCACGAGGCGCAAAAGTAGCAATCTGCAATGCACATCAGACAATCCTGGACAGTGTAAACACAGATGAACTCTGTGACAAATTCGTGATGAGATCGGAGACAAGGAGAAAGCTTCCGCGCTTTGCGCGGGAGCATGGAACTGAATTCATACGAGGATTTAGAGTCGAGAATGGTTCAACGAATCGTTTTCTTTCTTTAATAATCTAATAAAATGTCATAGCTTCCGCGCTTTGCGCGGGAGCGGGGAAACTGAATTCAGACAAGGATTTAGAGTCGAGAACGGTACAACAAATCATCTTCTTTCTCTAATAATCTAATAAAACGTCAAAGCTTCCGCGCTTTGCGCGGGAGCGGGGAAACTGAATTCAGACAAGGATTTAGAGTCAGGAACGGTATAACGATTCGTTTTCTTTCTCTAATAGTTTAATGAAACGTCATAGCTTTCCCGCTTCGCGCGGGAGGGGAGGGGAACTTGATTCAAACATTAAGGATTAAGGGTCGAGAATGGTTCATCGAATCGCCTACTTTCTTTAATAATCTAATGAAATGTCAGAGCTTCCGCGCTACGCGCATAAAGAGGAACTTTTCAAACAAGGATTAATAGTCGAGAACAGTACAACGAATCGTCTTCTTTCTGTAATAATCTTATGAGATGTCAGAGCTTCCGCGCTATGCGCGGAGGAAGGGAAGCTTAATCCAAACAAGGATCAAGAGTCGAGAACGGTCCAACGAATCGTCTTCTTTTTCTATTAATTTAATGAAACGTCAAAGCTTCCGCGCTTCGCGGGGGAGGGGGGAAACTCCGCCTCCCTGCACCCAACCCCTGGGAGCGTGCTCAATACCGCCCCCCTAAAATGAAATCATGGCTTCGCGCTTGGGGAGGGGGTGTAACCTGCCACACGCTTCTACCTCTTGGTTGCTTTGATCCATTGCCGAAAATATTTTGGCACCTATCATCCCCCCCAACCACGGATACAAATCGACACCCTTGCTTCTACATGTAAATACATTTCATTGTATGCATTCATAATGAGGAGAAAGAAGATCTTATTAATCATCATTTCCGGCAAACTGAAGTAGCCAAATCTTTCCACATCTATTTGTCACAGGTCCATGCAGCAAAGAGGTGTTTCACAAAGCCTTTTTTTCTCCACTTGCCTGTCTAGGTCTACACAGGTCGTTCCCTCAACAATTCTCAGGATTTATTTGACCTCATTCTCATTTCGGCAGACTAGAAGATCCGCAGCTTCCTTCCTTCGCTCATCTCGATCCTTGTGGCACTACATGGTCCCATCTCACAACAGATCTCGTAGGACAGAAAATCCTTTTCCTCCTTCGAGCTGGTGAAGGTCGTTAGTGACGCGCGGTGGTCAGTGGTCTCGTAACCGGGAGGTCCTGGGTTCGAAACCAATTTGATGCGCTACTGCCCTTTGGCAAGGCATTAATCCTCATACCAAATCTCTCAGAGAGGACTTCAAGCCATCGGTCCCCAGTTGCTTACCCCTCTACAAGCAGACACATGCTTTCTTTAATAGCAGCCGAGTAAAACAAACAAACAAACCAACCAAGCAAGGTCCTTGTAAAAAAGAAGGGTTTGTCCATCGATTGATCTCAAAGACCACTTCATTTCCAGCAGACTGAAACATCCACATCTTTCTCCACTTGCTCATCGAGGTCCTTGTGACTCATTCCCGTCCCACAACAAATCTCATCAAAATTCAGCTTGCCTTGCATCCACCTGGACGGAGGCAAACAAAATTTGATACAAAGTGATTCAAGTAAGAATCCTTATTGAAACTGGAATATTCAATGCAATTAAATGCAATTAAAAAATGGTTAATTAGTCATGGTTTGCAGCAATAAGATGAATTGCAAATGTATATATATATATATATATACAAGATTGAAATTCAAATTATATACCGTAGCAATATATGCGAATTTGTAAAAAAATTGTCTGACTAAAATTATCAACATAATGATACAGATAAAATACATTGTTATAAATCTGGAAAAGTTATATACAAATATTATCAATAAAAATTGAGTACCTTTAAAAATTAAACTTAATTAATAAGTCCAATTAGTGCATGAAATAGATATTGCAAAATCACTGTAGTTAGTCAATTTTGATGACATGGAATAGTGTCCTCATCAACTTTAATGTTGATGGAGGGGGGGGGGGGTTCACACTAAAAGGGCTGTCCATTAGAAATTGCAATATCAAACCATTTAAGTGCCTACAGGTTTGAATATCGCATCTGGAAGAAACTTTCAAATAATTTTCACATCTTAATATTAGATAACATACCTGTCTAGATTTCTACCAGCGTTGTGTTGCCCGTTATGTTGCCCGTCTGCAGTCTGTAGCTTTACAGGATACTTGTGTAATCTTCTAATCAGCCCTTTCACAACTCCAAACTGAATGAGATGTCTGTATTTAATAGAGAAACATAATCTTTATTACAATGATAGTATCTTTATATGCAGTAATCTACTGTCCAAGAAATGATTAAAAGTTAACTATTGCTATGAATGTCGCTTTTTTTAAATCTATTACCAATTTCAATTCAATTCAATTTCTACTGTCAGTCATCACTTTGAGAGACCGGTTTGACCATACTCGTTTTCCCCAATAGTATGTAGTGTTATGAAAACCGATTTCGAATTTCAATCATAAATATCTTGATAATCACACAGGCGATGGGCTTGTAAAAGTCATGGGGTTCCTGACTGACTTAAAGCCTTATAATTATCAGTGCAGCATGAGCTAAATCAAAGATTTATTTTAAAGGATCTACGACAAAGTTAACGGATCCCTTTAAATGAACCCACCTTTCACATATATTGAGTGCTCTAGGGTTGTGTCTCATACACAGATCTCTGACAGTCATTCCTGGGCAAAGGGAGCTGTACAGCAGCATCACAGACCTCAACGTTGGAGGATTGTGACCTGAAATAAATAAATAAATAACTAAATGAATAAATCACTAATAACTAAATAGCTAGCTAATCAAACAAATAAATGAACATATAATTAACTAATAAATAAATGAATAGTAATCATAATTAAAAAAAATAAGAAGTCTATATATGAAGGATTGAACTCTGTGATGATGTAAACAGTATACTACCGGTATGTAAACAATATCAGGCACTGACTTATATACACATGGAATACATTTAAATGAGCATTCATATGATCTGTGATAACATCAGAGAGTCAAAGGACAAAAAAAGATAAAAAGAGATAACATTCCAGATAACCAATATAAATGCATTGTCAGTTATCATCTGTTTAGGGTCAGAAGGGTATCTCTGTAATAAATGAAATGGTTCTGGAACCCACCAGATGACATCTATCTATCACAATCGTAGTTGACAAAATTCAGATTGCAAATATTTAGAAGTTTTGCATTCTATTTAAAAAAAAGATCATGCCTTTCTATTAACAATGAACATTAACAACAGTTCATTTATTGATGTATTAAAAGATGGATCAATTACTTATGCCAAGGGAGAGAGGGCAGGAGAGAGGAGGAGAGAGATAAAGAGAGAGAGAGCAGAAGGGAGTGGGAGAGAGAGCAGGAGGGAATGAGATAGAACAGGAGGGAGTGAGAGAAAGAGAGAGAGGGGGAGGGGGAGAGAGACAGAGAAAGAGAGATAGAGAAAGAGAAGGGAGGGCGAGAGGGGGGAGAGAGGAGGGAGAGAGACAGAGAGAGAGAGAGAGAGATATGATACCTGGGAGTGTGACGTATTCAATGCATTCTCTCTGTAGCTGGGTATTTTCCATTAGGGTGTTAATGGATGGCTGTACCATGTACACATTGGAATACTGAAAATAAAAAATATGGTGCAGAAAAATAACAAAATTACCCCCAAAACATCAAAGTTGGAGATATTCTGTTTCTGGTGGATCTGTAGACAATCACTGCCTCAAATCAACAACAAGGATAACATGATTTAATAATAATAATGAATGTTATTTGTATAGCGCATATCACTAACACAAAGTATGCGCTTAGAAAAGAAGGAAAATAACAATGTTTTCACAGACAATCAAATATTTGTGAGTGAACTTTACTGATTTAAAATGCCCTTAAATCCTGTTTTCTTTGCTGACATAATATAGCATGAAAATTTCTGGGTTACACAACCATTGAAACTGATATCTGGATAATATGCCTTATAAGGTAATAAGAATAAATTGTTGGAATTGAATTTATTCATTTTTCCTCCATGTTTTTATATTTACCTGAAAGATAGGAACAATAGTGATGACTCCATAGTACCTGAAAAGGCAAAAAGAAAAAAATGTAATAGGAGCCAATGAAAGTAGAATACAAACGTAAAGGAATAAATTTAAACAAATTATAGAATCTGACTTTTCATTGATTTGACCCATTACAAATAAGAATACAGCACTATCAGGTCAGTGGACAATATTTACTACCGTATTTGATTTTTAGATTTAACTCAATTCTTCACATATTGCAGTCTGATTTATGGTAATCTTACTATTCATCAAGTCAAAATTGAGTCTTCCCTAAGGAGAGATCAAACACAACACAATTTATGGAGGTATAATATCTTAGGTATGTATTTATTTACACACTTCAAATCTTGACAAGATTCAAATCTATATATGGAGGTAAAGTGTATAATATGTTAGGTACATTTATCTATTTACACACTTACAGCAAGTTCTGCAGGCAAATATTTTCATAAAGATATAATATCTTGGGTACATATATCTATTTATCTATATCTATTTACACACTTACAGCAAGTTTTGCAGGCAAATCTTGACAAGATTCAAATCAACATCTGCTTCTACAGCTATTCTTTGAACATGATTAACTCCATCAATGTATTGAAGAATCTTGGAAATAAAACAATTAAAAGTAATAATATTAAATGACATGCCATTTGCAGTATGCAATGATATTATACACGAAAGGAGAAATGCTGTGCAGCTATATTTTCATTAAAAACATGTAAAATTATAACAATTTTCATTATACATCTAAAGGACATTAATGAAATTTGAATAAACCTTCTTTTGCACAGGCCTCTATCCATAGTGTCCTTTTAATTGTTTTTCATTATGAACATTTAAGTTTGAGAGCTAGGATGGAACATTCCATTAATTTCAGCATATCTTGATTGCTAACATGGAATCCCTTTTCGAAAGCCCTTTACATAATACACAATTCAGTATCCCCTTCCCCCTTCCATAACTACAGGAGATTTATTACTACACTGAAGAGTTTACGTTACTGTGGGTAAGGTACCTGTTGCGTGGTGAGGTCCCATTGATTGTTTTCATAATGTTCTTTACTGCAGAGAAACATGGGTACATGGTGCTCTAAAACTGACTGAGGTTCTTTGGTAGGCGGTACAATCTTCAGATGAATGGTGTTAGAATCATCTGCCAAGACAAATATCAGTTAGATGAAATATTAATCAAGCAATTAAAATCCTTCTATATATGTACAGGTAACATTGCATTTATATATATATATATATATATGAATAAGGAATAAATCAGTTCTGGGCCCAGTCTTGTAAATAGTTGCCATTGATCTAAACGAATCGCAAGTCCTCTAATCAATTGCAAGTTTGCAATCTCCTATCTCTCCAACATAAGTTGTAATTGATATCGATAGCAAATAAGTTGCGATTAATCTAAATTGTTTATAAGACGGGGCCCTGAATTGAAATAAATTGCTTGCTTTTCACAATTTTAATTATTTCATGCAAGAGGTATTTCAAGAAAGGAATATATAATTATTAAAATGTCTAATATAAAATGCCTTGTAAAAAAAGAGTTGATCCACAGTTTTTGATGCATAAAAGAAAAACATTGTCTTCACTATTGCTTTATAAAGTTTTTGATCCCTTTTGTCAGTCCATTCAAAAGAATAAGCATTGGTTTCCAAATTTGATATTGGATTTCCTAAAAAAGGGTTTCAGTCATGAATCAACCAATCAAGGAACATGTTGGTTATCACCAGAAAATTCTTACTCACTTATTGGTACGGAACATTTTCCAAATTCATTCAGATGACTCAAAAGTTTCTCCAAAATGTCTGGCACTCTGCACTTGGTTTCTTCATTTGATAGAAAAGCACACTCAAGCTGTTATGTCAAGAGAGGAAAAATGTAAGTTTGAGATACCGGTAAGCATACAGAAACAACATCAAAATAATACAAAAAGAAAACAAATACAATATACACAATCCATTTTCCTAGTGATTGAAAGTCAATATGTCAAACTTAAAACATGGTTTACAATTACCATTTGGTTTAATAAAACATGCCCTTTTTCACAATAATATGATAGCTAAGATCACTTTCAGACACTATGAAAGTAATTACATTACAATATTACATTATCTTAATTGCTACATTAATACATTATAACTACGGTATTAGCACTTGAAAGTGACTTTACTCATTGTATAGAAAATATAGTATTTTTTATGATATGAAGTTCCAATAGTCAAAACAGCACTTCTTGATGGAGATAATTTCTTTGCATATTGATATGTGCAAAGTGGGAGAAGGGGTAAATAAAATCATTTGCATTAAACGTAAATAGTTACCTCGAGTGTTGTGAAGTAGGCAGATAGCTTCTTGACTAGCGTTTCATAGGATGATACGTCTGTGGTTGAGTCACACACAAAACAGACGTTGAAGAGATACTCATTCCTGGCATATTTATCATCTCGGATACAGCTGGGCCATCCAATTACCTTCCCCTGCTTAACATTACTGAAGAAGAAAGAAAAAAACAAATGTGTTACAACATCATCTTCTACCAGATCTCAGTGGCCCATATTCTGAAGTCTGGTTTAACTTTAAACCTGGGGTTTGACTAAACCAGACTTCAGAATACAGGCCAGTAACTGGCAATGTACGACATAACAATGAAATGAAAATTCAAAATTTGAAGGATTCATTTGTTTTGATAAATAAGGAAGAAACACAAATATCATACACGTCTCTAATCAAACAGATGCACTTTTTAACAAATAGCATACCATCACTCATCCAATAAAGAATCATGATATCTATCAATATAACATAAAAGTGATGGTTAATTCATCAAGTGAAACTTATCATGATCATGCCCTAAATTTTGGCAATATTATATAGCACAGAATAATCCTTATTTGTTTACTATCATGCCATTAGAAATTGAACCGAATTACCAATCTTATTATACAAAACAAACAACAAAATTGATGAAATACACTAGCTGATAATTAACTTACACAGTGATAAGCTTGTCTTGTAATTCAGGCTTTGGGATGATATAGACAGAGAATATATCAAACAGCTCCCTGGAAATATAATCATCTGGAACCTGCAACAAAAGAAATGTAAACCTCTGATCATTTAAAGATAAAGTTCAGTTGTGGTCATGCGATTGCATTGTGAAAGAAACAATGTGAATCGATCAGAAAAAGTTGATCATGTAGTATACGTATTGGTGTGCACTGCAAGGTTCTGGAATCATCAAAATGATATGAAATTTGGCCCAGTCTTGGTAGAGTAACAAGCACTGTGCACAGAAAGATGTACCATATATACATGTAAGACTACACAACCATGGGGCATAACAATCAGGCCTCATTTTAAGCCGTTACTTGTCATATTTAGAATATGGAGGCATTTGAAGAGTCATGCTTTTCAGGGAACATTTTTTCTCTCAAGTTCTTCCACACTTGTATAATAACAATGATAATGCTACAAAAAAACCTTCTCTTTAACTGTAAATTTGTTTGCATTCTGTGAAAACAATTTCATTAGATCAAAAATATTGTAACATCATCTAGTTTTATATCTTGACTTTTTCATATCAAATTGAGAAAGAATGGGAAATGCTATAAAGCAATATATTTCAAAGAAGAAGTCAAGAAAGTAGATGACAGAGTTTAAGATTTCCTGCAAAGTCTCCCAACCCCACAATAATGAAGCACCTTATTTACATTATCTTACTCTTAGGAGTAAGATTAGAAACTTAGGTAGGATATTGCAAAATACCTGGTAAGTGATTTTAGGTCCAGCTTGTGGATGAAATTCACTGAAGAAGATGCATTTCAGTTTACCTACAGGGAATGCTGCCATAATCTGCAAAAGAGAAACACAAGTACAGTTATAATAGTAGACCAAAATCCAAATGCTGTTCCACTGAGACTAGATCTAGATCTATGTCTGCATTGTCTGGCTTAGACCGAATTTTCCTGTCTCTTTCGTTTGTTAGCCTCTGATTTGGGTAAGGTCGGCTCTCTCTTTAGAGACAGAACAGCCCTATACGCTGTAGTGGACGCGCGTTTGTGTAAAGAAACGTTACACAAAACTTGGCCAAACTTGATCCCTAATTTTGATATTTTGCCGGATGCGTATCCGATGCATTTCAAGTCCTAAATTAGCTAAATGCTTAACTACTTCGGTTCCACTTACCAACTTGACTACTTACTTTACTTTTTTTTACTTTATCAGCCGTTGTCAATCCACTGCAGGATGAAGGCCTCAGCATGATGTTTCCAAATTCTTCTGTTCAGCGCCTGTTGGTGCCAATTTGTCTGTCCCCAGAACTGTTGCAGCTCGTCTCGCCATCTTTTTCTTCGACGTCCCCTGTTTCGTTTTCCCTCATATGGTGTCCAGTGAGTGATTGCTGAGCTCCAGCGATTGTCATTCCTACGGCTGATGTGGCCCGCCCAATTCCATTTCCTTTTTTTCACTGTTTCAAGGATGTCCTGGGGGGTGTTTCACAAAGATCCTAAGTAGAACTTAACTCTAAGTTGGACTTAAAAATTATGGACAGCCATTGGAGTCTTTAAATGAAATATATTCAAAAGCAGAAATTCCAAGTATTTTAGACTTTTTATTAATTCCACATCCAGAACATGAAATCTCCTTGATGATAGAAAATATGAATGATTTCAATAAACAATGAATGCCTTTCAAAATAACTTTTACAAATTATTTTCAAAGACGCTAATGGCTTTCCATATTTTTTAAGTCCAACTTAGAGATAAGTTCAACTTAGGATCTTTGTGAAACACCCCCCAGGACTTTTGTCTGTTCCCTGATCCATTTGTTCGTTTTTCTGTCTTTGTATGTGATGCTTAGAATACTTCTTTCCATGTTGTGTTGCGAGGCTGCTAGCTTTCTTTCCATTTTTGAAGTTAGTGTCCATGTTTCTGCAGCATATGAGATTGCTGGGATGATGCACTGGTTATATACTTTCTTTTTCAGGCATAATGGAAGTTTGCCTTTCATGATGGTGCTGTATCTGCCAAAGGCTCGCCATCCAGCTTTGATTCTTCTTCTTATTTCGTTGTCTTGATTTTTGTCTTGGAGGGAGAAACGTTGCCCTAAGTAGATATACTCCTCTACTTGCTCCATTTTGGTACCGTTCACTTGGATTTGTTTTGGATCTTTGGCTGATCCTGCCATGACTTTAGTCTTCTTCATGTTCATTTTGAGGCCTGTTAGTTGGCTTGCATCGTCCAGTTCTTGCAGCATTGTTTCGAGGTCGTTTAAGTTGTGAGATATGATGACAATATCGTCTGCAAATCTTAGGTGACTCATGTTTTCCCCGTTTATGTTGATTCCCTTTGATGACCAGTCTAATGTTTTGAAGATGCTCTCTAGGCAAGCAGTGAAGAATTTTGGTGAGCCGGTGTCTCCCTGTCTAACTCCCTTTCTTATCATGATTTTGTTGCTGGCCTTGTGCATTCTGACAGTGCTGTAGCAGTCTGAGTAAATGTCTTTAAGGATTTTGATGTATGCCTTGTTGATTCCTTGGTCTTGAAGTGCCTTCAGTACTGCATAGGTTTCTACGGAATCAAATGCCTTTTCGTAATCTACGAATGCTACGCATAGAGGGATGTTGAACTCTTGGCATTTTTCTTTCAGTTGATTAATGGTGTGGATGTGGTCCATAGTTGAGAAACCCCTTCTGAAGCCTGCCTGCTCACTTGGTTGGTTGTTATCAAGGATTTTCTCTAGCCTGTTGGTGATGATTTTTGTGTACAGCTTATACAGGTTTGAGAGGAGGCTGATGGGTCTGTAGTTCTTTAGATCTCGCTTGTCCCCCTTTTTGTGCAGAATTATCATTGTAGCTTCTTTCCATTGATGTGGTATCTTCCTCGTTTGCATACATGCATTGTAAAGTTTGGCTAGTTCCTGAGTTATTGTGTCTCCTCCTTCTTTGATTGTGTCTATAAGTATGTTGTCTGGGCCTGGTGACTTCCCTCTCTTCATTTGATTTATTGCATGTTGAACCTCCCAATCAGTTACAACTGGGATCTCTTCTTGTGGTTCTTCTGGATCTTCTGTCTCTTTATTGCTATTGTATAGTTGTTCATAAAACTCTTCAATTCTTTGAAGTATCTGGTCCTGATCTGTGATTTCTTGTCCATTGCTGTCGAGGAGGTTTGTGATTTTCTGTTTTCCATGTGCTAGTTTCTTGTAAGTTTTCTTCAGGCTTCTGTTTTCCTCAATTGTGGATTTGATGATCGTTGCGTTGTAACTACGGATGTCTTCACGTAGCTTTTTCCTTACTGATTTGCAGGTTTCTACGTATTCAACATTTTGGATGCCTATGCCTTCTGATTTCATGTTCCTTCTTTTTTCCATGAGTTTTCTGGTAGATTCTGATATCTTGTTTTCACAGGTTTTTGGTTTTTTCCCTGCGATCTTTATGGCCGTTTCTTGACTACTTAAATCCGTTTAATGGTCCCTTTTCAAGAAATTATGGGTCAAGATCGACATCCATGAGAAAATTTTGCAGCCGCGTCTCATTCCTTCTAGTCTACGCCGAAGGCAAAATGGTTTTAACGGAAATTCTGTGCACGAGCTACGAGTTCGTAATGACATGCACAGTATTTCCGTTATAACCATTTTGCCTTCGGTGTAGAGTAGAAAGAATGAGATGCGGCTGCAAGATTTTCTTCATGGATGTCGGTCTTGACCAATAATTTCTTGAAAAGGGACCATTAAACGGATTTAAGTAGTCATGTTGGTAAGTGGAACCGAAGTAGTTAAGCATTTAGCTAATTTAGGACTTGAAATGCATCGGATACGCATCCGGCAAAATATCAAAATTAGGGATCAAGTTTGGCCAAGTTTTGTGTAACGTTTCTTTACACAAACGCGCGTCCACTACAGCGTATAGGGCTGTTCTGTCTCTAAAGAGAGAGCCGACCTTACCCAAATCAGAGGCTAACGAACGAAAGAGACAGAAAAATTCGGTCTATGTCTGGCTCTACTGATCACCTCAAGTAAAGAGACCCTGGCATCCTGGGGGCGGTTTTCTGAGATGCATTTTGTCTCACTGAGATAAAATACCCTTAACTTTAAGTCTTTTTAAAAACCAGTATTCTCAGAATCATGTTATCTCAATTTTATCTTGGTAATCTTGGTAGATCTTGACTTGATGAAGGCGCTATAGCTCAGTCGGTAGAGCTAGTGCATGGTCTCTTAATCCGGTGACCCGGGTTCGAAACCTAGTGGATGTGCTAGTACTAGTACGGCCTACTGCCCCAGGCTTTGGTAAGGCATTAATCCTCATTACCAGGTTCCTTCGGAGAGGACCTAAGCCGTCGGCCGTCTAGTTGCTTACTAACAACTATTTTATGCTTTCTTAGCACGTTAGCAGTCAGGTAAAATAACCACCACCACCACCACCACCATCACCACCACCACCACCACCACCAAAATCATATTTAATTTATTGACCCTTGCCTTGGCTTTAAACTTTTTTGATATTCTCAATCATAACCATCATACCAGTACACCCTGATCACCATGCACCACCACGACACGAGCTCGTCAATAAACCAGTGATTTTATGAGGTTAATTAGTCATACCAATTATTTGATTTGCTCTAGCTGTGGTGTGACAGTAGACTACTAACTTAGTAAACTTCTTAGCTCGCCTTCGACCTTCTCGCTGATCGCGGCTGTGCTGTGTACTATACTGTGCAACTGTCGGCAAAATTAGGCTCACAGTGCTTGGCTATGAGCCGTCTGTAAGGCCAATTAAAATCATAGGAAAAGAAACTGCAAAGCCAGACATAAACGTGAAAACAGACTCATGGTCCAAAATGATAGGTTACATTTTTACAGTCATGTCCATTTATATTTTTATTTAAATTTTAAACAGATACAAATACATTATATGATTATTTACTGTGAATAAAAACTAATTTAATTAATTGATCATGTACATCCTAATCCTTTTCCTACAAAAGCGCATGAAAATAAATCTAAATCTTACCTTCACCATCCTATTTTAAAAAATGCACCGTACCTATTGCAGGGCCGATTGCGCAACATTTTCTTCGTGCAGTCGATATCACCGGTCAGCTGCAATGCAGGGGTCAGTGGAATCTGCTCGACTGTAGACAGGCAAGTTACGATTATCATTTTTATTTAATACTCGACTTTCTTAATTTCATTCAGTTCTGTTGTTCATGGGAGTCACAGTAAATTGGGTGATGTTAGTAGAATTTACCAATAGCAAACTTCAGATCAATCTAGGGTCTAGATGATAATTACAAAGAAAAGAGACAAAAGCTGCTCTTTCTTTACGACAGGCCGCACAGGCCTATGCATTGCTTATTAGCATTGACCACTATCACTAGCTATGTGTTCCTGGTACTTGCCCCACCTACCATCCCAGTGTAGCTGCGCTTCCTGAGCTAGCTGCTAAAAGGGATTACTCCATTAAAGGCATTACTGTGCCTGGCCTGGTTACACAGCTGGTAATTTTGTAATGCTGCAAAGCATTTTTAATTTCACTTCAGTTTTCAGCAAAACGAGAACTTGACTTACACTGTTTTTTTACCAGTTCAATATATCTACCTGCCTGTCAGCCTGTCACCTGCAAATGATCTTCACACTTGAGTTGACTCTTGCCTTTTTTTTTTTGGTGTGTGCATGTTTATTATTTTATTTTTGTTTTGTTTTGTTCTTTATTTCGTTTACCTTTTTGGCAGTATCCTAAAGAAATTAAATCCACTTTCTCTTGATTTTTTAATTGTAGAATTCAAGCAGTCACAATCTTGTGAACTATAAAAGAAAGAAAGAGGCATACGCAACTAATACAGAATATACCAGCATCATGAATAAGCTGAGGGTTGCTGTGATTGGTGGAGGAGCAGCTGGGCTTTGTGCCGCAAGATACATGGGAGCGAGACCAGACAGATTTGAACCGGTTGTCTTTGAGAAAGCCGATCGCGTTGGAGGCACTTGGGTTTATACAGAGGAGACTGGGAGGGACAGACATGGTCTGCCCATCCATTCAAGCATGTATTCATCACTCAAGTAAGAACTATAAATATGTCAAATTTAACTTATGAATTCAAGAATTCATACCTTTATGATTAATTTTCTCTATGTAGTCTAATCAATTTATAATGGATTGCCTAGGCTAGTTGCAGAAAAAGAAAAAAAAAAAATTGAATGATTTTTAAACCCTTATTTATGATTACGACATATATTCTGTAAACGATATAGTCCAGTAATTGAATGATGTAAATGGAATGCTAAGAAATATTTTTTTAATTATTTTGCTCTCTTTCCTTCTTTTCTTCACCTGACCTCCAGAACCAACCTTCCCAAAGAAGTGATGGCTTTTCCAGACTTCCCCTTTGACAGTTCTCTTCCATCTTTTATCAAGCATACAGAGATGCTTAGATATCTGGAACAGTATGCCGACCATTTCAATCTCCTCAAGCATATACAGGTAAACCTATTTGACTGTGCTAGTAGACGATACTGGACTATAATATTGAATGATTGAATTCTATCGCATCCGGACACCTACCCCCTGGACATCTAACCCCTGGATAACCACCCCTAGTCAACTACCCCCTAGGACAACTACCCCCTAGGGCGTCTACCCCCAAGGACGACTACCCCCCGGGACAACTACCCATGATCAACTACCCCCCAAACAACTACCCCTAGGACAACTACCCCTCGGACAACTACCCCCCCCCCCCAGAACTACCCACTAAGACAACTACCCACTAAGACAACTACCCCTGGACAACTACCCCCTAGGATAGTTGTCCTAGAGGATGGTTGTCGTAGGGGGTAGTTATCTGGGGAGTAGTTGTCCGGGGGGTAGTTGTCCGGGGGGTAGTTGTCCCAGGGGTTAGTCGTCCTAGGGGGTAGTAGTCCTAGAACTAATTTCTATAAATATAGTGTCATATATTTTTGATACAGAAGTATTTGTACAACTACAGTGAAACCTCATCAGAAAGAGTTCTGATATAACAAGGTATATGTTATGTCAAGGTGACTTTGCTGATCCCGCTCTTTATATTCTTTTTTTGTTAAACCCTGATGTAACAAGATTCCTGATAAAACAAAGTAATTTCCATGTTCCCAAGGACATTGTTATAATGAGATTCCACTTTACAAGTTATGTGTTATAAACTTGTAATTTTTGCATGGCTGAGCAACTGCCATATTGGAGAATGTATAAGAAATCATGAATAAGATATATGACATTAGAATTTTTTTAATTTTGCATATTGAAAGGAAACCAAATTCATGAAGCTTGCAGTAGTATTTATAAATAGGATCATGTTTACCAATTCATTGTGTGTTTTCCTCCTTTCATTTGAAGTTCAACACCATAGTTGAATCTGTGAGACCTGTGAAACCATCAGGTGATACTCAATCTGTCACGTGGGAAGTCAAAGTTCGCGATGTGGAGAATCAGGAATCTGGTGCGTCCGTCACCTCTCACTATGATGCTGTCATGGTTTGCAATGGGTATGTGATTTGGGGTTACAACAGAAAATAAACTACATTGATAAAATGTAGTAATATGTGTTGAAATGTTCTAAATACATGTACATTCAATAAACTGGTTTACAAATATATTCAAATTTTATGGACACTTTTTATACATAGGTGGTTCTTGATAACCTGAAAGCTTGCCAGACTTAGCAACATGTAGACTGGATTCCAAGTATTGTAGTTCATTCCGCATTGGTAACAGGTTAATTGAATAACACGTCAGTAGGTCCTAGGAAAGAAAAATCCATGAATTTGAAAGTGTTAGTAAGCTGGTCTATTCATTATCATTTTGTTTCACAATTCAGTATTTTTTTTGCCATTTAATATGCTTGGGAGGAGTTCATTGTTAGGGGGCCCTGTCTGGAATAACAGCCTTCAGTGGGTCATGATGTAAGCACTTCTCTTGCTCCCCACATCTTCACATCAGTGGGGTTTTACAACCGGTAGCTAGGTTAAACTCAGAGCCTGATTGGAAATTCTCCAGTAGCTCAGTTGCCATAAACCTTTCAGATTTTTCTCCAGGCAAGCTCATGGATTATGAATTCTCTGTATGACACCAATTGTAGTCTATGGTTTTAGAAGAAGAGGATGATGTTTGTTTTAAGGGGGGGGGGGGGTTGTGTGTGTGTGGTAATAAATCAGGGAACTTGCATGCTATTTAATGCCTGATTCTTTCTGTTTTACCTGGCTACAGCTGTAGTGATTTTAAGGTGTGCAATGCCAGAGAGTAGATTGGTTATGTCAATATCTAGGGCCATTTATATATAAGCAGGAGATTCCTTTTTAAAATTCCTCGCCATTTCCTCCAAGAATCTGCAAATAGCGCTAGAGCTCTGTAGAATCATCTTCAAGAATTTAGTTACGATGTTTCTTGATACGCATGCATGAATGATGCAATTAATCAGTTGTTTCATTCTTCTCTCTCTCTCTCTCTCTCTCTCCTACTCCAGGCATTATGCACTTCCGAAGATTCCAGATATGGATGGGCTGGATACCTTCTCCGGTCAAATCCTTCACAGTCACAACTACCGTCATCCAGAAACCTTCAAGGATCAGTCAATCTTGATTGTGGGTGCTGGTGCCTCGGGGATAGACATAGCACTAGACTTGTCACCCCATGCGAAGCAGGTAGTCATCAGTCACTGGAAACCAAGATTCAAGACGCCACTCCCAAGTAACGTTAAAGAGGTTCAAGCTATCAAATCGGTCGGCAAGACTGAAGTTGAGTTCCTGGATGGCTGCAAGGATACTTTTGACAGCATCATGTTCTGTTCTGGCTATGACTATGACTTTAGTTTCTTGCATCCAGACTGCTTAGTAGATATTACCGATGGAAGAATTACTCCGCTCTACAAACATGTCATCCACCAAATCTTCCCCAGCCTCTGTTTCATTGGTACCACCATCCGCATTTGTCCATACCCCCACTTCCATGCTCAAACATTGTTTTACCTAGCAGCATTAGACGGCTCTATGAAACTTCCAACACAGAAAGACATGCAAGAAGATGAAGCAAGGGACTACCAAAAGAAATTGGATGAAGGGCTCCCTCATCGCTATGCACACTATATGGGAGAAGGGCAGTGGGGATATACCTCTGACATTCTAAGCTTAGCAGGGGCCGAACAACACAAGCCGGTGGTCAAGAAGTTATACGAGCAGGTAGCTGTGTACAGAAGGACAGATGTACCGAACTACAAGAATATGAATTTCAATGTAGTGGATGATGAAAACTTTGTGCAATTGCAGTCTTTTGAGCAGTGAAAGACTGAAGATTATACTCTTGTCTATTAAAGGGGTCCTTAAAACCTTCAATTCTGTATAATCATTGAAGCAATGATAAACAAATCTCTCTGATCTAGCAGACCTAGGTACTGCAGGTTAATAAAAAGAAATTGATAGTCAAATTTCAAAGCAATGGTCAAATGACAATTTCAGTTTTTTTAATAATTTTTTTTTATTTTTAAAATATCCATTTGTTAATTTTTAACAAATTTTGAAATGATTTGCTTTAAATTTACTACACAGTGTAAGCTGATGAAACAATTTATATGATTATAGTATACGATTCATGCGATTTCTCAGTTTCTCAGCCATTAGGATGCTCCCTATTATCTCTAAAGCAGGCCTTCTCAACTGGCGGCATGCGCGCCACTCGTGGCGCTTGCGGTCAGTCAGAGTGGCGCGCGGCTGTTCCCAAAAATTAATAAAAAATAAATACAAATTGAAAATTAAAAATTAAAGAGAGAAAAAATTAAAAAAATTATATTAAAAAAAAAAAAACTTAGCAAAATCAAAAAGTCAGGAATTCTACTAATTATTTCACATCAATATGAAATTATGATTGATGTTTTATGGAACAAAAAGGTGTTAAAAATGCCACATCTGGGCCTTAACCCTAAAAAGGCCGGGCTATTTGAGGTCTTAGTACGGCCGGGGGGGGGGGGGGGGCATTATGCCCCCCATAAGATCTCGGCCGTGAAGCGGCCGATCTCCGCACAAATTTGCACGCATGTCAAGTGAAGTGTATAGAATACTATGATAATTTCAATTTTTTGAAAAATTCCAAATATCCATGAAAGGATTATATAGAGTGAATAATCATGGATTTTGTGGTTGCACAGAAATGCCCATCTACTCAGACAAGGCTTAATAAATGGAAATACTATTTTGTTAATACTGACACAATCAACTGCTATTTGGAAGTTGTACAGGAACTCAATGTGGTATCAAAATAATAGACATGTAATGGTGAAAGCATAAGTTACCATTAGAAATTAGGAAATCACCATTGTAAATTACTTTTTAAATCAAAACAAAAAGCACATCCTTTCATTTAACTTTATAGATTTAAGCACATCAGGAGCTCTTACAACACAGTAGAATATATGTGCATAATTTCTGCGCTTTATGAATGTATATTCATTATTATTATTATCATTTATGCAGTTAGAATAGAGTTGAATTGAGAACTGTAATACTTTTATAGATATATATATATATATATAATAATAATAATAGCTCGTTCTTATATAGCGCTTTTCAGGACCGCAATCCCTCTCAAAGCGCTTTACAGATAAGTATATTATTACCCCGGTTATTGGATTCAGGCTTACCCGCACACAATGTATGCACATTCTCCACTCCCTGGGAGCATTCCAGCCAGGCGTCATTTAAGAGCACACTTGCTAATCAAACCACATTAGCTTTCGCATCCTACCGGGTACCCATTTAACACCTGGGTGGACAGTGGCAAATGTAGATCAATGTCTTGCCAAAGGACATTAGTGCCGCAGCAGGACTTGAACCACGGACCTTGTGATCCACAGTCGGGTGACATATCCACTCGACCACGACACCTCTACATATATATATATATATATATATATATATATATATATATATATATGACGAAGCTGTTCATGATGACCATGGCCCAACTGGAGATGCCGGTATCTGGATGAACCTGCTCGGTCGTAAAGTGAAGTAGATGGTGGGTTGTCTTTGTATCACATATCATGATATTCAATCAAGAATTATGAATATTAAGATTTAAGAAAGCAGGAAAGTGTGCTGCTGCTCCTGCGCCAGTATTATCAATACTATATCATGACTATGTTATTACATTTATATGGACAGTATCTGCCCTGAAATATATTGGTTTTTCTGTGTAAAGAAAGAATTATTATCCAGACTTTTACAATTAATTAATCAAATTTATTCTCCTGATGAAAATTAAAAGCATACAGATATACCATGTATTTACATAAATGAAATGAAAGCCGGTTTAATACGGAATGGAGGAGCCAGCAAAAGCCAAAGAAAGCCCTATCAAAGACTAGCTCCTAGATTTAGTTGGACAAAATTATAACAGGATATTTTATTTATCCAGTTTGTTCTTATTTGATATGACATTGTACCTATAAATGATAACAAGACATGAATTCTATACCTCTCTATTATTTTTTAGTGGCAGAATCAATGATGATTCAACTTCATAATCCTCGGTGTTTAGGTTTAATGTCAGGATAAAATTTGTAGATACATATCTCTTTCCTTTTATCACAGAAATATATATTTGAAAATACACAATTATATTATTTTAGGCCTTCTTGTCTTGCTTTATTGACTAATATCTTTGAATGTATTCTGTGCTTGTATTTTAGGCTTTAACATAGAACTGGATGTATAAGTAGAGAGTTTGAAATTAATGAGCATGAAGTAGTGTTTAAACACAAAACAACGACGAAGTAGATAAAAGAGGGAAACAGAAGATAGAGAGGAAAAGAGTGAGAAAGAAAGGATGTGTGCGCAGTGGCGGATCCAGGGGGGGGGGGGGGGCAACAAAAACAAATATAGTGCTGACTACCCCCCCCCCCCCCCCCCCCCCAACTGAGCGCATTTTCGGCCGGCGCGATTTTCAAATTTTCGGGGGAAAAAAAGAAGAAAAAAATGGGCACCCACCCTTAAGAAATCCTGGATCCGCGCCTTGTGCGTGTCTATGGGAGGAGTTTATGTTTAAAGGGGAATCCAACCTTAATAGCAAACTATTCTTTAAGAAAGTAAACAGTATTGGAGAAGCCGACTGGTTAAAGTTTGAACGAATCGGATAAAACATATGAAAGTTATGCAAAAGAAGTGTTAAAAGTTGTAATCGCCAGACGTATGGACACTTTAAATTGGCTGTATTAGTTATGTCACTGTGATGTAAATGCCGGATAAGTTTCTTATTTGTTCCAGCACAAACAAGTGGCTAAAACTAAATATTTCAAATCTATGACTTTTCCTTTATAGAGGACATAATAAATCATAAATGTGCAATCCATAGTAGTGCCCCAAGGGAGAAGACAATTAGGATAACAACGAGAAAGTTGTCCATGGCTATACGCATAGATTTAGTGATCTCATATTTCAAACATGCATAACGTTCACTTTAAAAGGGTGCCGTGACTGAAGAAAAGGATGAGAAATGAGAGACTATTAGGGACTTTTAGATTCTGCAGGGCGAGAACGTGGACTGCCCTTTTAAGGCAATGTGACGTCCTATTATGGCACTGGCAGTGACATCACATTGCCTTAAAAGGGCAGTCCACGTTCTAGTCGTGCAGAATCCTGTTCATTCGCCTGTGTGTATGTGTGTGTGTGCGTGTGTGTTTTTTTTTTTTAGTACAGATGTGTATCAAACATATAGGCCCTTTGCTTTGTGAATTCGGGCCATTGTGATTATTTACGTCTAGGAATTTCAATGGTTTAATCTCGTTCGAAGGACTTATACAAAATATCTATTCTTCCGCTATCTACCCTGGCGATGTCAAACCCAAAGGCACGTACGGACTCAGTGACCCAAATCTGCTTGGTAGTTTATACCGTAGAGCAAAGCAGGCCCTTCCGAGCTGAGCTCTGTCTCATTTTATCACTAATGATCCCTCAATATAGTATAGCCTAGCTAAGGCCTCTATATCAGGAGCAGAGTTTTTTTAACTACAGTCTGGGTAAGTTAGATTTAAGATTTTTAACAGTTTGCTACCAACATAGTGTCAATATGAAACTTTTTCAAGAATTAAGATAACGTATATTTCGAAGGTATTTCGGGCAGAATATTATATCATATCACTTTGACAGACTATTCATAGCGTGGATCTGCACATGTTGTGTTTTGAAACAGTTACCCTTTTATCATAATATCATCCACCAGAATTGGAGAGAAGTAAACGACAGCAGAAACTGGATAAGCATTTTAATAAAACAAGTAATCAATCCAGTAGAATATACTCTAAATTATGTGATAAAGGTGTCAAATTTGTTCATTTGAACATCGTTAGCTTATTGAAGCATTTTGATGAAATTGGGTCTATATTATGCAATAATGATATTCACATTTTAGCTCTAAATGAAACCAGGCTTGATGATTCAGTTGCAGATAGTGAAATAAGTATATACCTCATTTCAATGTTATTAGGAATGATAGAGATAGAAGAGGTGGAGGAGTTGCCATATACGTACATGAGAATGTTACATTTGAAAAGTTAATAGTGCCTAGTTCAGTAGATCAACTGGAAGTTATTTGCATTCTGATTCGTTTGAAGCATACAAAGCCTTTTATTTTTATAAATTGGTATCGACCGCCAAATAAAACACGTCTACTGGAGTCCTATGAAGAATTGTTGTTATATTTAGGAGGATTTAATACTCCAATAATATTAACGGGCGATGTTAATTATAACATTGCCAAGCTTCCACTTACTTGCGATACTCGTAAATATTCACAAATTAATGATATATATGGTTTGTGTCAAATTAATAAATCTGTTTACACTCGAGTAACGCCTGAGTGCTCATCATTATTGATCACATGTTAACAACTTGCCCAGACAAAGTAAGCTCTTTTGGTGTCTTACACAATGGTTTGAGTGATCATTATATGAGTTACTTAGTCTGGAAAGCTCAGGTCAATCATGATGATTCTTTTTAAATTATGTAACATTTAGAAAATCTCATGAGGTAGACTTTGAAAAGTTGAATGCCGATCTTAGATCGCAGAAGTGGGATGAGGTAGAAGAAGGTATTGACCTCGATACAGCTGTAAACAAATGGGAAGTACTCTTTTTAGACACAATAGACAAATACATGCCATTGAAGAAGAAAAGGGTACGCAAAAAACACTCCCCTTGGTTGAATGAATGTATATTTAAGCTCATGAAAGATCGTGATAAAATGAAAGGTAAAGCAAAGACGAAAAAACAAGACGTTTACTGGAAACAATACAAACACTTGAGAAATAAGGTAACGTTTGAAATAAGGAGAGTAAAGAAACAATATTTCATTGAAAAACTAGGTGCTTGTACGGATAGAGCGAAATCTTGGAGAGTATTAAAAACACTAATTCCCAATACGAAATCAGCTACGAATTTTCCCCTCCCTATCGATGAATGTAAAAGAGTAGCAAATGATTTTAACGAACATTTTATCAATGTCGGAAAACAATTTGATAACAGTAATGGTAATAAATGTATCAGTTACGAAGAGTTTGAAAGTACCGAAGCCATTGAGAGCACAGAAAATACCTTTTCTGTTCCTGTAATTACACAGTCAGATGTTCTGAAAGAAATCTATCGATTAAAGAATAAGAAATCAGTTGGGGTTGATGGAATAGATTCTTACATGCTGAAAGCCTGTGCACTGGAAATTGTGAAACCTCTCACATATTGTCTGAAGGTACAGTCCCTTCCAGATGGAAGGTGGCTAAGGTCATCCCCCTACATAAAAAGGGTGATAAAGCTTTAGCCAATAATTACAGACCGAAATCTTTATTAACGTGTTTGTCCAAAATATTAGAAAAGATTGTACAAAAACACTTAATCCAATTTCTGCAAAAAACAACATTTTAACTAAAGATCAATCGGGATTCAGGCCGAAACATTCTACCTGTACCGCTCTTACAAAGGTTACGGACGACTGGCTTCAATCAGTTGATAAGGGTTTATATACAGGAGCACTTTTTGTCGATCTGCGAAAAGCCTTCGATTTGGTCGATCACAGAATTCTCTTGAGAAAATTGTCTAATGTTGGTATAAATGGTATAATGCATAAGTGGTTTTATGAATATTTGGTTAACCGTAAAATGTTTACTTCGATAAATAATGTTTCTTCAAATGAATTGATATTAACGTATGGTGTGCCTCAAGGTCCAATTTTATTTCTAATTTACATCAATGATTTAGCTAATGCTTTTCATTATTGTCATCTGCATTTATATGCAGATGACACAGTTATTTATTTCTCAAATGTAAACCCTATTGTTGTACAGTCTGTTCTTAATAATGAATTAATATCGCTATCGACATTATATGGCAATCCTCCCAAAAAAATTATCTTGACCAACTTCAAAAACTTCAAATTAGGGCTGGTAGGATAATCCTTGAGATAAACCCTCATAATTATACTTCAACATATCAAATTCACGACCTCTTAAAATGGGAATCCCTAAAAACCAGACGTAAAAAGCACATGTACATAATGCTGTATAAGATTTTCCATAATTTAACTCCAGACTATATGCAGAATAATCTCTTTTACAAAGAAACCAATTATGCCCTAAGAAATATCGATAACTTAGTCTTGCCCAAACCTAAAACTAATTATTGTAAACGAACATTTTTTTATCCGCGGATCTAAATTATATAATGAATTACCAATTAACTTACGTAGACCGAACACACTTAATTTATTTCGACAGGACCTAAATGAATGGATGCTAGATTTTGATGTATAAACTTTTGGTGTAAACGGGGAGGGGGGAGGGATGGTAACAGTCGTATTCATAATGTGTTATAGAGGGTTTGGGAGGGGGTTGTAGATAGTGCGTTTGTAATATTATATTTTTGTAATATTTTGTGTTTTATTTCTATGTTTGATTATTTCTGGACCTCAGCTAGGAAGAATAGAGCCATTTTAATAATGGCTCTGAATAGAGCTTTCCAGCCGTTTTTTAATTCTTGATTTGTAATATTTGTAAATTGTATTCTTGTATGTATTGAATTTTTATACGGAAAATAAAACCAAACCAAACCAAGACATTATTTGTGAAACAGGCATGTAATCAACATATTTTCATAACGTTGCGGTTTAGTTAGATTTCCTATAAATTCAAGAGTGGTTTGCAAAGAAATAAATAGAATTTTCAACTCGCACAAAATGTGGCTCCAAATCATCAAATGTTTTCTATTTTCCACAATGAAGTGTTTTAAAAAAAGTACAAGTTATTAATAGAAGCTTATAAAATGTGTTTATACTGTTTGCATGGCATATATACCCAACATTGGTTTTATATTAAACACAATTCTCAGCAATTCAGTGAATGTTTTTCTTTTTTTCCAACAGTTGTTGGTTTGATTAAAACAACAAATTCGATCAATAGTGTGGGTTCATGGAGGGGGCACAAATACCATATACGAATAAACAAAGCCGCCGATCGTGAGGTAGAAGTCAAGTGATAAAATATTGTCGCCCCATGCACCCCCTTTTTCATATTATTGACTTGGAAACACACTTCTGGGCAAGAAATAAATAAAGACTCTAGCTGGTTAGTCAATGTCACGTATATCCACTGGCGAATTGATGGGGGTGGCGTGGGGCAGTTGCCCCCCGCAAAAAAAATCAAATCAGACGTAGTTTATTTCTTATTCGATACCAGTGATTTACAAATTATGCTGAACTGAAATGATTTTTTTTTCTACCCCAAACTAAACCCCCCAAAAGATAACACCACTGCAGATTATATCTTCGCTCCGGTGATCTCGAGGCATAACAAACTTGTGTGATAAATCATTTGGATTGAGAAAGCTAGTCCACCGACGTGGACGAAAGCTTGCCTAATAAATTTCAAGGTTGATAAAAGTTTAAATCATATATATCTTATGATTACCACAACCAATGACTATAAACAGGGGCGGATCCAGCGGGCGGCGAGGGAGGGGGCCCAAATCGTGACAAAATATTTAGCGGCGCATGGGTGTGGGAGGGGGGGGGGGGGGGGGGGGGGGGGGGGGGTAGTTAACACTATAAATAAACATACTTTTGGGGCCCAACGGGGGAGGGGGGGGGGGGGCTTGTGAGCACTATTTATTTTTACTCAACCCCCCTCCCCCTTGAGCAAAAAACAAAAAATAAAGGCAAAATTGTGGTAACCATTTTTTTTTGTTTTTAACTTTTTTCTTCTTCCCAGGGGGGGGGGGGGCGTCTTTTTTATGGTAAAATTATTGTTCCCATCTTTAAAAAAAAGTTGGGGGGGGGGCAGGGGTGGAGGCCCGGGCTCACCATGCCCCCACCCTGGATCCGCCACTGACGATAAATACTCTTACATTTATAGAAGTTACTACCAGCATCATGAGCAAGCTGAAAGTTGCAGTAATTGGTGGTGGAATAGCTGGGATTTGTGCCGCCAAACACATGGCAGTGAGACCAGACAAATTTGAACCAGTTGTCTTTGAAAAAACCGAGCGAATTGGAGGCACTTGGGTTTATACAGAGGAGACTGGGAGGGACAGACATGGACTGCCCATCCATTCAAGCATGTATTCATCACTCAAGTAAGATATAGAGTATAGTATATCAACATTTTTATATTTGGATTAGGTTATGTACGACATCCAAATCAACGTTTGGTATTTGTAGTATATAACTGTTATGACGTTTTAATTTATTTAGATTTCCATGAGCTGTTTATTAAAGGAATATTTTTAAATGACTATTATACCTTCCGTTTGGCACAATAAAAGAGTAAAAGGTATATTAATTAACATTTCATTTAATTTATGACTAGTACAATTTACAGCATATTGTTTCTGATGTGACAAATTTGTCAGCGGTGTGCAAAGTTACAGAAAATTTAACCTTGAAATGTATTCATTATATTATTATTGTTACGATATGCGATATGCGATATGCGAATATCCGGTATCCATCCGTGGTAGCTTAATAAATAACATGGCTATCATAACAAACCAGTTTTCCGTCTCTCTATTATCCTGAGTTATCTACTACATTGTATTACCAAGACCCTCAAACTCAGTGGCGGATCCAGGGAGGCGGCCCGGGCCCCCTCCCCTGGGGAAAAAACAGGTAAAAAACGTTAATTTTACCTTTATTTGCTGACGGGCCCCCTCCCCTGGGCCTCAAGGGGGGGGGGGTGCACATTTTCGAGGGCAAAAAAATAGTGTTGCTCACTACCATCCCCCCCCCCCCCCCGCTTATTCACCGGCTGGCTGTTTCGCCGCTAAATATTCCTCACGACTTTGGCCCCCTCTTTGGCCCCCTCCCCTGCCGCCGTCTGGATCCGCCCGTGCTCAAACTCATCATGGCTATCATAACAAACCAGTCTTCCGACTCCCATTATCCTGAGTTATTTTGTACATTGTATTACCAAGACCCTCAAACTCATCACATATTGCTTGGAAGATCTTTAAGCAGAACTTGAGTAAAAGGAGCAGATTGGTAAAATTTTGAAAAACGAGAACAATAAGAAAGGGATTTCACACCAGCGAATATAGCGACGGAACTGTCATAACGCCAAATAACCAACGACACAACATAATCAATGTGCGTCTATATAATACTATGTTTGGTGGGGGTGGCTTTATTGGACATTTTACTTTTTTTTCTTTCTTTTGATTTGTCCTTTTTTGTGGTTTTACTGTTGTATTTCATTTATCAGGACCATGATCAAAAACAGTTTTACTGATCACATTGATTTTAAAAAAAAATCCTGAATAACTATGTTTCGATGAATACATGTTTATTTTCATTCTTTTCTCTATCTGTCACATCCAGAACCAACCTGCCAAAAGAAGTGATGGCTTTCGCGGATTTTCCATTTGACAGTTCCCTTCCATCATTCATCACACATACAGAGATGCTAGAATACATCGAACAGTTTGGTAGACACTTTGATCTCCTTAAATATATCCAGGTAAAGATCGAGCAAACTTTTCATGTTTCGCAGTTAATATTCTCCTATATATTTTACTGGCACTCGTGTCTTATTCATATTTCCAAAAAAGGGAGGACAGCAATAGAGAACTTTGATTGAAGCTACGAAAACAGATCCTCATATTTCCTTTTGCATTGTACATGTATATACAGTGCGTCCCAGAAAAAAACGAAACCGAGCATTATCGATGTTTTATCATAAGTTAATCACAATTAAAATCAATAAGCGATGCATATTTCACTCATGAGTGATTACAAACCATTTGAAGAGAGGGTACCAAAAAGTCATTTGGCGGGCGGTATCTGAATTTCAAAGGGAAATTCATATGACACCTCATGCAGGAAAAATGAGTCAGGAATAACAAAGTTTTGTTTGTTTAAAGTGCTTGCATTTCCATAATTTGATTAAACGAATTCGTTTTCACTGGCTGCCTGCCGTATCAACAAACAGAGTTGACAAAAGACTTAACTCCGTTTCGTTGACGATCAGCCATGCACAAAGAAGACGAAATACTTGATTTTTTTTGACAGAACGGGGGAGGTAGTGAACACTCCTTTATTTTCTTCAACATCCATCCCCTCCCCCCCCCCCCCCCCTTGAGCAAAAAAAAAATTACCCCCCCCCTCCATCTGTGAACATCTGAAACACAGATGAAGGATGTCTTTAAAATTCTAAAACACCCCTGTTTGCCAAGGGGGGGTGTTTGAACACCTAAAACACCCCTCGATACGCCAATGGTATGATGTGTTTATGAAGGATAGCACTAATTCCATCGTGACCCTGTGATTTACTTAATTTGACAATTTTCTTAATTTCAGTTATTTCAGGAAGAAATGTAATAAAATTTCGTTCGGTGTATTAAGTTTATTTGCTAAATTACGTCCTATGTTTACAAAGTAGGAATTAAAAGTATCGGCTACATCTGCAGACTTTATAACTGCATCTATTGTAAAATTATCATTGGGAAATTTTTTAGTTGTTTTTTCCTTCAAACAAATCATTAACAATCCCCCAAGTAGATTTCATATTTGATTTCACTCTATTAAGTTTGTCGGAATAGTAAATTTTACGAGAATTTTGAATGATGTTAGTTAATTTATTTCGGTATGTTTTATATTTCTTTTTGTTGTGAATATTTGAGTTCGTTGAGTTAGTTATCATGAAGTAAGAAGGATATTTGTTTAGATTAATTAAATCTTGAAGCAGCATTTAACTATTAGAAGGATGTAAGGCCTGACCCACATTCGATGCATCAGCCCTGACTTGGTAAAAGGAGATTTTGACAGCACTTTATGCAAACTCTGGTTTGCATTAGTCATCACTGGCAGAGATATTATGAATGGGATATCATATTATATGGAAAACAAGTTACGCTCCACCATGAAATATGTTTCAAGGTCACATTAACTATGACTTTTTGATTATAAGATAATAAAGTCTTATATGCTTTTTATTGATAATCACTGTATATCATTATTGCATGCATGTTTCAAAGGACGACAAATATATACAGTTTCAAATATATTTTGAAAGGATTCATTATTGATCAGGGGCGTACGCAGGTTTTTTTCAAGGGGGGGGGGGGGGTTTTGCTCCCGAAAATTTAAAAATCGCGCCGGCCGAAAAGTCGCTCAGTGGGGGGGGGGGGGGGGGGGGGGGGGGGGTAAGCGGACACTTTTTTTTTTTTTTTTTGGAGTCCAAAAAAAATCGCAACGACTCAGCCAGCCGAAAAGTCACTCAGTGGGGGGGGGGGGGGGGGGGGGGGGGGGGGGGTAAGCGGACACTTTTTTTTTTTTTTTTTTGAGTCCAAAAAAAATCGCAACGACTCAGCCAGCCGAAAAGTCGCTCAGTGGGGGGGAGCAAGCGGACACTTTTTTTTTTTTTTTGGTCTCGAAATTTCAAAATTTGACATTTTTCTTCGTTGGGGGGGGGTGGGTATAATTTTTTTTTTTTTTTTTTTTTTTTTTTTTTTTTTTAATAATTAAAAAAAAAAAAAAAAAAAAAAAAAAAAAAAAAAAAAAAAAAAACCCAAAGGGGGGGGGGGGGGGGGTTTTTTTTTTTTTAGGGGGGTTTACACACATAAAAATACGCCCCTGTTATTGATATATATTTGCCATGTACTTTTTCATTTGAAGTTCAACACCATGGTTGAATCTGTGAGACCTGTGAAGCCATCAGGTGATACTCAATCTGTCACGTGGGAGGTCAAAGTTCGCGATGTGGAGAATCGGGAATCTGGTGGGCCTGTCACTTCTCACTATGATGCTGTCATGGTTTGCAATGGGTATAATAATTTTATGTATTTTTCTTTAACTCTTGACACAGAATGATATTTCTGACCGGGCATGCTAAGTTCAGAAATCAGGAAATCAAGGACATTTATCAGAATTATATGGGCACTTTCCCTTGTACTTCTCTTTGAATAAAAACTTTAGTATAGGACTATTATTATTATTGATATGTAAAGGAACTAGTTGACGTAAACTCTCTCTATGCCTTCATTATTATGCTTTAAAAAAGAGAGTAAGGTTTCAGACGGATGGCTAACGACATTAAAAAATGTAATGCATCGTGAGTAGCTAATTTTAAACGGGATAGGACTATTATTATTTGATTTAGTCATTATCAACGATAACAAAAACGACGGACCATATGTTACGAACATTAATATTATAAGCAATAAAAACATAATATTTAATTAAAATAATGAAAAAGCTAGTTTCATTTTTTCAGAGGCCGCCCTCGAGGGGGGGGGGGGGGGGGGAGGTGTACCCCTTTTTTCAAGTACCTAAAAGAGATCCCTTTTACGTGTGAAAATCATAGAGCTATATACTACTAACACTATCTCTATGGTGAAAATGCATCTTTCCCTTTCTGATAGGGGTCCCCCTTTTACGTGGAAAGTACCCCTTTTCTTTTTGATAAGTGTCCCTTTCGCCTTTTAATAGATAAGGGCCCCCTTTTCAGCGTAAGAAAGGTGTCCGTTTCCTTCTGATAAGTGCCCCCCTTTCCTTTCTAATAAGCCCCTTCGTGGTCATATAAAGAGCCATACCTACTTTCAAGGTATCGGTAAAGCTTTGTGTAATAACAAGTACCCCTTTCCTACAACCATGATGAATGGCAGTAGCCAGGGGAGGGGGCACAATGCACTTTTTTTCATTTTTGCCCCTGGGAATTCGTAAATATGTTAATGATCATCAATGATAATGTATTAATTTCAATGTGGTTCATATACCTTTTCTCAAAAGTTGAATTGGAAAGATGCTCCGCCGCCCCTGAACCCCATTTCCTATTTTACTGCACAAAATGGAAAGGTAATTAATTGCCCTTTCGTATAGGATTATAAAGGCTTATATAGACAATGAAAGAGCTTTAAAACAGTCAATTTATGTTAAAAAGAGACATATTCAATAACAAATGTTTTTACCATCCCCCTTTTTTTTAATTCAATTTTTCTCCTGATCTAGGCATTATGCACTTCCGAAGATTCCAGATATGGATGAGCTGGATACCTTCTCCGGTCAAATCCTTCACAGTCACAACTACCGTCATCCAGAAACCTTCAAGGATCAGTCAATCTTGATTGTAGGTGCTGGTTCCTCAGGGATGGACATAGCAGTAGACTTGTCACCCCATGCGAAGCAGGTAGTCATCAGTCATTGGAAACCAAGATTCAAGACGCCACTACCAAGTAACGTTAAAGAGGTTCAAGCTATCAAATCGGTCGGCAAGACTGAAGTTGAGTTTCTGGATGGCTGCAAGGATACTTTTGACAGCATCGTGTTCTGTTCTGGCTATGACTATGACTTTAGTTTCTTGCATCCAGATTGCTTAGTAGATGTTTCTGATGGAAGAATTACTCCGCTCTACAAACATCTCATCCATCAGATTTTCCCCAGCCTCTGTTTTATGGGCATATCCAAACGCTTTTGTCCATACCCCCACTTCAATGCTCAAGCATTATTTTTCCTGGCAGCATTAGATGGCTCTGTGAAACTTCCAACAGAGAAAGAGATGCACGAAGATGAAGCAAAGGAGTTCCAAATTCGATTAGACGAAGGGCTCCCTCATCGATATGCACACGATATGGGAGACAGACAGTGGGAGTATAACTCTAACCTTCTTAGTTTTATAGGGGCTGTACAGCATAAGCCGGTTATAGAGAAACTATACCATCAGGTAATGAGATGCAGAACAAAAAATATACTCATTTATAGGAAGATGAAGTTTAAGGTTGTAGATAACGACAAATTTGTTCAACTGTAGTCTTTTCACTAGAGCTCCTTCGAGTGGTAATTTATTTCTAAACTATTATAGTTAAACTTTCTACATTGTGTTTTGAAATCCATTTGAACGGCCTCGTTTTATCATTTAATTTAATCAAGTGCAAATTGGGATAACAAATCCTTTTTGTAGTAGTAGAGCCTCATGTTGACAATCAAATCCTATTCTATCATAGTAAAAGTGTCGTGGTCGAGTGGACATGTCACAAGACAAGGTCCATGGTTCGAGTCCCACCGCGGCACTAATTTGGCAAGATATTAATCTACATTTGGCACACTCGACCCAGGTGAGGTAAATGGGTACTTGATAGGATTATTCCTTGAAATGCACTGTTCGCTGATAATGTATGTATTACGCTGATGTATATATGGATCAGGGAGGTGAAAGAAAAGGAGGCGAAACTCTTGTAATTTATTCAAACGCATTCTTGAGTTCTAAAGCGTAACAATGGGATGTGTAACATTCCACTTGGCTTTGAAGTTCCTTGCTCCGAACCGCGCTTCCACTGCGGGGAATTTCGAAAGCCAGGCACCAGTTTTACATTTATTACAAAATATTAAATTACCAGCAAAATTTCAGTGTAAATCAAAAACTTTATATGGGGATTTTATTAGGAATAGTGCATCAAACAAATTTTCAAATTTAGAACTCCGTCCTTCCTTTAATTTGTATGCCAGAGTTGGTAAAAGAAAAATTACATCCTGTCAAAAACTCAATATTTTAGGATGATGCGCTAATTTGTGCATGCTTTAATGTCCCGCTATTTGATCCATGATTTACAATCTTCAATAACATTAAGTTTGCTAATGCGTGTTTTCGCGTGTTTTTTGTATTTTTCAAGTTTAAAAAAGGATGAAAGTACACAAGTTTGTGTTCGCTTGTTCTACTCTTTACACATTCAACAATGGATGAGAAATCATTGGAAGGGACAGCGAACAGTTGCAGTGATACCATTTTCTGATGTAGGAATTCTAAATCCTGAAATTTCATGCGCTCTTTTATCTCACCACCTGGTCAACAGTTGCAGATTAGCGCATAACTTTTAGGCGGCTTGGAGCATGGGGTCAAAGGAGAGCGGCTTGATTCCTGTCCTTCTCTATCACGTCCCTGTATGGATCGAGACACCTCTCAATATTAGCAATGCATTCGAGCCTTGTACACGTTTGATGTATCGTGAAATCTCTTTTAGAAATTGTCTCTTTTCTTACTTCTTTGTTTTGTTCTGTTTTGTGTTGTTTTGTTTTATTTTGTCGTTGTTTTACTTGTATCTTTGTTTTGCTTTTATCTGTTGTTTGTTCTGTTAGTGTCTCGTCTCTCTCTATATAAGTTAAATAGCATGTGATTCTGTTTTATGCAAATGTTATTTTTAATGTACCATGAAAAAACCTGAGAGAAACAAGATTTTTTAATTATATACACTATTATGTTGACAATGTATGTATTACTATGTTCAGTATGTTCACAAAAAACATGTATCAGTTAATTAATTAAAAATTATTTTATATGATTTAAATAATTATGTTTCAACTTAATACGTCAATGAAAAAGAAAAAAAAAGAAGACTTTGTTACAAAATGTTATTTTATGACCAATAAAATTAATTAATACAAAATAAAAATGATGCAAATTGCTGCCATGTGAGTGGTGATTGGTAATAATTTACTGTTCATAATTAAATATTCGAATGAAATATTCAGGAGTTCAGTAATTGATAGTTTTGAAGTGTAAGCCAGTTTAGGTCACTAATTTATACAATACTGTATAACCCATCCGGACAAATGCATGCTGGATGTGTGTACGTGAAAGTAGTTATTATTCATTGTGTATCAGTTTTGGTATGAGGTCGTGAATTTGGTTCAAGTGAACATATTGGAAGCATATGCGATCCTACAATATTCCCTGATCGTTGTCGCGGTCGAAATCGACTCTAAAGTTATGAAATTGTAAATAATAAACATTTTATGTTGTATAGCTCCCTCTCAAGGTCAAGATATTAATTAAGCTATAAAACAATTTTTCTTGACTAAAATCGACCGATTAGCTATTCCCGTTCGGAAATTATATACCACAACTACATATTCTGATATTTTCATGGTCGCAGCTACCATTGTACGGCCGTAGGAGCTATTTGAAATTATATCAACATTTACCGGGAGCACCGGTAAATCTTTATATTAAATTTTTCTCGAAAGCAGAAGTGTTTTAGGGGCTAAAAATTCTAGTGTTTTTATTACATCCACAGGGGCATTCAAATATATCAAAATTGTAAAGAATCACTATCCACCCATTTTTCAAAATTTTCCAAAACTTTGTAATACCTTTAATGCACCGACGCACAGTGGGCCAGAGAGGAACCAAAGTGCGCCAAAACTCATTGGTGATTATTATTTTTTGCTTGCCCGGTTGAAAGATAATACATTGAAGAATACCTCAGTAAAATATTTAATTCTGGTATGCACAATAAGGATATAAATGTACTCCTTCAAACAGCAAAATCTTACATAATTATTCACAGTTTTAGTGCAAAAGTGACTTATTTTATAAATCTTTCAATTTAACATGAAGTTTTTAAGCTATTGATATTAAATTTCTCTCACATATTCCTGATAGTTCATTTCACTGCATGAATGGGTTTAAAATGGATAGAAACACAATCTTCATAATATATTATAGGGTAATTCACTGAAAAATGGACTACAATTATCCATGTTTTTTATAACTCCAGAGGAAATATTTAGATTTCCACTTCAATAATAACCAACTTTTTCTCTGATGTCTAAGCTTTAAGTTGATACCAGATCTGGCTGCCATCTTCTGCCTTTTTAAAAATGTTATAGCCGATTTTCCTTGCCACATTGCCCCGAAAAATGTGTTTATTTTGGTCCGCGGTGTCAGAACAGTGTCACGCACTCACGCGCCCCCACGCGCCGTAATAATATTTATGACCGCAAATCCTTCATGGTAAAAGATACGAAAGAATTAGAGAAATGCTACAAAACATTCCTACCGGAATCCCTACAACTGGAATTTTTAAAAGCTCTCATTGGCACTAACAGATCAGCAATGAATAATGTTTCCTGGCGGATACCGGACGATTCCCCCTCGCACTAACAACATTAAAAGATGTTGTTGGCTGCTAGCATCACAATAAACTCCTCCGAAAAAAGCTCTGTAAAGCAAGCTTACGTTTAGGACAAATTCATTGCCATCAAATATTGCAAAAACATGAAATCCTTTTTAAACTCATTAGGTTTCTCTCACATCTGGCAAAACCATAATACATTTTCTATCAATAGGTTAAAGAAAGCTATACTTAAAGCCCCACTGTCCTACTTGTAGATACTTGCTCCCTCTATATAGAAAACTTCCCCAATCGGTGCCTGTTGGTCCCCCATGATCCTCTTTTTCTTATGTTAGTTGAGAGCTGAGTTAATGAGATAGCCACCTGTCAGTGACCTCGCTGTGTGGTCTTATCCCTTCTGGCCCAGTCGTATTGACGGTCTTTAACAAATTAGAAGATAGGTATACAGCCTGGAAAGAAATTCTATCAAATGAAAATAATAATGAATACTCTACAAAATTAAAAACATATAGAATCTTAAAAAAAAAAAAAAAAATTGGAAAACTATTTATTACTCGATATTGACAAAATAATCACATAAATGTATAGCTAAATACACGAAAATCAGAATAAGCATTAATGAGTAACCTCATGATTGAGGAAGGTCGGTACAAGAAGAGAACATTAATAGATAGGATATGCCCCTTTGTAAAACTGACATAGAGAATGAAATACACTTCCTAACAAAATGTACATACTTAATAGATCTCAGACTCAAAATATACTCTAACTTGACTTAACAATATGGTATCTGACTCTCAATATCTAAACGACGATAAGAAATTTAAACTAATGATGTCAAATGACGAAACCGACATAAATGCAATAATAATATTTGGAATAAGCGAAATTTACGACAAACGAATAGAACTACTGAAAAATAATAAATCAACATTAAAAAAATAACATCCCCCTTCCTCCGCTTTAAGAGGTTTTTTTCGCCTTAAATTTTCACAGGATTAGGATTTCCCAAAGCTTTAGGTCACATCGCTCCCCTAGGGTTTCTTAACTCCCCCTCCCCACCGTATATGCAATTATGTATGTAGGAGAGGGGAGAGTGTGATGAGCAGGGCCGTAGCCAGAGTTTGATGCCTGGGGGGGGGGGGGGCACATACATGTAATTGATCGACGTCTTGGGGAGGGGTCTAAAAAAAGTGCAACCGATCTTGGAAATTTTGGGGGGCACTTTGGGGGGCACATACATGTAATTGATCGACGTCTTGGGGAGGGGTCTAAAAAAAAGTGCAACCGATCTTGGAAATTTTGGGGGCACTTCCCCCCTCCCCTGGCTACGGGCCTTGTGATGAGCTCTTGGCTTCATTAATCAAGAGACTGATGAAAATATTTTCCCCAGCCCATTTGAACAAATAGGATTTTTTTTCCCCTTTTAGCTCTTTAAGTTGTCGTTGGTTCAGAAATTGTAAATAAAGAGTACTATTCAAAGCCATAGGGGCGTTATCTATGTTGTACAGTATATATGAGTTAACGCCCTTCTGGCTCAAAACAATAGAGTAGAATCTAGGCAAATCACCGTTTCGTAGAAAAGATTCAATCGTACGTATAGGAGGACATAATGATCGCATCTCTTTGAGAGATTATACGACATGCGCCCTCTTTCGGGAGCTACACTTTTGTCAACAATGGGCTTCCGGCTTCCCCAGCTGATCTGCCGATTTTAGCGATACAAATGTTGAATGTAGGTCAAGCTTCATTTACAATATAGTTTCTTCTCAATTATTTAATTTATGATTTATATCTGATGCAATGACATGCTCTGAAGTTGGAATAATTTCCCTGTTGTGCTTACCGACTAATATTACAATGTATAAGAAATGTCCAGTCACGATGAGGCGGGATGTTGCGGATTCTACACGGGAGCTTGTCGGCCTGGAACGGTCGAGGACGAGGGACGGACCTTGGCTCCTAGCTCTAGAGTCGTGCTGGCATTAAACAAAAAATAAAATAAATTAATATTTAATTATATTCTACCACTGGTCGCCGACAGCAACCAGTCAGCTGAATTTTCTTAAGCCTGTAGAGTTAATGATATTATTAATATTTATATATTTATTTATATCCAACTCTAGACTGTTTCAGTATTTGGTCAAATATTTCCCTCCAAAACTGAAGTGGATTCTAAATTAAACTTACCAGTTTAAACTATAGTTTTTCTAAGTCTAACTTGTCTAACGTTATATCTACTCTAATTCGCTAGTCCGAAAAATCAGTTTATTCCATTTGTGGATATGTCCTGCTGAGACTTGACGTCTGGCTTCAATGATTTCATCTCCCTTGGACATTTATAGAGGAAAGTGGTAAAACTTAAAGTCTAAAGATCTCCAAAGACAAATATCCTAGCAGACAGACTTTTTCTATTCCCTAACCTAAGGCTAAGCCTAGACTAATTTATGTAGTTAATAGTTATGTTAATGTACCACCAGGGTTCTCATTTATATGATGGATACAAACGGCTATTCCTGGGAACGGACTAGATTGAATTAAATTCAGGACAGGTTTAAATATCGATCCACTTGTCGAGATCTTGATTGGGTGTGCAACTGATTTATGCTGATCCCCTTCTTTACTGCCTATTTCTGGCAAGGCTAACCCTGATGAAGAGAAAATCTATGATCTATTGGAACTATTGGTCAGCGAAATGGTTTATGGCCTTCATTGTCAAAAAGTGTGTTTTCCTTACCATCACAAGGAAAAGAACACTAATACAGCATGACTACCAGATTTCCAACGAGATAATACCCAGGATAGACAAGTACAAGTATCTCAGGGTAACTGTAACCAAGGACCATCGATGGAATACACATTGTCAACTCCTACTGAACAAGGCCAGCAAAACCCTTGGGTTGCTGCGGAGAACCCTGTCACCATGCACCAAGGATGTGAAGTCAAGAGCGTACACAGCTCTGGTTGGACCGCAGCTAGAGTATGGCGCTGAAGTCTGGAATCCTCACACTTCTGGTGCTGCCGAAGGTCTGGAAAGGGTACAGGAAACAGCTGCTCGTTTTGTCTTCTGCGACTACTGAAGATCAACGTCAGCTACAGGGCTTGTTTCCCAGCTGGGATGGGATAAACTGCACACACGTCGTCTTCTAGCAAAAAGCACCATGCTCTTTAAAATACATCACCAGCTACATGTAGTCAACATTTGTCTTCCTCACCTCATAACCAAAGCTCCATACTGTACATCAGCAGAAGAGACCACACACTCAAGCTCTCTGTTCCTGAGGCAACAATAGACTCCTACAAGTACTCATTTTACCCCCGCACCATTTGCATCTGGAATCAACTACCATTCACTGCAGTTACTGCCCCAACAGTTGCTGCTTTCCAGATGACTGCCCTCCCTGTCATCAGAGGGTTGGAACCTCCTGTAGGTTCCAGAATGCTGTAAACCATATAGCAGCATGAATTTTTACTTGCACATAACTGTTTTACTGTATAAAGAAATTGTACACTCTTTTGTTGTCTGCACCTTCACCTGCTGTCACAACACATCCCATCCCAGTATAGCTTGGAAAAGCTGCTTCAGGGATTACCTCATCAAGTATCAAGTATTGAAGTTAGATTTTAAGAATAGACTAGAAAAATACTGGTCTAAAAACCATGATCTTGTCTATGACTAGTATGAGCCTGTATAAGCTGATACTGCAAGTTTGCTCACACTTTATTTAATTTGAAATGACAATGATAATGTACAACCACTACCCCAGGTGGTAAAGAATCTGAATTGGCATGGAGTCGCTTTGGTAGTGCGCGTGTGACCAGGGAGTCGGTATGACTGATACCTAAGCAAAGGCACAGAAAAATGCTTGGAGGACCCCCCCCCCCCTCCCCAGCTGTATTTCCAACCAACAAGAGCCCTGATAAGGGCTGCTTTTGTGTGCGATTCGTTTTCAACAATGTATCATCAAAAGTGGAAAACTTGCATAATTCTAAACAAAGATTAGTAAGATTTAAAATAATCCACATTTGTGATTGTTTTGCAATATCAATTGCTTTTATACAAGTAATATATGATGATCTTGCTGTGGCTACATTTTTGAAAGCATTTCCTTTGTTGCAAACAATAAGTCAGGCATATATCGCATACACTGTCAGCAACTACATGTCAATTTCTTTCAAATAATGTTGGTAAAATTGTAACATGATGTAATCTCATGTTTACCGGTACTCCTTTTACATTTTTAAAATTTATAAATATGACTATATATGCTAGTCTTGATGTTTTATACTTTTCTCTACCAAAATGGATGAATTGATGCTTGAATAAATTGGTTATAATTTAAACAGCATCTAATTTACATTCTAAATCAATCTTCTTTTTTCAAATATTGATTTTATCAAATGGAGAAAATAATTTGGTCTCAAATCTTATTTTTTTTTCTCCACAGGTTTAGGCATCTTCTAGCGCATAATTTCATGTGGCTGAAGTGAAGGTGACCTTGTAAAACTCTCCACAGCAACCAAGGTAAGGACAGTGTACTGTCATTTAAATGGTAACAATGTTATGCAGAGGTGTGTCCCAGGGGCACTGCCCCTAAAATAATCAAGGACTGAAGATGTGGTATTAGATAAGAATTTGAGTGAGAGGTTGTTGTTATCATTATCATTATTGTTATTATTTTTTATTATCATTGTTAATATTATTATTATCATTATTATTGTTATTATCATTGTTATCATAATCATCATCATCATCATCATCATCATCAACATCAACATCAACATCATCATCATCATCAATACTTTTTTTCCTCATTACTACTCCTATTACTTGAGGACTGAAGATCAAAAATTGAAATAATTAAGCATCTATCCATCTATTTCCTATAACAGATATATCCATGTGGAAGATTAATGTGATATGTGAACAATCACTGTTTGTTTACCATGTTAAGAAATAGGAATCCAGTAATCCACTAATGGGAAATTATTATGATCATTAAAAAAAAGTAATCTTAATTTGTTTTTTTCTTAATGGAAATTTCTTCAAGGCACCCTGAGGATGTAAGATAGCACCTTAAACTATGGTATGGTTATCATGACCAATTACCATTTACATTGGACATGGCCTTTGTGCAATTTGATAGTCTCACTGCACAAGTAATGAATATTCATGATTCACTGGGTGACCTAAAGCATAGCAGGCCATCTACAGACCATAATTTGTCAGTCGAGTGGGACGTCATGGAAAGGGATACCCTCAAAATACCAGTCTTTGCTCCTGTCGTAATGGTCGCTGCATGGTCAATAGAGTGTGGTGTGGAATCTCAGAAGTATGGATGATTGCTATTGAGACAATTCTTCATTTGAAACCAGGCAGTAATGTAAAGATTACATGTTTGTTCAAGGGATTTTTAAAATATTATTTCTTACATGGTTGTAGGAAAGTTTTCATGTATTTCCTCAGAGATGTTTTTGTCTAGAACTACATTGCTCTTCCCCCCTCATTATGAAGGAGTGTGGGGGGGGGGGGGGTAGGGGGCATTTCCACCATGTGGATGTCAATTTATAGCTAAATTTTCAACAAATTTAATTCTGTATTTATTTTGAATATTTTTGCAGTTTGTTTGGTAAAACTGTTTTTGTGAGTGTACATGTGAACTTATTATAATGGTACATGTATTTGTTTGTTAAATTTCAGAAAATGAAACTTAGGAATAACATAGTATTGATAAGAGAAAAAAAGTTTTGATTTTTATTAAATTTTGATTTCATGAATTGATTATTCATTGTGATTAGTACGGTAAGCGGGATCTTGGGTTATATATAAAGATAATAAATGAAAGATGATTTAAAGAAATGTTCACTCTATATTCACACAATGATTTTTCCTTTGCTCTACTTCACTTTGGTAGCATATTCTAGCATTTATGTCATTAAGTATTACCCTGCAAAATGTGTTGCTGGCTGTCAAGTTGTCAACTAACATTTTTGTAAAGCATTGTGGAATGACAAATTGACAAAGGTGTGTCCAAAATTGCTGTTAAAAAATAAAAAAAATTTATTTATTTTAAAGATAATTTGTCTTTTCTTACCATCAACTGATCCCATTTCTTTTTGTGTCTCTGTGTCATCTTCACTCATAGAAAGTTCGACATGTAATTGCCAAATTTCCTCAAATTTTACATGAATACATTAAAACTTTATAACACAGATGGGGGAAACAAATGAACCCCTGCCCCCCCCCCCCCCCAAAAAAAAAAACACCAACATTTTTTAATTTTTTTTTACCCAACTTGTTTTTGTTGTTGTTTTTTTCTTCCCGGTTTTATCCCAATTTTCCCCTTATTTTCTCTATTCTTCCCTATTTTTCCATATTATTTCCAAATTTTTCTTACTCAAAAGGGGGGGGGGGAATGTTGTTAGATGCCATTCACCCCCCCCCCCGAATGCTCTTCTTTTTCTTTACTCAAGGAGGGCGTGGTTGAGGGGGAAAAAAAAACACCCTTTTTTAGTGTTCACTATCACCCCTGTATGAGACAGTCTAGTCGATTCATAGACTTTCCACCAGAAGTACATGTAACATATATGTCCAAAATATATTTCTTTCTTTTTTGTGTTCATTTTGAGAGTGTCACCATCCAGATTCCATATGTGGTGTTCTAAACTTTGAAAAACTTATAACATAAGTGGGTAATGTGTACATAGCGCTTTGCATATTAGCCCACTGTACATAAATATATAGCTGACAAAGACACCATTTCAACGCTTTTTCTGGACGCAGGTGCGTAGCCAGTCATGTTAGGAGTGACCCCCCCCCCCCCAAGTAGCCACCCATCAGCACATGCGATTCCTATTGAGTGAAAATGGATGACCTCTCTGACCGAATCCCACGGTCGTAAGTTGTCTTCACAAACACTTAAACCTACACGTAAATTTCTGGGACGTAGGCCATGAGAAGATAATTATCTGTAATAAGCCATTTTCGTAATGTCATCAAATTCGTTGTGCAAATCTGTGTTAAGTGCCTTGTTACAAACAAATTATTTTATTAAAATGTGACAAAAAATTGTATTTTTAATAGTCAGAATGCAAATTAGGTGTTGTTAGGTAGGGCAAGGCATACTGTTTGAATTTGTCCTACCTAGCAACAACTATAATGTATGCAATTTGAATTCCTGATTACAGAGATACATTTATTTGTAACAGGTGAATGAAATAATTTGCCACAAGGTGTTTCACTAAGGCATAAATGCATAAATTTTGTTACATTATGAAAATAACCTACTGTACTCTTTACTCTGAGGCTCTTAATCATGATTTGGGGTTATTTTATATATGTTTAAGGACACTAATACACATACTCTTTGATATCTGTTACATTTTTTTTTTTATTTGAACCCACCCTAAAAGAAGTATGGAGGTACCTTTCATGTAGACTACTACATGTACCTGTACTACATAAATGTCTTGTTTTACAGGTTAAAAAACCTCCCACTTTCTATTATAGGAGTGATAAGGTATTTTATACAAAAATGTGGTGATTTGTTTCTTTTTTCATTAGGCCAATTAAAGACTATAGGATAATACTTTGGTTCTCATCAGGATTTTTTTTTAAAGGATAAAGGTGTCCCATGTTATTTGATATTTGATATTCCTATATACTAGACACTGCACATTTAATTTGAATTAAATTTATTCACAACTTTCATTAAAAAAAACACATGCAAATTCAAAGAATACCATGCAATATTTCTTTCAAATATGGATAATTAAGACAATAAAATGTAAAATACACTGACAGAAATTACACATTGCTTAGATCATCAAAAACTTATAGGTAGATGTTTCTACACTAACTACAAAAACTAACACAAAAAAGAGACAAAAAATAATACAATGGTAATTTCAAAGAGAACATTAGAGAACACATGATTAGGGGTCAGTTCTGATACAAGTTTTGATAATGAAATTTCACCTTTCCATTCAAAGTGCCCCAAAATAATCATTGCAAGTACCCCCCCCCCAAAAAAAAAAAAAAAAAATAAAAAAAATTAAAAAAAATTGTGTATTATTAATGATATCTTTTTATTAAATTCTCTAGAGACATTCCTTCGAGGTCGGTCATTATTTTTATATGTCTTATGTATTTGTTACCTACTTTCGAGTGTAATCCACCCAAAATTAGCTATTACTTGTATAGTGATTACATATACCAGTATATATGGAAGTTAAATACCACAGTGGAATAGCACCTTTTTTGATTTGTTATTTTCTTTATGTCAGATAAAATATCTGTGTTGTGTACTGTTCAATGTAATATGTTTTCTTATGAGCCTTTAAAAAAGAATGAATATGATGAGGACTTAATATAAACATCTTGAGTGAGAGGGAGGGAAGTAGGGAGGGAGGGACGGAGAAAGAAAAGGAAACAGTGAGAGATAGAGAGAGAGAGAGGGAGAGGGAGAGGGAGAGGGAGAGGGAGAGGGAGAGAGAGAGAGAGAGAGAGAGAGAGATTAGCTGTTACTTGTATAGTGATGATATACATATGGATTTTTTATTTATTTTAATTGCACCAGTTAAATACCACAGTGGAATAGCACCTTGTTTTATTTGTAAATATGATTTTCTTGATGTCAGAGAGCATTTAAAAAAGAAATATGATGACGACTTATTATACCGGTAAATATCTTGAATGAGGGGGCAGGGAGGGAGGGAGGGAGAAATAAACAGAAATAGTGAGAGAGAGAGAGAGAGAGAGAGAGAGAGAGGAGACTTGATTGCAAATGTTATGACAAAGCTTTGGAATAGACTAGTAGTGGACGTTATGCATTAATTAATTTACACACTTGAGATGGAGCCCTAGCTCACACTGTTCTGTGTGAATCGACCAGAGTGTGAATGAGATGAGCTAGCTGCACTACGCATTTCCTCCGAGGCAGAGGGGAAATTTGTTCAGACGATCCCTACTTCCTGCTCAGGCTCCCTGCTACCGAGTGACAATTATGCTAATGAGCTGAGCTCTACTGCGCTGCGCACAAGCACAGGCCCCATGAGCAATCAATTACCGGGCTCGGGAAGAAGAGGTGCACTACTGCACTCTGGGTAACTGCATTACGGCAGGGGAAATAGCCTTGTCAACGCTGTGTGTACACAGCGCACTGCCCTTCATCCCTTTTTACTCTCTCACACACAGAACAGAGAAGAGCTTGCGATTCCGCTGTCTTGATCGCAAGCCAATTTCGTCTTCTAAATCCTCGTTCGCCGCCATATTGTGTGCGTGCTGAGCCTATGTAGGCACACACGAAGCGAACGATGGTTTGTATATACATGTATATTAAGTATACATAATAATCATCGTCGTTTGCTGTTTTTCGCTCGTTGGATCACTATTATCTTTTGATTTGTTTAATTTGGATTCTCTAAGCAGTGTTGGAGACAGGGCTTGGAAGATGTTTTGGATTAATAATCATCATTTTAGTGAGAGAATCACTTCGTAGAGTGGAATACCGATGTCGCCAGAGTGGGAAAGCCGTGTTTTGTTTGGTCGAGTTCTTTCGTCGTCATTGTGCTTATATCTGTGTAAGTATATCACTTCTAACATTATATATGCTTCTTTCTATTCATGGAGATTTAATATACTTGTTTACTTATTTTTGCTATCAAAAGTGAAAATATAGGATATATATGTAACAAGCAATATTGCTTCTTGATGTTCAAGTTTCTTAGATATATGAGAATATATACAATATATCATTCTTTCTTATAGAAATAATGTTCATGTACATTATATATATGATATTGCACTTACATGCTTTCATTCAATAGACTTGCCTATGCAATTCAAAATTCATATATCTCCTCTTGTAATTTTGAAAGGTATATATGTAGCATGGAAACTATATGTGCTGTATGCTTCCAAATATGACACTATTCATGATAATAGTTTTGAATAAGCCTATGTTTATTGTAAGAATTGTAACAATGTAATGGACCTTCAGCAGTTGCTTAATATCTACTATGGATTTAGGCTTTAATACTGGTATACATTAGGCTCCTGTATACAATGACATGCACAGCGACACACTGGGCAAATTGATGGGGCAGACATGTTAGGTATGCAAGGTATGTGCACATCATGACTGTATACTCACACAGAGCTAGACAGATTGTAAGCATCATGACAGGGGCTGCAGCCTGGAGAAGGGGGAATATTGACATTAAACATGGACATTATATCCTTCTACAGTAGTTGTAATAGACATACGTGATTGATTTGGCAGTCAGATTTATATTGGCTTATTCCAAGATATATTGTTTTTTAGTAATGAATTATGAAAATATCTGTTATGCAAGTATTGTTGATTATTTGATTGTTTCAAATAATTCATTTTTTATTGAATTAGGAAATGATGACAATTTGTATATAAATACATGTAGTAATGCCGAAATGCAGAAATACGGTACATGATAAACTATCGTTACTACAGTAATTTTAGTACAACAATTACAACGACTACTACAGTAACTACTACTGCTGCTACTACTTCATGTACTACCACCACCACTACTAGTACTACTATTACTACTACTACTACTACTATCACTACTACTACTACTACTACTACTACTACTACTACTACTACTACTACTATTGCTATTGCTACTTCTACTACTACTACTACTGCTACTACTACTTGTACTACTATTACTACTATACTGCTGCTACTACTACTACTACTACTACTACTACTAATAATAATAATACTCCTACTACTACTACTACTACGACAACGACGACGACGACTACTACTACTACTACTACTACTACTGCTACTGCTATTTCTACTGGTCCTATGATTATTACTTCTACTTACTACTATTACGACAACAACAACAACAACAACTACATTTACATCTTTTACTGTATAAAAGAAACAAAAGTTTTGTCTTAAAAACCCTTATAAAGTAGCAATGTACATTTATGTGTACAACCAAAATATTTTATTGCATAACCATGTAAATTATGATAATATTTATGATAATAACAATTTGTATGAGTTGATAATGAAAACCTTAATTAAAGCATAAATGTACGGTGCACTGAGCCTAAGCTCTATCTGATATTATTTTTTGTACTGGCGGGAACAAACCTTTCAAAATTAATTGATTCTTAAAGAATCAGAAATGATACAGAATTGGTCATACACTTCATGCAAGAATGTGAATGAAAGGTCATAATGACCTCATTCTATATTTTTTCATGCATAAATAGGGCATCATTGCCCTGCATTAGAGTATCCCTACCTAGCATTGCCACGTAATAGGAAGAGCACCCTACTTACAGCTAAACTTAATTTGTACATCCTGCCCTACTACCTCTCGGTGTGTCTTCATTGTAAGGCTTGGAGTCTTGACGTGGAGGAGTGTGATGCATCTGTTCCGTGTTAATAAGCTGGATGTACACACTCATGTAGAAGGAGGGGGGGGGGGGAAGTCTGATAAAGATTTAGCTTTAGTATCATGCATCATGACAAATAACATTTTACAATTGTCACAATGAACTTTAACATACAATATCTAATTTTTCCTAGAAATTATCATGATGTATGATGTGTCCTAAAGCTCAATCTCTAACCTTTTAGGGTGTGATTACAACTACACAGTGTTTTTTAAAGGGTTTTCTAATGGGATGTCATGTCAAATATGATTGATGAAAACATTGAATTTTGCTTGGTGATCAATTGACTTATATTTGTATTTGTTTCTTTTTTTGCATTCCAGCTTTTTTATTGTCATCCTCATCTGTGTCTTTCTGTTGTGGTCGGTAACTGAGACGCCTCCACAAGGGGCTCCCTCATCCAGCGACATGCCATCAGGATCCTGGAACAACAAGGGTGTCAGCATCCAAAGCTCTGACTTCACCGATGCAGGATACGCCTACCAGTCCCTCTACCAGCCTGTTGTCAAGGCAACCCATCAGGAAAACCTCCATCTGCAGCAGCAACAGCAGCAGCAGCAGCAGAAGCAACAACAGCAGCAGAGTAGGGATGGATTCTCTCTGGAATCTCACCACTTTATGGACCTGTCGCAGGTCTTGAAAGAGGTAGAGGATGAGGGGGGTCTTATTCCATCCCCTGCGAGGCTGGCAGAGAGGAAGAGGAGACTCAGCGAGGATGAAGAATCCCCGTCTGAAGAGTACTCTGACACCCATGCATCAATCGAGCAATTGAAGAATGCCTATTCAATCAGCCTGGATAGCCTCAATGAGAACAATGTGGACATGTCCTGCAGAATCACACAGGATAGCTGTAGGATCGACTATGACAGCGACAAAACGCCCACTGTGGATAAGAGCTTCTGGTCAGAGTCTGACGATGACAGTCCGGTGGTGGAAGGAGAAGATTCCTTCTACTATGCAGATGCTGAAGGGAACAACTATCATCAGGTATCCACTGTCACTGGATCAGTATTAGAGACACCTACAAATCTGAACACCTTCATCAAGACCTGTGACCGGGACATTGAGAAGGAAATAAGGAATATCGGCGTTGTAACAGATGATTATGAATTAAACAATGAACTTGCGGAAGAGTTTGATGATGGAGCCAAGAGTTGTTCATCTCATGATGCAACAAGCTCTGCCTCATCAGAGAGTCTAAGATCTGCCTATTCCTTGCAGACACCTGCCTTGTCGTCCAGTCCAGAGAGTTATGAAATGCTGTATCACAGCTTTGAAGTGGCTACAATGCTGGACAGAGAGCGGGAAAAGAACGGTGTGGATATAAGTGACCCAGCAGAAGAAACGTTGCTGGATATTCTTAACAAGGCCTCACCCAAACTGCAGAGGATGAACTATCATAGAGCAGAGCAAGCTGGCAGTGAACATAGCAGTTCTGGAGAGTCTAGTCCTTCCTCTTTAACATCAGAATCTCCCCGAGACCACAATATTTGTGCAGATCGAAATGAGAGCAGTGAAAATGACCTTCGTCCACGCACCTTAGACTTTACAAACAACAAAGCCCATTCTGCAGAAGACCTCAGTTCTTTAAGCGTGATTACCTTCGCTCAAATCGCTCATCAGAGAAGGAAGCCAGAACCCAAGGAAGTCAGGAAAGAAAAGAACAATGCTCAAGAGAGCTTACTCCATTGGACAGAATTACTTTCTGTCAAGGGAGCAGCTTCTTCTGCCCAGGATATTCCTGGAGCAGGAGCTTCGTGCGACAGCCATGAACAGGTCTCCGATGCGCCCAGAAGACCACAGTCACTGCCCATCCAGCTGAGGCACCTTCAGAAGCCCACCATACGCCCTCACGCCACCCCACCGCACATACCCAATGGAGTGATCAGGACAATGAGTGCCCCTGAGGGTATCAACACAACGCACAGGACCTGTAGGTCTTGGGGAGACCATGATGAGGGTATGTTTCTCTTGGAATCCTAGGGGGTGTTTCACAAAGATCCTAAGTTGAACCTATCTCGAAGTTGGACTTAACAATTATGGAAAGCCGTTGGCATCTTTGAATTTTTTTTGTAAAAGCTATTTTATAAGGCATAAAATGTTGATTCAATCATTCATATTTTCTAGCATCATGGGAGATTTCATGTTCTTGATGTGGAATTTATGAAAAGTTTTAAAAATACTTAAATTTTTGCTTTTGAATATATTTCATTGTAAGGCTACAAATGGCCCTCCATAATCTTAAAGTCCAACTTAGAGTTAAGTTTGACTTAGAATCTTTGTGAAACACCCCCTTGACTAGTAAATGATCTTATCCCAAATCTACACGTTATTTTCTTTTATATAAAAAATTACTTAGTGTTACCACTCATTCAGATAAACTCAGTATTTTGTATATACATGTACCCCTGTCTAGAGCCTTTAAAGTGCATGTAGGTTCAAGAATACCCACTTACTGATTAAATTAACTGACCTTAAACATGCAGGGCATTGTGTTTTTAAGAGCCACAGGACTTATTTTGTTAAACTTGCATTCATCAACTTTCCTCACTTTTTATTTTCCTAGCTCTTAAACACTGTGCTCAAGTTTAATGTACTCTGAAGACCCTTTAACTTTTTAAGGACAATTTTCCGCTAGCATGTTTGTTTTGGCTGTTCCCAACACAATGACATGGACAAAAACCAGGGAGGCCAGTATTTTGACTTGCCAGGTTAACAGGAAGTCGGTGACTGACATCTGCTGTTGTTCTTCCTATCACTATGTCCTTTGTTTACTTCCTTAATATATTGACCTTCCAAAATTAAATCATTAAACTCCTGTTTTAATGGAAACCATGGCTCGTTATGTCATGACAGGATTTTGTAGCTGATGGTGTTAATGTAGGAAAAGCATTGTGAAAATCATACAGGTTTTTTTTTTTTTCTTCTAATTTTATATACATGCATCTGAGAGTTATGAGTATTTTTTAGAAATGATAGGACAACAACTGCAGCACATATCTATGTACGTGTATATACTTTCTTTTTTTCTTGTCCTCTTACCGAGGTGTTTTATTTCACATATTTCACATTTCATATATATTTACATCAATTTACATTTTAACATAATAAAAAAATGAAAAAATGAAAAAAAATTAAATAATGCTTACTTGACAGTGATATAGTATAGTATTAATGACTGCTTTGAGAGAAATAGTTGTTTTATTACGCTCAAGGGAAGGTTAGAATTGTGCTATTCCCCGAGGCTTGCCGAGGGGAATAGCCCAATTGTAACCTTCCCGAGAGCGTATGAAAACAACTATTTCTCGAATATTAAAGCAGTCATTAATACTTTTATATGCCGAAAAAAAATAGACTAAAAAATAAAAAATAAAAAATAATTTTCATTTTTGTCGAAGACGGGATTCGAACCCTTGCGTACAACAAAAGGTGTATCGAAAACCAACGCTTAGACCACTCGGCTATCGCGCGCCATTAACATGCTTGGCAGTTTTCTCCAATATATACATTAAAATGGATTGAAAACGGCTCCGCGTGAGGGATGCTTCGCAAAAGCTCCATGAAACGGACCCTTCTTTTACTTTTGCAATGCATATTGGCACGAACTTAGATCAAGATCTATCGGCAGATGTTGTTTTTTTGTTTTTGAGAGTTAATTTTCGTCTTCATGTCAACAATGCAAGATAAAATTGTCGGTAAGATCGATCGAGATTCAATTGTATTGAAATTGCCGACCAATTTTTCGCACACGTATGGTATCCTCCATCGCTCAAACCATTTTTTAACATGTAAACCTATGGGGTAACCATGGAGACTGACCTATTTTTTTAATAACCATGGTTATTAAAAATATTGAAATGTTTTATGCATGGTTACCGGGAATTTTACAGGAACAGTTGAAGTTTATGAATGCAATTCGACCAATCAGATGGCTGGATTTCTTAAGTGAGGTATATAATTGATATTACTTAGAATTGATTGAACTTTATCCTTCCTTGTCTTAGGCATTGGTGAGCTCTCTGAATCTGAGGTTGAAGATCTGTCCCCTGATCCAGTGAACGAGACCACTCCAGCAGACCCACCATCTCAAAAGCTCCTGCATCCCGAGCGAATAGAGTTTGGAGGTCAACTCCCACAAAGAAGACACAGAACTGCCACGTGGTGTGGATCCTTTGGGGCCATCAGGCGACCCTTACTCAGCAGCAGGGAGCACTTATCTGATACGGATAGCCTGGACTCCTGGCAGCCTCCCCAGCCTACCGATATCAATGCTAATGTTGCTAACAATGGAAGATCCTCTAGTGAACAGAGTGATGATGATGGTGTTTCCGCGCTGTATGATGCGCGAAGCATGCCACTCAATACATCCTTGTGTAGGAAGAACTTTTTATCGAGTCGGGAAAATGTGCAACGCTCGCGGAAGAGACACTATTGTAAAGATACTTATGCCGAGCGTATGCTGCAGCATGGTGGTGTGTTCATCAGTGGAACTGAAAACAAACCATTCTTGCTTCAGGACATCGACTCTAGTAGCAAAACCGGAGCAGCAGGTTCGACTGCGTCTAAGACACGCAGTCTGCCCAGGAACCTCGGGGTCACCAGGAGGCGTTCCGGGTCCAACAATGCCGGTAAAAGCCGTCCCAAGAGCATGGAAGGACTTCCCTCCTTCTCCTTAGGTCTGGATGACGGGAAGCTGGCGTCCTGGACGCGGGAATTCGCGACACTCAACAAATCAAAGTCCCAGGAAGAAGAGCTGAGTAACAGTTGGATTAATCCTCAAGATGATTTGTTGGACAAACCTGCTGTTCCTGGTGGAGTATCCGCAGTGCAGCAGGAGTGGAATGAATCGGACGAGGCAGACTATGCTTCTCTGAAATCTTCCCTTCTGGACAAAGCTCCAGACGAGGAGACCCAGGTGACCTGCGAGGAACTCCAGACCAGCAAGGAGGAATGCGAGATCTTCTCGTCCTCCCGACGCATCATCAGGATTGATAACGTCGCCAAGGATGCGGAAGTGAAATACATCAAACACCGCCCTCTCAAGCCCATCCATGTGGTAGACGCGGAGCATCATCGAAAGAAAGGTTGGAGTTCTGTTCTGTTCTTGTGGCATGCTTCACTGTTGCTTGGCCAGCATGATTTAAGTTTCTTGTTTGTATTCATCTGTCATTTAGAAAATCTTGACAAAATGTATTTGTAGACAAATTTATCATCTGCATGTTTAATTGTCATGTGTAGCATGTTTGACCCCTGTATAATTTATCCCATATTGCTGTTGTCATTGTTATGCAGTTCTTTATTTTCACTACTTAAATTCCAGTCATGTGTTCGAAAATCATTTTCATTTGACTGAATTATATTACTTGAAACACTTACATGTATGTTTCAATTCATGCCATTGCAACCGCATTTTCATATGTACAGTGAATATTGTTTGTATGCTTTGTATGATTTCTGTTAATGTTCTCTTTAATAGTGCATGAAAATAAAATTCTGAACATATGTGTTTCGTGTCATGTCATTCAATTCATTTTGTATGCTTCATGGTCAGCATGTCAATAAAATGTTTCATTAGTTAAACATGGGCAAAGTTGTCTAGGAAATACTTTTACATGCTCCATCAGTACAGAATTAATTAGCTTCCTGTATTTTATCTGTGTTGCTGACATAAACAAGGCTACATGTATCTAGTTTTTTGCTACGTAGTACTATTTTGGGCAGATTTTGTGTGATACAGCAGTTTTAGTGTCGATTTGAGTCATTTTTCCTTGACATGGACATGGGCTTTAGTGCTGTTTCTTGTCACAGTGGACAATATTCCTTTGAGGGTAGATATCATAATGAAGTTAATATCTAAACTAACTTCTGATTGACTACTGTCTGTACCTAATTAAATGTACAGGCTATCGAAGACTTCTGAGATTTTGCCTAACCTTTAACTTCCTTTGATACAAAAGGTCAATTTCTTAAAGTCAAGTCAAACAAGCACAAATACTTAGAAATTAAAAATATATTAAGATCATACAAAGAGCTTGACTGACTTTTTTTTTTTTAGGGGGGGGGGGGGAGTTGCATTGGGCACCAATAAGTTAGAAATTAACTGTGTATCCTGTAGATTTATATTGTTCTGGTTGATGTGTTTGCCTTCAAAATCCTCAACCCTAAAGAATGAATGACACCCCCCCCCATATTCATTTTTTGAAAATAACAATAAAACTCCTCTGAAGATATACTTTTTTGGTAGAGCAGGTAGAGCAGACATGAAATGTTTTTATATTTTGAACAAAATAGCAGGAGCCAGATGGGAATTGATTTCTCATGTTCAATGGTGTTATTTTGATTTGAGGAGTATTGTAGAGAATCATAACAATTTCCTCGCTGGAAAATTTGATTTACAAATATCTTTATTTTTGTGGATAAGGAGGGAATGAGTCAGGGTATTTCAGATAATATCTATAAGAACATTAACTTTTGATAGATTATTCACTGAAAATGCATCCACAGTGTAATGGGAGAACCGAAGAAGTCATTCTCCAAATGACAGGCTGCCAAATGATATTCTGCACGTTGGACAAAGGAAGTAGAGATTTAAACACTCTCTATCAGATCAATCGGACCCGGCCTTTGTCCAAGTCGATTGCTATGTCAGATAACTCTTATTGTGAACTTTAGTGCTCGATGTTATAACATGATCATTTAACTTGGTGCATCTATAGACAACAAAGGATGGGCTTATATTTTTTTTTAGAATCCCACTTACGATTTCTTGTTAACCCAACAAAGCAAATGCTTGTCTCGAAGCCAGCTGATCTAAAAATGGAAAGTTACCTCAGCAAGAGAGCAAACCGTCCCGCTGCGTGATTGGTTCGCTCGTAATTCAGAACATTAGGGTATGTCTCTGTTGCGATCAGTCAAAAGGGAGAGGGGGGAAAGAAGAGGCTACGCTTTGCTCTCTGCTTTGCATGGCTTTATGGCAGGCAGGAAAGAGTGGGGCATTAAGTTGCTTACTCATACGATAGTGAGTGAGGCCTACTGAAGGGGGGAAACAAGAAAAGATAATTTCATTGTGTGATATATAATGCGGCATCAAATTACTTTTACATGTTTTACTTCTAGAATAACACAATTAAGATGATAAATAATGAATACATTTGTGGTAAATTTAGTGGAAAATGATATGTTAGTTTGTATAATTGTACATGTCATTGGTTGACAGAGGAAAACAGCATACAAATTAGATATTGGTCATAGATTAAAGCTATCTTGCTACCGATAGTGAGTAGTGACTTTCTATATTTATTATAATGCTTAAGATGATAAATAATGAAAACATTTGTGGTAAATTTAGTGGAAAATGATATGTTAGTTTGTATAATTGTACATGTCATTGGTTGACAGAGGAAAACAGCATACAAATTAGATATTGGTCATAGATTAAAGCTATCTTGCTACCGATAGTGAGTGGCGACATTCTATATTTATTATAATGCTTTGACCTTTATGTCTGTAATTATCAGCCAATCATTGAGAATGGCATACAAGGCCATTCGTCATTAGGGGATAACTCTATAAAGATAGTAATTGAAAAACAATGAAAGGAGGTCAAAGATATGATAGAAATAAACAAAAATTATACAACCTGCGTATGTCAGTTTACTCATAAAATAAAGCCGACTAATTGAAAACATGAAGCTTACTAATGAAGTTTGTCAGATATGCATAGGTTATTTGTTTCATTTATGGAGATTGTACTTGGCCAAAGGTTATGTGTGTGTGTCTCAAATTGAAGCGTTAATTTTCCTTGCCTTGACATGTTTGTAAATAGAATTTGCTACATAATGATAATTACTCTTCATCCAGTTTCTAAAAGGAACAAATATTTACTGACCAAACTACTATGAATTTCACCATTATTGAGTAATTGGATGTAAAAAGGAATATCAAAACACATGAAATCAATCCAAGAAGTTGAGATTTTTTTTTAATCCCTTGAATTTCCACTTTGTTTCTTGATTTTTACTCAAGTACAATAATAAACAAAACGTTTATAAACAAATATGTAATCAAACTGATTTAGTAGGAACTAGACATTGCTTTTTGATTTAAGTGATTATGAAGAAGAGGTTAACATTTTGTTTCTATAAAAGTCTTGAAATTCGTAGACCTTGTCTAAATTATATCAACTATATCAATATCAAGGAAACATTTTTGTCTGGTATCTTTGTTTTATATCCAAATGGAAAAAAACTCTCTTTATAGAATCACATGACATCATGTAGACTGTTGGTATATTCTGAAACATAATAAATATATTTCATGTGAATAAACAACTGAAGGCTCTTGCTTCATGAATGAACAATAGACAACATGTTGCCTCATTTATACGAGTAAATGAGAGATAAAATCTTTGAATGAAAAATTGTTTTTGTGCCAACTCTGTAGATTCATCAGAGACAATCTACTGCAATTTGTTATCACATTAGCTCTCCAATCATTTGAATATCCATTATTTGCTAGGATACAATCCTTAAATTTTCATTCAGGTATGAATATATTTTAGTGAAAGGGGATGAAACAAACAAATATATTAGCATTCTTATCGTTTGAATATCCATTATTTGCTAGGATACAATCCTTAATTTTTTATTCAGGTATGAATATTATTTGAAGAAAGAGGGTGAAACAAACAAACATATGGTTTGCTTCATCGATAATTGGGATGGACTGAAAGCACTCTCTGTGTGTAGAGATAACTATCTGCTAATACAATACGCACATTTGTATGATCCCTAATGTATGCTGCCCCACACATGTGTACCATTCCAATGCCGGTGTAGAGAGCTCGTGAGCTAGATTGTGCGTATCTTTGACGTCAGTCCCTCGTTGTCGGACATGGCGTAGGTGTTCTTCTCCGTCTTATATCACCTCTTTCCTCTTTTCTCTCCTGTCACTCAGAAATTCCTATTCACAGGAAGGGAGTGTTTTCCTGTCATGAATTTCAATTATTTCCTTTATCTCTCCTGCTGTATACAGTCTTGGATCTATTCAGAGAGTATTCTTTTGTCCAAGATTAGAAAATCTCTAGAATAGAAGTTCTTTTTAAAGCTCTATTTCCATATAGATGGTAGTATTTGAATCAACAAAAACATGGCATATATCTTATTTTGTTCTTCATTTAGTAGAATGCGGTTCAAGTATCTGTAAAGATTGATAATACTGCCTTTTAGGATTATTTGTATTGTTAATTATTTACGTAGAATGCAGTTCAAGTATATTTAAAGATTGATGATACTGCCTTATAGGATTATTTATTTTGTTCTTCATTTAAGTAATAATAATAATTATCCTTGCTTATATAGCGCCTAACACTTACTTTATCAGAAGTCTCTAAGCGCTCTACAATAATGCAGCATAATTACCCTGGCTTAGCATCCTTAAAGATCTGCCTTTTATATCTTTCAAATCAAGAATGTAAAGAAAACAAAATCTGAACATTCTACTAATCCTTGCGTTAAACTTCATTTTATCAAAGACAAAGGTATATTAAGCAGTGTATGTGCCATTTTAGTTTTTACATCTACCACATTCTTGTGAAATACAGATAGAAACATGTGGCAGATATAGTTGCACATATGTCAAATTTGGCGTCGATTCAATCTCTCACGAGGAAGAAAAATAAACTTGACACAAAATCAAACAGAGTGCTAAATTGTCAGTATCCCTTATTCTGAGAATGGATCAAACCTCTGCAGATCAAATGGTAACCATTGAATGGTAACCATTACAAAAAAATAGAGGAAAGAAACACTAAGTCTGATGAGGAAGGAAGGAAGGAAGGATTTGGTTGAATTATCATTGATGTAAGGAAGTGATGTCTCATATTTGTCCCCGGTTCAACATTCACCTTTTCCTATTGGTTATAATGATTTCCCTTTTTGTTGTTGTTGACAAGATTGAAATTACTCATGAGGTTCAGGAATAACATTGTCATCGTTTTTAGCTTTAAGCGCTGACGAGTGTTGACTTTCGATAGCAGATCATTCCTGGTGATTGCAAACAGTTAAGTCTTTGTTTCAAGGTTGCT